CAGCTCCCGTGGAGAGCCGCCCCCCTCTTCATTGCCTTCGGTGTTTTTGTTCCAGACCGTACCACGCGCCGTTGCTGCTCGGCGCGACGTCCGACGTTTCGCCCCTTCACGTGAAGAGCAGAACGTCGGATGTCGCGCCGAACAACGCGCGGTACAATCTGAGAACGTACGGTGCGAAAGAAGTTCAACATGCATACGTCAGAGATCCGCACAACCACAACTGCCACAACCTGTAATCAGGCTCGCTGCGAGTGCAGCTTGGTCAGCTGTCGGCTGACAAGTTCAAAAGCGAGCTTTGCACGCTTGGCTACCCGCAAGCGCACATTCAATTGGTGGGCCGTGAGATGGAGGCGCTGATTGGTGGAATGGCTCGAAGGGCTCAAAAGCCCTAGAAATTCGAACGCAGAGAGAGAGTCGGTCCATCTGAGACCTTTTGAGCAATTAGAGTTTCATTAGTTTAGCGGTAAGAATCAGCTGAGACGGTTCGAGATGGGTATTTAAGGAATTGGGTGCAGCATATCGGAGCCCATTCGGAGCGGTGCTCCACAAGCGTAACGTTATTGGCTTCGATGCATAACCCTTGGTTAACGATCCGGTCCAGACCTCGCATATACGCTGGAGCAGTGGTAGCCGCCCCATTCGGTTGTTTATGTCGGCAGCGGTTGCGGGCAAGGCGCTGGCTGCTCGGCAACGTTTGTGGCCGGATTTTGGTTTCTGGTGGCTTCCGCGAACGGGGGAAAAGACTCCCAACCAAGACTGAAAAGATTTTTTCCAAAGGCTTCTGAAACTAACCATTGTTTTGTTGTTGGTGAATTACGAGCGCTGGTTTTTAAGTTTAGTGGTTCGGTCGGTGCACTTGCGACTTCCAGCGGCGGCATTGCGGGTGACTCGTCATTTGTACATTTCCAGATGGTTGAGGTGTTGAGTTGGCTCAGAGGGCGGAGAGCTGAGCTTGGCACGGCTGAGGTGCTCGGTTCAAAACTGGCTTGCAGATGCCTGCGATGAAACCGGGTTTTCAAGTGTAGTGAGTTAATCATCTCAACTCAGTCACCAATGACTGTACAAAAAAAAATATCACATGTTACTTAGTTTTTTGTACTTGATTTTGCTAGAGTTTGCTCAACTCAAGCTATGAGAATTAATAACGATTTGACCGTCGTGTGACAAACATGACGATCAGTGTCGGGGCTGGTTGGAAAGTTTGGGCCCGGTGTGAATCAGAGGTCACCTTCAAGCAGGGGTGGGGGAACCTTGTTTCTGCCAAGGGCCATTTGGACATTTACATCATCATTCGCGGGCCATATAAAATTATCAACTTAAAAATGAGCCTGTTATATTTGGTCAAACATTTAATTAGCTCACACCTAATGCGATGGCTGGAACTGCTTCTCTTTGGCGAGGCGTGTGATGTTAGCTGATATTGATGATGCTGCTACTCACAACTGCTTTTCCAGGTTTGCTCCTAGATTTATTGAATTTCGAGTCCCGCCTGCGGTTGCCTTGGCAGGGCCAGACGAAATGATTCCGCGTGCCGGACGTTCCCCACCCCTGCCTTAAGGGATCTCTCAGAGGGAGCTCTGTGATATCTGCTTCTGCGGACCATTCTCTACCACCATGGCAGGGTTGCATCGCTTACTCCAGAGAGTTCCGGATGGATTTTACGTCTCGAGGCATGGCACAGATAACACAATTGGGATAAAACTGGGGAATTAAAACATTTGTATTTACAGATGCCTGCACGCTAGGCCTTGGATTCGCAGTGTTTTTGGCTGCCCCTCATTGCTTTGGGTCCCAGTGACTCCGCGTAAATGACTAAATTATTTTAAAAAACTAATATGTAATTGTTTTCTCTCTTTACAGGCCAGGGGAATGTTTATTCTCTGTTGTTGAGTGTCTTTCATTGCAAGGCAAACGCAAGCTTTCTCAGGAATCTAACGTTAGGTCAGCTAACCACCATCAGTCATAGGCTGCATAATATCCATCGATTACAATTGAGTAATATGCTTCTGCTTGGTTACCCAGGAAAGCCTCCCTCAGTCTCAAGACTCGTTTTCAGGAGGGTCCTGCCGAGTTTTCAGAAGGAGGGGGGGGGGGGCGGCGTGTAATCCCAATTGAGTAATTTTGAAAGCAATCTTTTGTATTGGGATATTTGGCCAAATACATTTGGCCATTACAAAGTTACACTGTGTTCTTATCTATGGGAGAATACCGGAGAAGTCGGAAGAAACACATGCAGAACGGGGCGAGGGCATACAAAACTCCACACAGAAAGGCACCTGAGCGAGTGATCGAACTCAGGAACTCCTTGCTGTGAGGCACGCATGTCACCACTGCGCCACCCTGCCGCCCAAATGCTCACGGTGCATGCATTGCATCGCGTGTGTAAGAGTCGGGAGTGTTTTCGCTGTGTGTACATTGTACGCAATTGGTTCACGCGGGTAGATTGGCAGTGAAGTGGGTTGCGTACTGCTCAATAAACCCTGCGACGTGGGTTCGATTCCTGGCCATGGCCAGCATCGGTCCAGGGGCAACCACTTACCCCAAAGCCACACCGACCAGCGTGTGGAAAATTACGGCCTTACAACTGCCACGACCGACACGGCCTTAGGAAGGATTTCATCTAGCAGTGGACAAAGGACTCTGTACGTGAAAAAAAATGTTCGTGTGGCCCTCCAGCCACTAGAGGCGCTAGAGTGCATCACAATTCTAAAATAATGACAATGACATAATGACTCAATCGACGGATCCCTGAGTCGCAAAACGTGGCGAAGGGGCTGAGATAAATCGTTACACCCCTAATTAATGGCATACCAGCTGACATATGGTGGGGGGGTATTTTAATCGCATTACGTCACGCATGGTTGGTAACCCATGGAGTGTGACGGTGAATCCCATATTCGTGGCGGTGAATTATTAAACCCAACATTAGAAACCCCGCGAAACCTGAAACTGATGCCGCATGGTGTTTTGCGTGCGACGGTTGTTGCTATGCATTACGCGTTTGCGTGCGTGCGTGTGTGCACGCGATAGTCCAATCATTAGTGTTGGGGAGTGGTGGCGCAGTGGTTAGCACGCTGCGCGCCGAACCCGGCGGCCCGAGTTCGATTCCCGCTCACGAGCCAACATCGTTGACGAATATCTGAACGGGTCCTGGGCCTCCCCTAGGTCAGCCCAGCCTCAAATGAGTACCTGGTACGGTGCGTACACATCAGAACTAGGGCGACAAAGGCGGCCGGGCGTGGTGTTGACCACCCACCCCCTCGTGTGCCGTGCCGGCCTTCGTATGTGCTCGCCAACAGCACTTGCTCCAACAGTCTGCTATAGTCTATATCGGGGCGATCTTTGTCGATTTATGCATGTTGTGCGTGTGAGGCGGTTAATTAAAACGAGGCTTTGTGTGTGTCAGTAACCCGATTCCTCGAGAGCTGACGGCTCCCCCACACCTGGCCACCAGCTCGGTGGGAGTGGCCAGGTGCAGGACATTGAGCGCGCTAGCGGTGTCATCAGGGTCACCGTCAAGGTTCTCGGATACAGTGTGCACGTACAGCCCCTTTGGATAATTACAAGGACAGTTGAGCACATTTGGTGTTGGCTCCGTACTTACTCCTAGCACTGGGCAATCACGACTGGGGGGCTTTGCGTCACAGACGAGCGTAGTCTGCCAGTCGTGGGCGATGCTGCTGGCTGTGTGGATTTTACCCCAAGTGGGTAATTTACGATTTTTCTTTTTTCGGGGGCAAATTGAAAAGTGACACCGACACACACGGCCGACTCTTTTTCGAATGGCGTCACGGGACCTTTGACGTCCGCCGTGAAGCGGCCGGCGAGTGGTTCGCGTTTACTGGTGAATTGCGGACCGCGGTATTAACCAGGGCGGCCGATGGGGCTCGAACCGCAAACAGCTGTAGCAAGCGGCAAACGCACTGCCACTCGGCCGTTTTGTCAGTCCACTGCTGCACGAGGTGGAGGTCGCGAGAGTTATTTGACCATACTTCACCAAGCCGGTCATCGCCGCGAGCTAAGTGAAGGCAGTGAGCGTAGACGTGGGAACATAGAGTCACAGTACAACAAATTAATGTTTCCTCCACCGCCCTCTGCCGACCACCACGCAGCAATAAACCCCCCCACAGTCGCCGATGACAACCCGGTGGTTGCCCATCCATGCGCTATCCAGGCTCAACCCCAGCTTAGCTTCCATTACCAGATGATATCATGTGCATTCTGCCAGGTGATGAGGTCATAGACCAAGCATGTTCAAATGGAGATCTGTATCACTTTCTATTTGCTGGAAGTTTTTATTTATATATGTGTATTGAGGTGGGGAACCACCAAGTATGCTTACAAAGAAGTGAGTTGACGCACCTCTATCACAGAGGAGTTCCACAAAACGCACTGCTTTGGGCTCTCTCTCTCTCTGTGGTCATTTGCTTGGCTCTGCTCTGCTTTCAAACGTTCACGAGTAACTCGAGTGTTAAATCATTCACTGACAATGCCTTGAAAATGCATTTCAACTTCATTGGTTGCAGCTCGTGGTGGAGCGAATTCGTCAATTAATACAGTATTTCTTAATTTCAATTCAATTAAAATATTTCACCTGGATAGTCGCATGAAATGGGATATCTTCGTTTGCAAGGGGGCAGTCCAGGGTGTCAGCTGTCCGTGTCATCGACACGCTCCGGAAAAAGTACTATTGGACTCCATCCCTATATTTGAGTTTCCACTCGGAACTCGAATATAATTTGGATATTTTATTATTACATACGATTCAGTGTCACGATTCGTTCGGGGGTCAAAGTCCCGAACCATTCGTGACTCTGAATTGTGGGGATTTGTGGAGTTGATATCAATAAATTGCTCTGCGCGGTGGCTCGCTGGTTATCTGTTGGTTTGTTTTTGCTATATTCTGTTTTCTGTGGGTGTTGGTGTTTCCCCCCCCCCCCCCCCCACGCTTTCTCAATGTTTTCATTTTCTCTTCTCCCTCTGACCTCTGTGTCCCTCAGCAGAACATAAAGAAACTCATGACAGACGATATGTCGCTGGTAAGGTGTGCGATGCTCGAGGCCGTGCAAGTGAATCTGTGCCGGCTTGCGCGGTTACTGCTAAGCATGCGACGACCACCGCAGATGACCCCTCGCGCGCGCGTGCGTGCGTCGGCATGCGTGAGAGCCGATTGATCGCCGTCCGCGCGAACCGTCCGCCGCCAAGCGCTCGGAGACGAGCGAAATTGGCGATGCCAACGACACAGATGGGACAAACCGAAGAATTTGGTTCTCGAATCGAAACCGTCAACCTTCAATCTTGCCCCGCTTATCAGTTGTGGTCGGTCGGAGGCGTCAACCGTCGCTCCGTGCCGCTCCGCACAACTCCTTGGCGAGGGCACTGCTGCTCAATAAGGAACGTTTGCAACCTCCTCTGAAAATAATACGAAAGATAAACATCACGCCTCGTTTTTATTTTATTTGACTGCGTAACTCTTGTAACCCCGTAATTTTTTTCTCCGAACAGTATCGATCTATGGAGTTAATATTAGCAATGGAAGAGGGGGTTATTAACAAAATGGATGGTGTGCAAACCTTTCCTTTTGAACTGCAAAGCACGGCACAGAGATCAGTTTGAAATCAAATTCATATCGTTCCAAGCAGGCAACTTCAAATTTACAATTGTCCAAATGGAAAAGTAAAATCTGACAGAAAGCAACGCTCTCCTCCCATCCCGTCATCACATGCAGCCGCCCTGTCACCCGCCTTGCACACGCGCAGCAGCGGGCAGCAGTGGCGGCAGTGGCAGCGGCGCCGCTGCGTCATTCACATTTGTGGGATTCCTCGCGCATGTCTGCTCACGGCCGGCTGGACCCTGCACGTTCACGGCGGATAGGCCGCCGGTCTCTGCCCATGCGTGGAAATGCTCAAACATTTGACGCGCGATGAGACGCGCGCACCTGCATGACCTCACCCCCCGACTTGTTGCATGCGTAACGACCTACCGTGTGCTCATTTATTAAACCAAACGCTTGTTGTTGTTGTTGTTTGTGCATCACGACGGATCCGAGCGACGTCCGTAAGCATCACCGGACTGTTGTGACTCAGCGAGCTCCGCATGCTCCCCACAGCCTGACCTCGCGTCTTAACATCGTGATTGTTCTGTGTAAGCGCTCGACGGCTCTGGCCTTGTTACCGCCAGCGTGGCAGCATGGTCGCGATGGCGAGCGCGTGTGCGTCACCGGGTTCGGTTCGTGATTAAATCGGTGCGTGTGCACTTTGATGCAAACTCGAGCAGTTTTAATGTTTTGCGCCAACATCACTAACCACTAACCGCATCCTTTCACGTAAAACTTTTAAATGGATGTCCCGTGTTAATAACTGTGGCCGTTGTCCATAACATTTTGAGTTATCAAAATGTAAGGCTAAATGGCTATGATCGTTCTCTTAACAATGATTACATATACAATTTCATAGTTGTACTGAGGTGGACTGCTGGAGCAGTAGTTAGCATGCTGCTCTATGAACCCAGTGACCTGAGTTTGATTCCTCGCAACGGCTAACATCAGTGGCGAGCAATATCTAAACCGGTCCTGACATCTGAAGCCCTTCACCAACCCACACTGACCAACGTGGTGACGTGTACGGTCAGACAACACCCACGGCTTACACAGCGTGGGGAGGCCTCCATCCAGCAACGGATTGACAAAGGCCTGTGAACGACTGCGAACAAGTCGTACGAATTGGATTTCTGGCATTGCTCCACTCGTGCCCTCCGGCCCGGTCATTGACCCGGTGTCCCTCCCCGTGCCCCTTCGCCGCTCGGCAACCTCTACCGCCTTCTCCCCCTGTCGCTCCACCAAGTTGGACCGTTTCTCCAGCATCCGGATCGCGGGCAGCAAGCGGGACCGCCCGGTCGTGCCCTCCTCCCGGCACCAGCCCAGCCTCGGCCACGAGCAACCTCCGCCCTCGCCGAACCCCTTCCAGCCCAGCGTCTTGTCGGAGAAGGAGGTGCTGGCGCTCTTCGAGAAGATGATGGTGAGATTTCGCTTGGGTCCTGCGGGCCCAGCTCGTGTGCACCCCCCCAGGTGGTAGATGGCGATTCACGCTGACCACAAGGGTTTTGTCAGCCCTCGGCAGATGGTAAAATACTGTCCAGATTAGATCTTGGAGGTCTCTTTATTATTATTGCTACTACGCTTGTCTCGGCGAGGCTTTTAAACCGCTGGGCCGCGTCACTGCCCAATGCGCTCACCGCGTTTGCCGTTCAGCGGCCGCGGGCTCTGGCCGAGGGAGACTGCATCGGTGAGGTGTTGTCGTCGACGGCTTTGACCCCGAAGACCTCTTGACCTCTTGATCTCGTTCGGCAGGAGGACATGAACCTGAACGAGACGCACAAGGCGCCGCTGCGGCAGAAGGATCTGGTGATCAAGCGTGAGATGGTGATGCAGTACATCAACGCCGCAGCAAAGTCTGTGAGTAGCAACCTCTCCGCTCGCCGCGGGTCCTTTGAGGCAGTGGGCTCCGTGGAAACATCCGTCCACACATAACAACAACACGCACACACACCATTATTGTGTAGCTCCCGTGTGTGTTTTCAGGTTGCACCACGAATCAAACAGAATTTTCACTTCCTGAAGTTGTTGCCAGCACGCGGAGCCAAGTGTCGGACATTGCGCTGAACGACGCGCGATTGAACGCGTAAACGCTTCAAAGAGCTGTGCAGTGCAAACGTGAAAAACCTTAATCGGATTTACGGTAATTGTGCCACGCCGCTCAACGGCGATCGTGCCGACGAGCAAAACAGCATCGCCGTGCGTATCAGTGTTGATCAGTCGGCGTCCCATCGGGAAGCCTGCCGCATGAGGCCCGTTCATATATGCGTGAGCTTGAGATGCAGAGCACAAATTGTAGATTTGAAGCTTTCGTGACTGCAAGGATTCATACTCTTAGGTTTTTTTCGGTAAAGTCACGTAGGTAAAAAATAAAATAAATATTAATAAAAGTAAAAATAGAAATAAAATAATAATAAATCACTATTTCTATTATTACTTTTATTAATTTTATTTTTTACCTACGTGACTTTACCGAAAAATCCTAAGAGTATAGAGTACAAATTGACCACAAACCAAGCTGGTCAACAAGACCTCGGATGTCGTGCGCTCATCATCCGAACTTAGCAAGCTGGACCTCGCCACATTGGTCTGTAACTCGCCTGTGTGGCAAGGCAGCTGTGAAACCGTTTAGATAGCGCTCCTGTCCATATCGGACAAATTTAGCTGTGATGCTGCTGCTGCTGCTGCATTGGCAGTGGTGTCTAATCACAAATAACAAACACTCATCAATGTTACCGTGGCCCTAAAAGTAAATGTCATGTGAGAGGTGATGTTTTTGCCAATTTTTACGAATACGGAAGGGCCAGTGTACAATAAAGGAGGGCACCTAACCAAAATGTCACCTATTATGTTCTTATCGATATTGGAGTCGCCGGGATCTAATGTGCCTGTGAAATGGTCGTGTGCACATCGTTTGTCATCGTGTCCAAAAAGATCGCGACCAGCAATCGTCTTCAAACTATGAACGCGGGGTGCACGGCTATTATTACTATTATTTTCACGTTCAGTTGCCGAGTACATAAAATCGTAGCAGCCTTTATTTTATTTTTTGCACAACGAAAAATTCACAAACTGAAAGGCCATATAATTCTAAATAACTTCATAGACGTTTGCAATATATTCTCGGCTTCATATATATTATAATTTAATAACCAAACGCGTGAGTTTATGAAAGTTTTATCATCCTCGGTCTGTCTAGTTTTACATGGAGTGCGCGCATCGTAAATGTTAATGCAATTTCACGGCCGCGTCTCCGTCCGATGTGGAAACCGCTTGCACGCATCCCCACGCGGCGTTGCTTTTCATTGTGGTGCGTAAAAGGGTTTTAAAACTTGTGGCAGTGTGCGTGATGGTCCGCGTGCACGCGTACGCACGCACTCGTGTGCACGCGCGCACGCGTCTTCCCCGTAAACTCAATTGTTCAATAAAAATGAAAAACAGACATTACAGCTCATCCACATTAAACGTAATGCGGAACAAGCCACGTTAAAAAGATATAGGATTCAAAGATGAAGTCGAGTGGTGATTTCCTGCTCAAATGAGCATTCTGGCGTTCGTGCTCGTCCCCTTGTTTACAACCCTGAACCAGTGGTGGAAATTCCCCATTCCTATGGCAGGGGCGAATATATCGATAGGACAACTGCCATCCATAATTGTTTTATCGAGCCCGGAGCAATGATGGGCTGATTAAACCCCGCTCAATCTGGACTTGCTCTACTGCTGAGCCACATGGCCCATAAAAACGTCATTCTTATTAATACGGCGCTTGCTTTGCTTTACAAGCCTGCCTCGTTATTTCGGTTTGCCTACGACCCTGCCTAGCTATTTTCGTCCTGAATGACGGCTTTGGGTTGCTAGAATGCCACGCCGCAGGGGGGGCCGCGGGGGGGGGCACAGGAATCACCTGTGGGGGGGGGGGGGGGGCGACGCGGGTCCCTGGGAACGCGGCGCGTCGGAACGTAGGGGTCGCGAGCGGCGCGCTTCGGTCGCGGATTCGAGGTGGGGGGTGGGAGGGTGGCTTGGGAGGGGGGGGGGCAGCGACATCGCGCAGGGGGATGGATTTTGCGGGGCGAAAAAAAAGGCCATTGTGTTTTGCGTCTTTCGCCGAGGGAGTAGACAGGAAACCGACGGCGACTCTAGGCGGTCACGCGGCGCGCTCGCACGGCGCTCTCCCTAGCGCCGTGCGAACGCACCGCGGCCCGTAAACAGGCTGCCCAGCCCTTTTCCGCAGTGTGCGCAGGAGCAACTGCAGCAAAATACTCCCCGGGATTCTATTTCGAAAATATTTCACTTAAATTGTTCTCCCTGCACAGTATTTCTTTCAAAAGGGACAAAATCATTTTTTCGTCATTTGTTTTCTCATTCACCAGAGTGAGCGGTCACTGCTGCCGACGTTCGTACGTCTCGTGCTGACATTGTCTCTTTTCCTGTTTTGACTTTTTATGAAATTGTCGAAAGAAAGAGTTGTTGTAATTCTTTTTTTACAGTGCTCCAATGAGGTCATGTGCAAAGCCAGGGTCCTGATTTCTGTCTCTCTGAACACGTGTCTACTCTGTGTACCCTTGTCCCCTGTGTGTCCACCCCCCTTTTGTGGAAGCAAGGTCATGGTAAGTGTCCCCCACCGCCCCCCTCCCCTGTCCGAACCCATCCTGGCTCTTCCCTCCATGCCTCTGCACGCTGCTGACTCTTGGCCAATGGTGCTGCCCTCGCCCTGCGTGCCACTCCGTTGTCGTAGCGCAGAGCTGCGTTTCGCAGGCACGGTCTGCAGTCGTTTTGCAGTCGGTTGGCGATGTCACTTACACAACGTGCTTCCCGATTTGCGGCGTGTCATTTTTCAAATTTGGTCAGAAATGTTTGGTCCGTGACGCCGGCGCCACCCCTCTTTTGTCGAATAACGTCACGGGATTTGGGACGTCCACCGGGAAGTGGATTACGCCCGCCGGTATTAACCGGGGCAGCTGCGAAATTCGAACCGCGAACCTCCGTAACAAGCTGCGAACCCGCGCTACCTGCTCGACAGGCTCGCGAGGGTTGGCAGCAGCGCATGCCAGGATGCAGCTCCTTTAGCCTGCGATTCCTCGTGATTGCCAATCATGCGTGCGTGCGCTTACGTGATTTCCAAATCAATTTGTGCAATGTTGTGCATTTACAACCATGTGTGCATGCGTGTTCGTACGTGAAGGAAAAGACAAAGATCCCCCTTTTTCTCTGCAGGGGAGCGGCAGTGCAGCGGTTAGCGTGCCGCGCTATAAACCCGGTGACCCGAGTTTGATTGCCGCTCACGGCCAAGACCGGTGACGAATATCTTGCACCAGGCCAACTCAGCCTCAAATAATTACCTGGTGCGATGTGCAAACATCGCCACTGGGGGGGGGAAAGGGGGTATCCAGGCGTGGTGCTGGCCACCCACCTCCTTGTGTGCCGTGCCGGCCTTCGTAGTTTATCGCTAACGGTACTTGGCCCAACAATCTGGTGAGGCTATACGGGGGGGGGGGGGGGGGAGTCTTTGTCTCTTTTGTGTGTGAAGGTGTGCGCCATGTGAGTCTTTGTATATTTGTAATGTCCTGCCTTGACTGTACTCACCTTGCCTGCGTAAAATGCAGGCTGCCCCCTGTGGGTGTTGTGTTGGCCACTCACAGCATGCGTCATCGTCGAGCAACGCCGGCCGTTGTCCTCTGTAGACCTCGCGCACCTCCTGCTGAATGATCAACGCATGTCGGTGCTTTTATTTGTTAACAAAAAAACTCTCCAGCTTGAAACGACTGAATAGTTCAGGAGTTTTATTAATAAGGTCAACCGGTGGGATGTAATTGGAGTGTAAAAAAATGTATTGGTCCAAGTAAATTTCCTGCCCGAATGAACATTGAGTCATTGGTGCTCATCTCGCATTTACAGCCGTGCAGAGCCGGTGGTGGTAATTCCACATTCCTATGACACAGACCAGTCTATCCATCAGAAACAACCACTGTTGATTTTCCCCACTTAGTGGTCCCTTAAAATGAAGAGGTCACCGGGTGCACGTCAATAACGTCACTTTAATGGGCGCGGGATTTTTGGTTGGGATTTCTAACGGCAGGTGGTGCTGTCAGCCCGCCCTCGCTGCTGTTCCTCCCAATTGCCTGCTGGCGAACGCCGTGGGTGCGTGTGTGGGCACGCTTTCCCGGATTGAGGGGTTCCGCGAGTTCCCGCAAGCGAAAAGCAAACAAAATCTACGCTCGCTGGCCTCCAAATAATCTGCCCTTGCGTCCCAATGCGAGTTTTGTGATGACACATGGAAGATGTATTTAGTCAGCTCCTCACAATCTGTAAATAGCCTCCGTGCCTCTCGGGAGCTAAGCCGCTCCGCACTGATATGATCACCGTGTACCGGGCAAAACTTCAATTTTACACGTGGCTGATGTAAAAAAAATTGAACAGCATCGCCCAGTGTGCAGTGCAGGAGCCAGCAGCAGTAAACAGTTATAATTACCTACACGATGCTAACCACGGCTTCATTTCTGCATTGAATATTTTCCGGGTCGCTGGTGGACGGGAATAGGTGGTGCGTGACCAGTTATTGCGAGAGGCATGCTAGATATGGTGTACCGGGTGCGTTCGTATTTTCCATGTCCCCCCAACCCAGACAGACCCGGCTGAAATTAAGCCCTGATGCCGAGTGATTAAGTGTGGTTATCCCAAGCAACCTGCATTAGCGGTGGCGCCCTACCGAAGCTAACGCCCAGCTTCTGCATGGCGATGAACAGCAACGCACGCATTCCGGATAAACGCAGTCGCCCGTTGCGACGTCACACCGCGCCCGATGCTAATTTCCCGTGAGCTCTCGGGTTTGTTCCGCGCGTCATTCGGCACAACGCGCGACGCTCCGCGTGCCCGGGAGCCGCTTCGGGAAAGTTGTTGGCACTAAGTGCGAACTGCTGAATGTGGTGCAGTACAACGCGCATGCACGTTGTGGAGAGAGCTTGTATGGCACAACTGCGAAAACCCACGGCGTGCTAATATCACTCAATCTTCCGCCGATGCCGGCATCGCTGTGCGTGCGTGCCGCTTGCGTGGGGCCATCGCGGACAGTTTTGTCTGCTTGCTGAACAGGAAGGTGGCGGCGAAAGAGGAAACCAAATACACATGGATAGAAACAAAAGGAGGAAAAAGTGCCCAGAGGGGGGAGGGAGGAAAAGTTTGATAGCCGTGTAACGAGGCCAGGAGGCTGTGCATTGTCAATTAGGCGGACTGACTGCGCTGTTCTCCTGAATTCTGCCAAGGGTGATTACGGCTCCTCGTCGCGCCAATGAAAACATTGTGCTCCGCTCGACCAAAATCGTAGTAAATCGCAAACCAAAACACGATTATTTCACGTTCGCATCCAGACAGACAGAATGACAGGAAACAGAAGGTCAGATACTGGCTGGGAGGGGGGCATTTTGAAAACGGGAAAGACTTTACATGTAAAAATGTTTTTCCTGGCGCATTCGACGTCAACATTGTCCACGAAGAACGCAGCAGAGTGGCTTTTTGCGGCAAATTATCACGTTGCACGCGGCCGCCGGTGTTTTTGTTTTGTCGCTCGCCTCCGCGAACGTGGTGAACACGCACAGTGGCACGCGGAGTAGTCCCACGCTGGGGGCAACGCGTTCCCAGGCCCCCTCCCCCCCCCCGTGGCCGCTGCCGTCACGTCGGCACGCCGGATGATTTGTTGGAAATTTACACCGAGAGGTGTTTCTCGAAGCGGAGCCTTCGGTGACCCCGCTGTTCCGTCTGCCTATAAGTATTAAGGATAATCTACAGCCCTCTGTCATTCCGCTTATAGATGAAGGCCTCCCAATGCCATGCCAGTCTTCGGGGTTATTTGACGATATGTCTCCGTGTTGGCCATTGAGTAGTCGGTGAAGGGTGGGGGGGCGGTGCGTGCCTAGGACTTCTGTTTGGGCGCCACGCACCACCGATGTCACCCATGGCTGTGGCACAAATCCAGGTTGCCGCCGGGTTCAGAGCGCGGTGCACAAACCACGAGGCCACCGTTTTCCCCCCAACAAGCGATAAATAACGTGATTTTAATTAACTTGGCACTTTCAGTTGTGAGGATCGGTCTTCGACTGACCAACGAGCTGAAGCATTTATATAAACGCTCGTGCACCACGTGACATTGAGATTTGGTTGGCTGTGTCGGGTGGTGGAGGGTCATCACGACACAGATGTAGTCAAATCGTTGTGTGGCCTCACCCAAATATCATTTATGAATCGTAACATTACCTGATTCCATACGTGCTACTCTAACTTCGCAAGGTAAAGCTGTCGGCTCCCTTAGGAAGTCGTTTTGCCTTCGCCCGTGTGACTTATCACCAAAGCCGCCCGCGGCGTGCGCCTTCGAGGCTGCGGTCTCACCCGTTCTCTCTCTCTCTCCCCCCCCGTCCCCGCCGCGTGATATTGCCACCGCCACCACGGCGAGCAGGGCTTAAAGAGCCGGAGCGACCATGCCCTCACCTCGTCGCAGGAGTACATCCACGAGCTGCGTGCCGGCATCCAGGACGAGCGGCTACTGGGATGCCTCGAGTCTCTGCGCGTCTCGCTCAACAGCAACCCTGTCAGGTAGCCGTGGAATGCAGCCCCACGGCCCGTGGGCTAAACCCCGTCAGGTAGCCGTGGCCTGCAGCCCCACGGGCCGTGGGCCAACCCTGTCAGGTAGCCATGGCCTGCAGCCCCACGGGCCGTGACCTGGGACCCACAGCCCACGCACATCCAGGGGTAGGGAGCTGTGGGTGTTGGGAGTAGGCAATGTATACGTGCCCTGTATGTGATGATGCACATGGGTGATGCTTACACCCTCTGGTAGTGTTGTACAGCAGGACTGGGGAAAATGACCTAACATTCGTGTGCCCCATGCGATCTGTCGTTCAGAACCTGTGAAGGACGCGCCACTGCACGACACATTACCCGTTGTATATTTTTTCCTCTTAAGGCCACGGTGTCATTGGTGAAAATGTGAGTTGTTTTGATGTTTCCCATGAAATGTCGTGAATGAACAGTCGTTCTGTTTTGCAGCTGGGTGGAAAATTTCGGGCACGAGGGCCTTGGACTGCTCCTCGACATGCTCCACAGCTTGCAGAACTCGCACAAGTACGCGGGGCAGCACCACTGTTAAAAAAAAAAAAACACTTGCGGCGTGACGATGACTCGGCAGTAGGACTCATCATGAGTGCACTCGATGATTGTGAGTTCCGACATGGATCATGTTCCCAAGAAGCTAGCCAAGTGGGTTGGTGTCCTGATAGCCCAGTTAACACGAAATGTCTGGCCAACCTTGGGCTAACGGTTCCAACCACTTTCCAACGTTCGCCCAACGTCGGTGTGATTCCTGGGAGATTGCTGATGAAGGCTCTTCACTAGGATTTATAATAGTCTTCTCCACCCAATGTTCCTACGATGTTTTTTTTTATATTATACACACACTTGGGCCACCCTTTGTCGATCCACTGCTGGATGAGCGCCTCTCCGCACCGTGCGGCGGATCACGGGGGTTTATTTGGCCATACTTCACCACGCCGGTCAGCGCGGGTCAGCAAAGGCGGGCAGCATCGACTCGCAAGCACAGCAGCGCGATACATATAAAGATATCGCCGCACCGACATCTGCCGCCCGCCACGTAGCCCCGCGGCCTGCAGGACCTGTCGTGCACGGCGGTATCCTGTCATCCGTGCGCTGTCCAGGCTTAGCGCCCGAGATGTGATGAGTCCTGGGCGATTTGGTAAAAACCCCAAAAAAACTCTACAAACAGTAACTCGTAGTTGTCCGATGGACTACGCGGCAGCCCTCCTCTAAGCCGCACCGGCCACAAGCGTGGCTCACGTCTCTGCCTTTGTGCTGCTTGCGCCGACAGACCTGAGAACATCACGAGGAAGAACCAGCATGAGATCGTGCGGTGCCTGAAGGCCTTCATGAACAACAAGGTGACGTCTCCCCTGCGCTGCCACTCCACCCCCGCGTGAACTGATTGCGTACAACGCACACAGTGAAAGGACTCCCGATTCTTAAACACGCGATGCACGCATCGTGAGCAGAAGGGCGGCGGGGTGGCACAGTGGTGCCTGACAGCAAGAAGGATCTGTGTTCGAATCCCAACTTGGGTGCCCTTTATGTGTGGTGTCTATGTTTCATCTGGATTCTCCGGTTTCCACCCATAGATAACCGGCTATTAGCCAAAACATCCTCATGCTGAAAATGCACATGCAAATTACTCAATTGGATCCACGCAGCGGCGGCAGCAAGACCACCCCTTACTGCAAAAGCTTTCCAGAATGCTCCTGAAAAAGAGTCTTGAGACTCGGTGAGGCTTTCTCGGATAAACAAACTTAATTGCGAATAATAACAATAACAAGATGATAATGTGATCCCTCTCAACCGCCGAAATGACTTATTTAAACGTTTTAGTTGTCACTAAATTGGTCAAATAAATAGGCCTAGATACATGCGTGCGTTTACCCAACGCTTGAGCTTTCTGCGGTTGCTTCACCCAATCTGTTCGCGTTTGCACTGGAGCTGGTATCTTAAGGCTGCGTGCCCGCGCACGTGTGTTTGTCTTTGTGCGTGCGTGTTGCCGCGAGCAGTATGGGCTGATGCGCATGCTGAGCGAGGAGCAGGGCATCCTCCTGCTGGCGCGTGCCATCGAGCCCGCGTACCCCCCCATGATGGCCGATGCCGTCAAGCTGCTGTCGGCGCTCTGCATCCTGGAGGAGGAGAGGACGTGAGTCATGCACCGGCTGCCACCACGTCCCGCACGGCACCACGTGTGGCCGGCCACGCCAAGAGGGCCCCCACGCGCCCTTGCACAACGTGCTCGACACTCGACATTCTCGTGAAAAATAAAATAACGTATTATATATGCCCACAATTTTATCTCAATTGTGCTGTCGGTCTCTTTGTAATAATAATAATAATTTACACTTTGAAAGCACCTTTTACCCAGAATGTTGCAAAGTGCCTTACAGAACTAACAGAAAACGATATTAAAGTGCACTTATGGGAGGGATAAGAACACCCCACCAAGTAAAGTAAAAACCCCAATGGTAAAAAAAATATCTAAAGGAAGTCAAAAGGGCCTTCAGAACAGATGTGGACATTTAGGCAGGATTTGAAGCAGCCGAGAGACCTGACACGGACCGAGCATCTGGTGGACGTGAATTCCACAACCTAGGGGGGCCGCACGGGAAGAGGCGGGGAATCCATCACCACAACTGTCCATGTGAGAAAACGGCCCACAAAAGCAGATATCACAAAACTGCCTTTGAGGGCACTTCAGGTGACCTCTGTTATGCATTATTACGCGACAGCACTTCCCCACCCGCCCTGACAATGTTTATTCGCACGATCGTCACGCCGATATTTTTAATTCTCGGAACTGGAATTTAGGCGCATTAAGTGCAGAATTAAATTCCATGTGATGGTTATTTTCCGCAGTCATTGGTCACCGGGCTGAGACCATTATTGACTCCGCTACACTTGAACACCTGGTTGAAGCAGAGGCAGTTGCCTGGGTTCTAACCCCGTATCTCAACGGTGCCAGCCGAGCCCCGTGACCTCTTGAGCCACCACCCGGCCACCGCGCACGAGCCAAATACTTAACCGAGACACTTGATGAAGCTGATTATTTCAAAAAGAATTCGACCAAATGGGTACAAAACGTCTCCGTGTTAAATTCGTTTGGCGGCGTGGGTTTTCGGAGCGGGCCCGTGACGCGAGACATCTCGCCCCTGCGTTGTTTGCCGTGCACTCTGCTTTACCACCGCGCGCAGTCACGAGCGGATCCTGGAGGCGCTGACGCAGTGCGGTGAGCAGGAGAACCGCGAGCGCTTCAGCACCATCGTCAAGGGCCTCGGCCTGCGGCAAGGCCTGCAGCTCAAGGTAGCTGCGCAGCATGCGCGACGCGGTTAACTTGTCCCGACGCGGCACCACGTGACCGCTGTTTGGTAAAGTCGTGCGCGTGTGTTACGCAGCCGATGTTTCCCAATGCACAGTTGATTTTTGGGTGGGGTCACGCGATGATCTGACCAAGTCTGTGTTGTTAAGACCCTCCGCTACCCGACGGAGCCAAATAAATATAATTGTTACGTGTACAGCAGATATACAATCATTCGCAAATCCCTGTAAATTGCGGATATGTTGGCGGTTTGCTCCTGCTTCCCGTACTGCGCAGCACACCGCGGCGAATTGAAAACGCGTCACGAACCACAAACCGCGATCCGTAGAGGTGGGCAGGGCTAACACCGAGCTGCAAGAGCGGAGAGAAACACTGAGATAGTTTTTTTTACTTCAGCAGTTCTAGGAGAAACGTATTTCCATATTTTTTTTACTTAAATATCAAAAAAACAAAAACCTTTTTACATAGACCCATATGGCAGATTTATGCCAGCGATTACAGGATTCACATCAGCACGGCTTATCGGATTTCTGCTATACAGGTGTTATTTAATGCGCTAATTCATAATCGTTAAGCGAACCAGTAGTAGAGCAACAATTCTAACAATGAAACGTATCGATCAGACACGCGACATTTCGTATGAAAGGACGTCAAACATTATCGGGACAAGGTCCAGCGAGACGAAATTAGGAATGCACGAGGTCGGACTGCTTCCCGGTTTTGACGCCGCGTCCCGTGTCCCCTCGCAGGTCGGCTGCATGCAGCTCATCAACGCCCTCCTCACCTCCGTGGACGAGCTCGACTTCCGGTTACACCTGCGCAACGAGTTCATGCGCTGTGGCCTCATCGACATTCTGCAGGTGAGCCCCCTCCTCCCTCCGCCTTCCCCTTGAGCGAGTTCATGTGGCGTGGTGTCGTCGGTGTACCGCTGATGGGCGACGTTTCGACGTTCGTGTCGGGGTGGGTGATCGTACGAGCCGGTGGGTGGCTTCAGGATTAGCCTCGTGGTGAATGTCTCAAATGCCGCCATTGGCCAACGATCCGAGCAGACGATTGGACGACTGATAATCACCAAATGGCACGTAAACATTCATTTGGGATTTCATCGTTTCCAATGATGAGCCGCAGCAAATGTTGACCACCCACGCCCTCGTGCGCCGTGCCGGCCTCCGTAGATGCTCGCCAACAGCACTTGCCCCAACAGTCTATTGAAGGTTATGCGGGGGATCTTTGTCTTTGTCCGTGCTTTGTGAGCAGGAGCTGAGGGACCTGGAGAACGACGAGCTGGACGTGCAGCTGCGAGTGTTTGAGGAGAACCGCGAGGACGACTTTGTGGAGCTCTCTCACCGCTACGAGGACATCCGCTTCGAGCTGGAATATCCTTTCTCCCGAGTCCACCGCGGCGCGCGCGTCCATACCACACACAGGGGGCACAGTGGCCCGCAGCCCGCGGGGCCGAAACGGCCCACGGCTTCGTCTCTCTCGACCCCGGTCACCCACACGAGGCCTTTCCGCTTTGAAACGGCCGCAAACAATATTTACCCGCTTGCTGCAAGCATCTTAGCAAGAATCGGGTACCAATCGTAACAGAGTCACCGCACTGTGGAGTGAGGGCATTAGTCCCACGCTGTGGAGTGAGGGCATTAGTCCCACGCTGTGGAGTGAGGGCATTAGTCCCACGCCGTGGAGTGAGGGCATTAGTCCCACGCTGTGGAGTGAGGGCATTAGTCCCACGCCGTGAAGTGAGGGCATTAGTCCCACGCTGTGGAGTGAGGGCATTAGTCCCACGCTGTGGAGTGAGGGCATTAGTCCCACGCTGTGTAGTGAGGGCATTAGTCCCACGCCTTGAAGTGAGGGCATTAGTCCCACGCTGTGGAGTGAGGGCATTAGTCCCACGCTGTGGAGTGAGGGCATTAGTCCCACGCTGTGGAGTGAGGGCATTAGTCCCACGCCGTGGAGTGAGGGCATTAGTCCCACGCCGTGAAGTGAGGGCATTAGTCCCACGCTGTGGAGTGAGGGCATTAGTCCCACGCTGTGGAGTGAGGGCATTAGTCCCACGCTGTGGAGTGAGGGCATTAGTCCCACGCCGTGGAGTGAGGGCATTAGTCCCACGCTGTGGAGTGAGGGCATTAGTCCCACGCTGTGGAGTGAGGGCATTAGTCCCACGCCGTGGAGTGAGGGCATTAGTCCCACGCCGTGAAGTGAGGGCATTAGTCCCACGCTGTGAAGTGAGGGCATTAGTCCCACGCTGTGGAGTGACGGCATTAGTCCCACGCCGTGAAGTGAGGGCATTAGTCCCACGCCGTGAAGTGAGGGCATTAGTCCCACGCTGTGTAGTGAGGGCATTAGTCCCACGCTGTGAAGTGAGGGCATTAGTCCCATGCTGTGAAGTGAGGGCATTAGTCCCACGCCGTGAAGTGAGGGCATTAGTCCCACGCTGTGGAGTGACGGCAGTAGTCCATGCGTGAAGTGACGGCATTAGTCCCACGCGGTGAGTGAGGGCATTAGTCCCACGCTGTGAAGTGAGGGCATTAGTCCCACGCTGTGAAGTGAGGGCATTAGTCCCACGCCGTGAAGTGAGGGCATTAGTCCCACCTGTGAGTGAGGGCATTAGTCCCACGCTGTGAAGTGAGGGCATTAGTCCCCACGCCGTGGAAGTGAGGGCATTAGTCCCACGCCGTGGAGTGAGGGCATTAGTCCCACGCCGTGGAGTGAGGGCATTAGTCCCACGCTGTGAAGTGAGGGCATTAGTCCCACGCTGTGTAGTGACGGGCATTAGTCCCATGCGTGAAGTGACGGGCATTAGTCCCATGCTGTGAAGTGAGGGCATTAGTCCCACGCTGTGAAGTGAGGGCATGAGTCCCACGCTGTGAAGTGAGGGCATTAGTCCCACGCCGTGGAAGTGAGGGCATTAGTCCCACGCCTGTGAGAGTGAGGGCATTAGTCCCACGCTGTGAAGTGAGGGCATTAGTCCCACGCCGTGAAGTGAGGGCATTAGTCCCACGCTCGTGGAGTGAGGGTATTAGTCCCACGCTGTGGAGTGAGGGCATTAGTCCCACGCTGTGAAGTGAGGGCATTAGTCCCACGCTGTGAAGTGAGGGCATTAGTCCCACGCCTGTGAAGTGAGGGCATTAGTCCCACGCTGTGGAAGTGAGGGCATTAGTCCCACGCTGTGAAGTGAGGGCATTAGTCCCACGCTGTGGAGTGAGGGCATTAGTCCCACGCTGTGAAGTGAGGGCATTAGTCCCACGCTGTGGAGTGAGGGCATTAGTCCCACGCTGTGAAGTGAGGGCATTAGTCCCACGCTGTGAAGTGAGGGCATTAGTCCCACGCTGTGGAGTGAGGGCATTAGTCCCACGCTGTGAAGTGAGGGCATTAGTCCCACGCCTGTGAGTGAGGGCATTAGTCCCACGCTGTGTAGTGAGGGCATTAGTCCCACGCTGTGAAGTGAGGGCATTAGTCCCACGCTGTGAAGTGAGGGCATTAGTCCCACGCTGTGGAGTGAGGGCATTAGTCCCACGCTGTGGAGTGAGGGCATTAGTCCCACGCTGTGAAGTGAGGGCATTAGTCCCACGCTGTGGAGTGAGGGCATTAGTCCCACGCTGTGGAGTGAGGGCATTAGTCCCACGCTGTGGAGTGAGGGCATTAGTCCCACGCTGTGAAGTGAGGGCATTAGTCCCACGCTGTGGAGTGAGGGCATTAGTCCCACGCCGTGAAGTGAGGGCATTAGTCCCACGCTGTGAAGTGAGGGCATTAGTCCCACGCTGTGAAGTGAGGGCATTAGTCCCATGTCGTGGAGTGAGGGCATTAGTCCCACGCCGTGAAGTGAGGGCATTAGTCCCACGCTGTGAAGTGAGGGCATTAGTCCCACGCTGTGGAGTGAGGGCATTAGTCCCATGTCGTGGAGTGAGGGCATTAGTCCCACGCTGTGGAGTGAGGGCATTAGTCCCATGTCGTGGAGTGAGGGCATTAGTCCCACGCCGTGAAGTGAGGGCATTAGTCCCACGCTGTGAAGTGAGGGCATTAGTCCCACGCTGTGGAGTGAGGGCATTAGTCCCACGCTGTGAAGTGAGGGCATTAGTCCCACGCCGTGGAGTGAGGGCATTAGTCCCACGCTGTGAAGTGAGGGCATTAGTCCCACGCTGTGAAGTGAGGGCATTAGTCCCACGCTGTGGAGTGAGGGCATTAGTCCCACGCCGTGGAGTGAGGGCATTAGTCCCACGCTGTGGAGTGAGGGCATTAGTCCCACGCCGTGGAGTGAGGGCATTAGTCCCACGCCGTGAAGTGAGGGCATTAGTCCCACGCTGTGAAGTGAGGGCATTAGTCCCACGCTGTGAAGTGAGGGCATTAGTCCCACGCCGTGAAGTGAGGGCATTAGTCCCACGCCGTGAAGTGAGGGCATTAGTCCCACGCCGTGAAGTGAGGGCATTAGTCCCACGCCGTGAAGTGAGGGCATTAGTCCCACGCTGTGGAGTGAGGGTATTAGTCCCACGCTGTGGAGTGAGGGCATTAGTCCCACGCTGTGGAGTGAGGGCATTAGTCCCACGCTGTGGAGTGAGGGCATTAGTCCCACGCTGTGGAGTGAGGGCATTAGTCCCACGCTGTGGAGTGAGGGCATTAGTCCCACGCCGTGAAGTGAGGGCATTAGTCCCACGCCGTGAAGTGAGGGCATTAGTCCCACGCCGTGAAGTGAGGGCATTAGTCCCACGCTGTGGAGTGAGGGCATTAGTCCCACGCTGTGGAGTGAGGGCATTAGTCCCATGCTGTGGAGTGAGGGCATTAGTCCCATGCTGTGGAGTGAGGGCATTAGTCCCACGCTGTGGAGTGAGGGCATTAGTCCCACGCCGTGGAGTGAGGGCATTAGTCCCACGCCGTGAAGTGAGGGCATTAGTCCCACGCCGTGAAGTGAGGGCATTAGTCCCACGCTGTGAAGTGAGGGCATTAGTCCCACGCTGTGGAGTGAGGGCATTAGTCCCACGCTGTGGAGTGAGGGTATTAGTCCCACGCCGTGAAGTGAGGGCATTAGTCCCACGCCGTGAAGTGAGGGCATTAGTCCCACGCCGTGAAGTGAGGGCATTAGTCCCACGCCGTGAAGTGAGGGCATTAGTCCCACGCTGTGGAGTGAGGGCATTAGTCCCACGCTGTGGAGTGAGGGTATTAGTCCCACGCCGTGAAGTGAGGGCATTAGTCCCACGCCGTGAAGTGAGGGCATTAGTCCCACGCTGTGGAGTGAGGGTATTAGTCCCACGCCGTGAAGTGAGGGCATTAGTCCCACGCCGTGAAGTGAGGGCATTAGTCCCACGCCGTGAAGTGAGGGCATTAGTCCCACGCCGTGAAGTGAGGGCATTAGTCCCACGCCGTGGAGTGAGGGCATTAGTCCCACGCTGTGGAGTGAGGGCATTAGTCCCACGCCGTGGAGTGAGGGTATTAGTCCCACGCTGTGGAGTGAGGGCATTAGTCCCATGCCGTGGAGTGAGGGCATTAGTCCCACGCCGTGGAGTGAGGGCATTAGTCCCATGCCGTGGAGTGAGGGCATTAGTCCCACGCCGTGGAGTGAGGGCATTAGTCCCATGCCGTGGAGTGAGGGCATTAGTCCCACGCTGTGGAGTGAGGGTATTAGTCCCACGCTGTGGAGTGAGGGCATTAGTCCCATGCTGTGGAGTGAGGGCATTAGTCCCACGCCGTGGAGTGAGGGCATTAGTCCCACGCTGTGGAGTGAGGGCATTAGTCCCACGCTGTGAAGTGAGGGCATTAGTCCCACGCTGTGGAGTGAGGGTATTAGTCCCACGCTGTGGAGTGAGGGCATTAGTCCCACGCTGTGGAGTGAGGGCATTAGTCCCACGCCGTGAAGTGAGGGCATTAGTCCCACGCTGTGAAGTGAGGGCATTAGTCCCACGCCGTGGAGTGAGGGCATTAGTCCCATGCTGTGGAGTGAGGGCATTAGTCCCATGCTGTGAAGTGAGGGCATTAGTCCCACGCCGTGAAGTGAGGGCATTAGTCCCACGCCGTGAAGTGAGGGCATTAGTCCCACGCCGTGGAGTGAGGGCATTAGTCCCACGCTGTGGAGTGAGGGCATTAGTCCCATGCTGTGAAGTGAGGGCATTAGTCCCACGCCGTGAAGTGAGGGCATTAGTCCCACGCCGTGAAGTGAGGGCATTAGTCCCACGCCGTGGAGTGAGGGCATTAGTCCCATGCTGTGGAGTGAGGGCATTAGTCCCATGCTGTGAAGTGAGGGCATTAGTCCCACGCCGTGAAGTGAGGGCATTAGTCCCACGCCGTGAAGTGAGGGCATTAGTCCCACGCTGTGGAGTGAGGGCATTAGTCCCACGCCGTGAAGTGAGGGCATTAGTCCCACGCCGTGGAGTGAGGGCATTAGTCCCACGCCGTGAAGTGAGGGCATTAGTCCCACGCTGTGGAGTGAGGGCATTAGTCCCACGCCGTGAAGTGAGGGCATTAGTCCCACGCCGTGGAGTGAGGGCATTAGTCCCACGCCGTGAAGTGAGGGCATTAGTCCCACGCTGTGGAGTGAGGGTATTAGTCCCACGCTGTGGAGTGAGGGCATTAGTCCCATGCTGTGGAGTGAGGGCATTAGTCCCATGCTGTGGAGTGAGGGCATTAGTCCCATGCTGTGGAGTGAGGGCATTAGTCCCACGCTGTGGAGTGAGGGCATTAGTCCCATGCTGTGGAGTGAGGGCATTAGTCCCATGCCGTGGAGTGAGGGTATTAGTCCCATGCTGTGGAGTGAGGGCATTAGTCCCATGCTGTGGAGTGAGGGCATTAGTCCCACGCTGTGGAGTGAGGGCATTAGTCCCATGCTGTGGAGTGAGGGCATTAGTCCCATGCCGTGGAGTGAGGGCATTAGTCCCACGCTGTGGAGTGAGGGCATTAGTCCCATGCTGTGGAGTGAGGGCATTAGTCCCACGCCGTGGAGTGAGGGCATTAGTCCCACGCTGTGGAGTGAGGGCATTAGTCCCATGCTGTGGAGTGAGGGCATTAGTCCCACGCTGTGGAGTGAGGGTATTAGTCCCATGCTGTGGAGTGAGGGCATTAGTCCCACGCCGTGGAGTGAGGGCATTAGTCCCACGCTGTGGAGTGAGGGCATTAGTCCCATGCTGTGGAGTGAGGGCATTAGTCCCACGCTGTGGAGTGAGGGTATTAGTCCCATGCTGTGGAGTGAGGGCATTAGTCCCACGCTGTGGAGTGAGGGCATTAGTCCCACGCTGTGGAGTGAGGGCATTAGTCCCACGCTGTGAAGTGAGGGCATTAGTCCCACGCTGTGGAGTGAGGGTATTAGTCCCACGCTGTGGAGTGAGGGCATTAGTCCCACGCTGTGGAGTGAGGGCATTAGTCCCACGCTGTGGAGTGAGGGCATTAGTCCCACGCTGTGGAGTGAGGGCATTAGTCCCACGCCGTGAAGTGAGGGCATTAGTCCCACGCTGTGAAGTGAGGGCATTAGTCCCACGCCGTGGAGTGAGGGCATTAGTCCCATGCTGTGGAGTGAGGGCATTAGTCCCATGCTGTGAAGTGAGGGCATTAGTCCCACGCCGTAGAGTGAGGGCATTAGTCCCATGCCGTGAAGTGAGGGCATTAGTCCCACGCTGTGAAGTGAGGGCATTAGTCCCACGCCGTAGAGTGAGGGCATTAGTCCCATGCTGTGGAGTGAGGGCATTAGTCCCATGCTGTGAAGTGAGGGCATTAGTCCCACGCTGTGGAGTGAGGGCATTAGTCCCACGCTGTGAAGTGAGGGCATTAGTCCCACGCTGTGGAGTGAGGGCATTAGTCCCACGCTGTGGAGTGAGGGCATTAGTCCCACGCTGTGGAGTGAGGGCATTAGTCCCACGCCGTGAAGTGAGGGCATTAGTCCCACGCTGTGAAGTGAGGGCATTCGTCCCACGTCGTGGAGTGAGGGCATTAGTCCCACGCTGTGGAGTGAGGGCATTAGTCCCACGTCGTGGAGTGAGGGCATTAGTCCCACGCTGTGAAGTGAGGGCATTCGTCCCATGTCGTGGAGTGAGGGCATTAGTCCCACGCTGTGGAGTGAGGGCATTCGTCCCATGTCGTGGAGTGAGGGCATTAGTCCCACGCTGTGGAGTGAGGGCATTAGTCCCACGTCGTGGAGTGAGGGCATTAGTCCCACGCTGTGGAGTGAGGGCATTAGTCCCACGCCGTGAAGTGAGGGCATTAGTCCCACGCTGTGAAGTGAGGGCATTAGTCCCACGCTGTGAAGTGAGGGCATTAAGTCCCACGCTGTGGAGTGAGGGCATAGTCCCACGCTGTGAAGTGAGGGCATTAGTCCACGCTGTGGAGTGAGGGCATTAGTCCCACGCTGTGGAGTGAGGGCATTAGTCCCACGCTGTGAAGTGAGGGCATTAGTCCCACGCCGTGGAGTGAGGGCATTAGTCCCACGCTGTGTAGTGACGGCATTAGTCCCACGCCGTGGAGTGAGGGCATTAGTCCCACGCTGTGGAGTGAGGGCATTAGTCCCACGCCGTGAAGTGAGGGCATTAGTCCCACGCTGTGAAGTGAGGGCATTAGTCCCACGCTGTGAAGTGAGGGCATTAGTCCCATGTCGTGGAGTGAGGGCATTAGTCCCACGCCGTGAAGTGAGGGCATTAGTCCCACGCTGTGAAGTGAGGGCATTAGTCCCACGCTGTGGAGTGAGGGCATTAGTCCCATGTCGTGGAGTGAGGGCATTAGTCCCACGCTGTGGAGTGAGGGCATTAGTCCCATGTCGTGGAGTGAGGGCATTAGTCCCACGCCGTGAAGTGAGGGCATTAGTCCCACGCTGTGGAGTGAGGGCATTAGTCCCATGTCGTGGAGTGAGGGCATTAGTCCCACGCCGTGAAGTGAGGGCATTAGTCCCACGCCGTGAAGTGAGGGCATTAGTCCCACGCTGTGGAGTGAGGGCATTAGTCCCACGCTGTGAAGTGAGGGCATTAGTCCCACGCTGTGGAGTGAGGGCATTAGTCCCACGCTGTGGAGTGAGGGCATTAGTCCCACGCTGTGGAGTGAGGGCATTAGTCCCACGCCGTGAAGTGAGGGCATTAGTCCCACGCTGTGAAGTGAGGGCATTAGTCCCACGCTGTGAAGTGAGGGCATTAGTCCCACGCTGTGAAGTGAGGGCATTAGTCCCACGCCGTAGAGTGAGGGCATTAGTCCCATGCTGTGGAGTGAGGGCATTAGTCCCATGCTGTGGAGTGAGGGCATTAGTCCCACGCCGTGAAGTGAGGGCATTAGTCCCATGCTGTGGAGTGAGGGCATTAGTCCCACGCTGTGAAGTGAGGGCATTAGTCCCATGCTGTGGAGTGAGGGCATTAGTCCCACGCCGTGAAGTGAGGGCATTAGTCCCACGCTGTGAAGTGAGGGCATTAGTCCCACGCCGTGAAGTGAGGGCATTAGTCCCATGCTGTGGAGTGAGGGCATTAGTCCCATGCTGTGAAGTGAGGGCATTAGTCCCACGCTGTGGAGTGAGGGCATTAGTCCCACGCTGTGGAGTGAGGGCATTAGTCCCATGCTGTGGAGTGAGGGCATTAGTCCCATGCTGTGGAGTGAGGGCATTAGTCCCACGCTGTGGAGTGAGGGCATTAGTCCCATGCTGTGGAGTGAGGGCATTAGTCCCATGCTGTGGAGTGAGGGCATTAGTCCCACGCCGTGGAGTGAGGGCATTAGTCCCACACTGTGAAGTGAGGGCATTAGTCCCACGCTGTGGAGTGAGGGCATTAGTCCCATGCTGTGGAGTGAGGGCATTAGTCCCATGCTGTGGAGTGAGGGCATTAGTCCCACGCCGTGGAGTGAGGGCATTAGTCCCACACTGTGAAGTGAGGGCATTAGTCCCATGCTGTGGAGTGAGGGCATTAGTCCCATGCTGTGGAGTGAGGGCATTAGTCCCACGCTGTGGAGTGAGGGCATTAGTCCCATGCTGTGGAGTGAGGGCATTAGTCCCACGCCGTGGAGTGAGGGCATTAGTCCCACGCTGTGGAGTGAGGGCATTAGTCCCATGCTGTGGAGTGAGGGCATTAGTCCCACGCTGTGGAGTGAGGGCATTAGTCCCATGCCGTAGAGTGAGGGCATTAGTCCCCACACTGTGAAGTGAGGGCATTAGTCCCACGCTGTGGAGTGAGGGCATTAGTCCCACGCCGTGAAGTGACGGCATTAGTCCCCACACTGTGAAGTGAGGGCATTAGTCCCACACTGTGAAGTGAGGGCATTAGTCCCACGCCGTGAAGTGACGGCATTAGTCCCACGCTGTGGAGTGAGGGCATTAGTCCCACGCTGTGGAGTGAGGGCATTAGTCCCACGCCGTGAAGTGACGGCATTAGTCCCACGCTGTGAAGTGAGGGCATTAGTCCCACGCCGTGAAGTGACGGCATTAGTCCCACGCTGTGGAGTGAGGGCATTAGTCCCACGCTGTGGAGTGGGGGCATTAGTCCCACGCTGTGGAGTGACGGCATTAGTCCCCACACTGTCTCTCGTCGAGGATGCATGACTAATGGGCGGCGACGCGTTCCAGGTTGACGTTACTTGAAGGACATTTGTGCGGCATTCCCCTTGACTGCCCGGCTCACTGACGTGCAGGAGGTCTTCCAGATCGTGTCCAACATCGTGAAAGACACGTTGGCCGAGCCATACTTCCTGTCCATCCTCCAGCACCTGCTGCTGATCAGAAACGACTATTTTGTCAGGTTAGTATTATTATTGTTGTTGTTGTTGTCTTTCTTGATCTCCCATTTTTGTTTTGGATCATCATGAACACCTCATTTGAAACCCACACATCACACCTCCCGACTGTGACATTCCTCAAAAGCATCGGCGGTGTGACCATCAACCGCTTCACAACATCAGCACGCCACGGTAGAGCGATGGTGACGATGCAACCCAAACTACGCACCACACAGTAAACCCATATGGACCCATAGAGATGCATAGAGACTCGTAGTGATGCATTAAAGGCAAGCCAAGGTCGTGCGACTGTGGCCATGTGACCCACACTCACTGTTAGACCGTTTGAGTAAACTGCTGAAGTCTGCACTCCTTCAATGGAGATGGAACCGCAGAACTACACAAGCTCTCTCCTGAAGCCCCCTCGTCGTAGCCAGCAGTTCTCCACATTGGCATCGAGCCTCAACGTTTTGCCACGTGCAAGGAGAAGAGCATCGTCAGCAGCGGTGATTTATCCAGTGCTGAATAACGGCCCTCCTCAAGACACTGGCATCTCTCGCTGTTATAGTTTTGAAGCTCATTAACGTTTCCAACAAGACACAACATATGTAAAAAGCACACAGCCTCTGTACATTATGCAAAAACCATCCACATTTTGCCGAACAAGTGCATTGTGGTGCTCTTGTACGAGGTCACCATCAAATATGCCTCAACAACTGTGACAGACTGACGACGATCGACAACCGTGGAGCGGTTTCGTCCTCTACAGGACTCGTCAGCACAGTAAGGTCGCCCAATGCTCACTGCAGCAGTCTGCTCCTGGCAGTGGAAGCGGCGATGTGTTTTTCTAAGTGACAAGATAACAAAACGATGCGTATGCACGTCCCATCGCCCGACTCTGCAGGCCCCAGTACTACAAGCTCATCGAGGAATGCGTCTCGCAAATCATCCTGCACCGGAACGGAGTGGACCCCGACTTCCGGCACGGAAAGCGCTTCCAGCTGGAGGTGGAGCATCTCGTCGGTGGGTCTCCAGCGCCTCCCGCGGGCGGTCTCCTCTTCATCCACCCTGTGTGGTCCACTCACCGCCCACTGCGCTCCGCTCACCGCTCATTGCGCTCCGCTCACCGCTCATTGTGGTCAACTCACCGCTCGCTGCACGCCGCTCAACGCTCATTGTGTTCCGCTCACCGCTCGCTGTGTGCTACTCATCCCGCATCACGACGAGTGACGTGCTCGCCACAGGGTGACGGTCAAATCGCCGCAGCACTTGTGGCAGTCTAGGTGCACTGTGGCAATATGTGAAGTGTCGAAGTCTGGAAACACTAACCCGAATCTCCTTGTGGTGTCCTCAGCCGATTGCGCTCATCGACACATCCACCACAGTGGCAAAAATGTGGCTTTGGCCTGGTGTAAGGGGTGAAGTTGTTAACCATACAACCACGGGAAAAAAAATCTAATCTGTGCCACTCACCAGTCACCATGCACCCAAGCCATGTCACTTATCAGCTCACCATGTACCACTCACCGCCCAGCCAATGCCACCAACTGTCATCATCAGCAACCAAATTCTATCCACTGCCGGATGAAAACCTTCCCAATGCTCGTCCATCTTTCACAGTCCTGCGATAAAATATCAATCCATCTAAGCCGATGTTATCACTCCATCTAACTAACTATTTTTATTTTACCAGTTAAGGCCCACTGAGCCATATAGCTCTTTTTCGAAAGCGACCTTGTCACAAATGATAGCCCAATGAAGTGGCTTATTATTACGTGGAAGTTTGACGCGGACAAATCATCTCCACTTCGGCTGCCGCTTGGTTTGGAGTGACTCACGCGAACATGTCCGGGACCAGGCCGAGGGCACCCGTGAACGACACGCGTGCCTCGCCGTCGCGCAACGGGCAGACAAAAATCATTCGCCCGCATTTGTGTGACCCGCCCCCACGTCGAGTGTGAACCGCTGGAGCGCGTGCCTCTTCCAGATGTGCTGGTGGACAAGGCGAAGGTGGACGAGAGCGAGAGCAAGGCTGCAGAGTTGGCCAAACAGGTGGGAGAGAGCAACTGCTCGCTTAGTCCCCGAGTTGAACCGCTCGGCAAGAGTAACGTTTCATATTAAAAATAACTCATGCGACCCGCATGGCAGGAAACTGGTCAATAACCAACTGCTACCCAAAGAATGATAATACTGCACACACAATGTTACACTCAAAACGTGATTTCAAGACTGCAAGAGGCCCATTGCTTTGGTCCTCCCATCGTGCCTTGCATGCCACATGACATTTATTTAAGCAGGGACCCGCGTGGCAGTTTCGACTTGGCGAGTTCTCTAAATTGGCGGCCGCCTAGCCGGCGGACACGTGTGCGCGTGGTCGGGGCGAGAGTAGTAACGCGTCGCGCGGTTCCCGCGTGTGTCGCGTGCAGCTCGACGCGGAGCTGACGGCGCGGCAGGAGGCGCAGGCGACGCTGCAGAAGCGCGAGGCCGACTTCGAGGCGCGCCTGCGAGAGCTGGAGGCCGAGAACCAGCGGCTGCGCCAGCAGGTGACGGGTTGATGGGCGGCACGACCGCCGGCGCCACGGTTACAAAGTGACCGGTGGCCCACGGGGTGGTGTGGCCACCGCTAATGTACCCCCTCCCCCCCACCGTGAAAGTCGCCGGGGGGGGCCACGTTTGTGGGCTGCGTGGACTTTGACGATGAAAATGGAACAGACGCTGAAGGAAGCACGGAGGAGCGCATGCTCGGGGCTATCACGGTCGTAGCTCCAGTGAAAATATCTCACGAGCAGAAGCAAAGTGTGATATAGATGCTGAAGTGAGGAACGCCTTGAGACAACTTACAAACGTACGCACATCGTTTAATGGGACGCGATTCATCGCCTGTTACGTATCTCTTTGCCGAGGACCAAATCACCCGCAATGCGACCGATCTCGCCAGCTCTCGGAAGTTAAACAACTTTGAGCCTTGAAATGGCTCAGATGGGCGACCACCATGCGTAACAAGGTGTTGTAGGCTGCGGGAATACGCGTGTGGATGGCAGAGGGCAGGTGCGGTTAAAGCCATTGTTGCACCGTACTTCTGTGGATTGGCAAAGTGGCTGTACAATCTATTCTTGCGTACAGCAGAAATATGGTTCAGAAGCTAGATGCCTAATGTTGAGTTCTGCTGACCACAACAAGAGGACTTCAGGAGAGAGTTTGTGTCGTTTTGCTGTTCCTACAAACTAAAGTGGTTTACTATTTGGTCCATAGTTTGGGTTGCATGGTCACAATCGCGTCACTGTGGTTTGGGTCTTTAATTTCCCGTTCATGAAGGAGATCTGTGCATCGGCCTGCTGATGCTCTGATGCTGGTCAACTCCGGTGTCTTCGAGAAGGCATGTCAAAGGCAGGAGGTGCGATGTTTGGGTAGTGACCGTACACGTGCACACGTGCGCAAGTCTCACGGGACGTGCGTTATTCTGCCCGGTCAACAGGGCCAGGGCATCCCGGGCATTCCCATGCCACCGCCTCCGCCTCCCCTCCCCGGTGGCGCCGTGCCACCCCCGCCACCTTTACCCGGAGGCATTCCCCCACCTCCTCCCTTGCCTGGCATGGGAGGGCCTCCTCCTCCTCCGCCGCCGCCGCCTCCACCTGGTTGCGGCCCACCCGGGCCCCCTCCTCCGCCGCCCCCCTTTGGCAGAGCGCCCCCCATGGGAGGGATGGCGCCGTCGCCGCCGTCTCTTCCAGGGGCCCAGCTCCCCCACGGCCTGAAGCCCAAGAAGGAGTACAAGCCGGAGGTGGCCATGAAGAGGGCCAACTGGGCCAAGGTGAGAGGGGCCCTCGGTTCATGATTTAAATGTCGTGAGTTCCCTTTTGTGTGTCCTGATTGCGCTGCCAGTGTCGTGCAATGAGACGAATCCATTCGGATCACTGGCAAACGAGCGGATCAGCCCACGTAAGTGGATATCACAGAACTACTACATATCTTCCGGTGACCACTGATGCACACAGTCAGGGGCAGGGCTTTCCCACCCACTCTGCTACAGAGAGTAATGTTCATGGCATGAGGGTCAAAGCAATATTTTAATCATCCGTGCTGAAATCTATTGAGATTTAGGTAGCAGCAACGATATGTTGCGGTCGCTGTGCCTTGAAACGGGGGACTTGTAACCGCGAATGCGATCTCAACGGCCAATTTTTTCGCAGACGCACGAAGCGGGTAGAGCGATGGTTGGGCAGCAGTCGCGCGGGCAGCAACAAACACTGACAAGGGGGAAAAGTCGCGTTGTGTGTGTTTGCGCGCGTGTGTGTATGTATGCGCGCCTGTGTGTGTGTGCGTGTGGGCGAGTGTGCAGGCGCTTGCCCGCACGCTCTCACACAATGTTGACTGCTCATTGTGCGCTCTCTTACAAAAGCCCCGCACTCGCTCGCTCGCTCGGGGAAGGAACAGCCTGAACTAATAATATCAGGAAGCGCCGAGATTTTTGCCGGCGTGTGGTGACTGGAGTTTGGCTCTCACTCAGCTCAAAACACTGTTAATGTTTTCCTCAATTTGTACGTGATTTGTCAAGTGTGAGCTATTGCCGTTAGGTGTTCAACAGTCGGTGGGGCCGGGAGGCATTTCATACGTGTTTATATATTTAAAAGGCTGTTATTATGGTTTGTACAGTTCCTCTGTTAAAATATATTTAAGTGGTAGAAAGTGGCCGGGTGGCTCGGAGGTCAAAGCGGTGTGCCTGCACCGCTCGTGGTCCTGGGGTTGAATCCAGGTTTGGGCTGCTCGTGATTACACCAGATTCTCAAGTGTGAGCGAGCTGATGGTCTCAGAAATAACTGCACAAAACTAGCACCGCAACGTATTTACTTCTGCACTTAATGTGGCTAAATTCCGGCTCTTTGAGATTTTAAAATATCCGTGGGACTGTCGTACGATAAACGTTATCAGGGCGGGGTTTGGAAAGTGCTGCCACATCGTGTAGAGAACAGTGGTGACCTGAAACGATCTCGGTGGTGGTTTTGTGATATCTGCTTCTGTGGGCCGTTTTCTAACATGGAGAGTTGCAGTACCTCTGCGGGAGTTCCGAATAGATTCTCTGTCTCTCGACCTGATGGACGACCGGGCCTTTATGAGCTGACCCATCTGGGTTTGAAGTCCGGGTTTGGGCCGTGTATGAATAAGCCACGTTCTCCAGTGTCCGCACCTCCGCTTAGCACGGTTGGCTACGTACAGTGCTGAAGAAGTTCAGCATACATACATGCTTAGCGAGTGGATGGTCAAAACCCAACCACCAAAAACATTACATTTGGTTCTGCACTTAATCTGGTCCAAAATTCCTGCTCTTTCGAATAAGAAAAATTTAAGTTTGACTCTCAACGCGATCAGCATTACCGTGTAGCAGGACAGTTTGGAAAGCGCTGCGTCCTTACTGTGTGCATTTAGGGTCAACTTGAAGGGATCTCAGAAGTAGTTCTGTGATCTCCGCTTCTGTGGACCCCGCTCTCGAACACAAATGGTTGCTCAGAGTTCCAAATGGACTCTTCGTCTTGGGACGTGGTGCCGGTGGCACAATCGGGATACAGTGAGATAAGATCAAATATTGACATGCACACACCTTAGACAATTCAATTACAAGTAAATAGAATCGTGGCTATTTGTTCATTGTTGTACATTTTCTACAGCTGCACCCTTCATCCCTGGGGGTACGTGTTTCACTTGAGACAACCAAGTTACTTTACAAACAGGGCCATCGTGTTCCAGTTACGCTCGTGTACACAGCAGACTTACATTACAGCATTGTGGCACATGCTAGGCGTTGTGCGTGTGTGTTTTCCAATTAATTATTTCAATATTTTACCTGGCTAAAATCCCGATAGAAGCAGAAAGGGTGCCGTTCCAACCGACCATCGGGGGTTTTGAGCGCACCGGTTCAGTGCCACTCATCCCCAGGGTTGTTTGGGAATAGAGTGGGGTAACCAGGAGCCTTTAGAAGTCACATGGCGGAGCTGATCGGAGTGTTTGTGATTTGGAATGGAGAGCTGGGGTTGTATTGAGGGCAGAGTGCCGAGCTGGGCGCGATTAGAAATGAGGCGGGAGAAGTTGGGGACTGTTTAGCAGCGGGCTGGAGTTGCTTGAGTGGTGTAGTTAGTATCTAGGAGTGTTTGTGTGGACAGAGTGTGGAGCCGTGAGTGTGTTCAGAAGCCGGGCGCTGGTGGCGCGCATCTGTGATCTAACGTTGGTGGATCACCGCATCAAGTGTTGTGAAACACCCTTCCCGTGGGGCGTCGGAGAGCCATACCTTGGCTTGCCAGGAGAAGGCAGTACAGCAATAATGTCATTGTGGGATAGAGTGTTTCCCCCTCGCACGTGTGGGTTTACTCCAGTTGCTCCGGATTCCAAATGTATACGCTCACCTGTGGTTCCTCCAGGTCGTTCTCTCCCTTCGGGAGCGAGGAAGGATTAGTGTGCGGCGGTGGCAGCACAGCGTTACAAGTTGAAGTTGAGAAGTGATGCGGATAACTGGGATTGACGGGAGCAGAGTGGCGGTGGGAGGGGGGTAGGTCGTGATTGTGGGTGACGGAGGCAGGCGGCAAATGTTTTATGGCGTCGGCTCCAGCCGTTCGATGCGCAAGCCGGTCGACGTGGTGCCGTCTTGCCGTGCAGATCCGCCCGCAGGAGATGGGGGAGAGCTGCTTCTGGACGCGCGTGAAGGAGGAGAAGTTCGAGAGCCCTGACCTCTTCGCGAAGCTGGCGCTCAGCTTCTCCTCCCAGACGAGGCGTAAGCCGCTTCACTCACATGAGCACTCACACCTGTGTGCACGCACATACCTGGGCACTCACACCTGTGTACGAACTCACACCTGTATACAACAACAACAACAACCGCCATTCGCCACTAAGTGGCGGTGACGTCAGAATAACGCTTGTGCCAGGCTATGTGCACCTTGAGGCCACGTGAAGTGTCGAACGCCCGCTGGCAGGAGGTCACGAGGCAGACCCAGCAGGTGCCACGGGTTGACTGACCGAGATGACCGAGATGACTGGCTGATGCACCACCTGTGCCCCCTACTGTACCAACTTGCTGTGCACACAAACACACAGATAGGCCTCATGTGGTCACGGCGTTGTGAGATTAAGCCGCCATGAGCCGCATTCGGCCCACAAGACCGTAGGTTCCCTGCCCCTGCTGTGCGGCAGAGGTAGCGGGTGATAACGATCGCGTTACGCAGGAATTACACGCGAGTTCCAATGGATTTGTCGTCGAATGCATAGTAAGCTGGCGCGCACAGAAATAACGTTGTATCCAGCGAGCCTCCGGAGAAACCCACGTACGCCTGTTATGTTCATCACTGTGATCTCTGCGGTGATGCGGCCCATCGGCAGAGCGCTCGCCGCTTTTGCAGAGGTTCACGGTTCGAGTCCAGTGGCCCACCCTGGTGTTTTTACTGTGGGTGGGTGTAATAACCATAACAAGACTCAGCGTCGTCTGCTTCACGATGGATGTGAATGATCCCCCGACGTCATTCGCAAGAGTACGCCACTGTGTGCCAGCTTCAGGGTCCACATCGAACAAATGTAAAAATGGCACAGCAAAATACCCAATAGTGAATACACACAGCTGCAATTATCGCCCCCTACTGGTTGACTAAATCCCCAGGTCGCTTTTGAAAATGAGACTCGTGTTGGTCGTTGGAGTTCTCACCTGGTTTGAACAGAATCAAACTTGAAACTTTCCTTTCTCAGCTACACAGCTCATAAGAAACTCACACGTGAGAGGTTTTATTTGCCTTTGTCGTGAGTGTACCTTGAACGCAAGCTGGGAAACTTATAAAATTAGCGGAAAAGACCCCATGCATTGTGTCACTGATGTCACCCATGCGTGTTTTTGGTCCGTTAACTCGTAAGACATGGGTCTCTCCCGTAACCTCCTGCCAGCGAGCCTCGACGTGCACCTCGCATTGGCACGAGCGCCCCTCTGACCTCCACCACCGCCGAGCGGTGAACGGCGGCTGCTGGAGCCCAGCACGCTGCGGGCCGCGACGTTTGCCGTTACTCTGAATGTCGAGGCAGGAAGGAAGCCTGCTTGTGTGCGTTACGGGCGGGGACGGGAAGCAGGATGGTCCTTCTCCTGGCTCGCTTTGCCTCTTCATTGTTTTAAACGGAGAAGAAAAAAATAATAACTTTGACCGCAAGGATTTTTTGTTGTTGTTTCTGTATACATATCAGTTTCCCTAAATTGCGCTCAGATCTATAACTCACAGCCCCAGCGATTTATAATCGCGGCCCTTGATCGAGAACGTAGATGGCTGTACTTGCAAAAACAATTCATCGTTATCGTAGATATTAATTAAAGCAATTATGTCGCATCTGTTAAAACATTCCTGAGAGCCCCCCTCTGTTTATTTAAAATATTCCGATTGTGCGTTAAACACATGCTTGAGCGTTACGTGGTGACGGAACTAATGAGTGCCCGTGTTGTTGTGTAATTAACCATTCCACCTGACCCCCCGTGTCTCCTGCACCATGTGTTCGTGTGCATGTGCCCCATGCCTGCATTGGGCCCTTACACCCCCCCCCCATCCTCTCCCTCCCCCCTTTCCACCCCCTCCCCCTCCCTTCCACCCCCGCCGACCCCCGACCCACAACCCCCACGTCCCTTCCGCTACTACCCTCTGCAGTGACGGGGAAAGGTCAGTGCTGCTTGTGTCGTTTCCAGTGTGGGATCTGCTGTGCTGGAGACTCACGGCTTCTAGTTTAACACTTTGGTAGTTAAACACATGGGCTCAATTACAATTTTAATTTCTATTGCAGTTAATCATAATAATAATTAATGGTAATGCTTTTATATTGCGTCGTTCCTGCACATTGAATCTCGCAGAGCTGTAGACTTTGTAATGCGGGCAGACTTTGCACGGACACGCGGGAAATTATAAAGTGGGGGGCAAGCGGCCACAACCGGTGCCAACAATTTCTCAAGCTATGTGGCCCTATCTATATTGGGATGTTTGACCCACTCCGTCGGTGACTTTCACTCGTAGTCTCATTGTAATCAGCTGACTGGCGCTGCTGTGATGGTAATTATAGTTCCGGATAACAACACTTGAGTCGTTATAATAGTTTCAGATAACATTTGAGTAGTTGTTATTATAATTGACCCCAGCTGTGTGTGTTGTGTAGACACTCGCTAAAACTGTGCTACGCACTATATCCTTGACGGTTGGAAATTAAATCGCGTTGTAATTTTTGTTTCAAGTTAGTGACTTGTATTAGACTATTGGGGGACTGTACCCCATGTACAAGTTACAAAAATACGCATTTGCGGCTTCGTTGAGTGTTTGGGAGTGATGTTTAATCGAGCGAACAGCAGTGGCTTTATTAAGCCACCAAAAACACGCCGCTGGAAAGCAATTGGCTCAGACGGCCGGTCATTCGATGGACGTGAACGTGAATTTGTTTTTTGTCTTTGCGAAAGCGAACCACGTCTCTTCATTGTTGATTAATCCTTACATTGCGGAGTGGTGGCACCGCCGCGGTTTAGCGCACTCGCGTTGGGAACGCGGCGAACCCGAGTTCGATTCCCAACCCCGGCTGACATCAGTGGCCGGTGACATCCAAACCGATTTAGCCCCTCCACCCATTTAGCAACCCGCATTGAGCGCTTGGGTGACGTATCGTCGAATAAACCCCATGACCAACGCGCCTTGGGGGAGGAGGCCTTCATCCAGCAGTGGATTGACAAAGGATGATAATCGCTTTGACCGAAATGGTGCTGTTCAACATGAAAGTAGCGCAGTTTTAGCTTGCTGTTCCATCCTCTTGATCCTCTCTGTGTTTTGACAATCTCACCGTTGGCTAAATGCCCTAACACTGCTATGTCCACTGGCTCTTGCTTAACTACCGTGTGCCTTCCTCACTGATGCACCGCCCCCTCCCCGTCCAATGCCCACCCCCCACTCATCAGAGTAATTACACCCACAGTCATTTCCTCTTCTCTTTTTGTAATTACACTGCCCCGATTTTAGTTCTGTCAGCTATGACTTAAGGGTCCCCGCGCTGCTGGTTTCACGATCGTCGCTCGATAGCAGTTTTCACACGGGCCGACAGAGAAGAGCTTCCCTCGCCCGAGTCTGAAGGCTCATCTTTCAGGAGGGGGTCCCTGCAACGTTGGAATTTTGTCGGCTACGAATTAAATTCACGAGCATTTTTTGCTGCATGCGGGAGCGAAGCGGTGAACCCAGGGGGAAAAAAAAAACACACTCTGCAAGACCAGGGGCTAACACTCGAAAGATCCACACAGCTAGATTCAAGAATCCACTTCTGTACTGCCGTCGTACGGGCCTACCTCGCAGCCCAAATTCACAACATCTGGCCACCCAGCCAGTGACTCATCAGGAGCGACCCTGCTTAGCTTCCAAGGTGTAACTAAAGTCGTATACTTTCAGGGTGGTTTGGTTCGCATCATCACCACCGTCAACAGCCATGGTCAATCCACTGCCAGATGATGGCTTCGCGAAGCCATCCCCACCTAGGGGTGCTATGGTGGCGAGATGTTAACTATCTCACCTGGTATGTAGGAGGTCGTGGGCTCAATCCCGATCCTAATGCCTGTTGTATATTTGGATTTTTGCACGCTTTAGCCCATGATCGCGTGGATTTTTCTCTCCGGGTGGTCCGGGTTTTTCCTCTACAGTTAGAAACATGCGTTTAGAGCATTTGCCTGCTATAAATGACCACAAGATAAACCACTTCGTTGGGCTATAATTTGTGGCCAGGTAGCTTCTGAAAAAGAGCTAGATAACTCAGTAAAGTTTTTGTTGTAGTTTAAAAAAACATTTTTTTTGTAATAGTTTGTAAAAAATCTCTCTCAACCCTACGACGTAACAATCCACCTTACACTGTAGACATTTTGTTATTTACGGCCTGTGCACATATGGAAAGTTGGGACGGATAACACGACGGGTGTTGGGTGGGGGTGGCGGCGGGGGGAGGCGGGGGGGGGGCGCGGTATTCCGCCGCCGCTCCTCCGGCTCGACGGATTCACGGAGTCTGCCACTGGGCCAAAGGTCAACGAGACACAAATGGGATCGCGCCATTCCCCTGGGGGCCTCCTGTCCACTGCTGGATGCATCTTGGCCGCACGCGGCGCCCTCCTGGGACGGCGCGGGATCGGCCTGGGAAGTTAGGCACAGCGTGTAAAACTTTGGCGGGTTTATTTTCTCGTAATTTTCCAGTGTGTTAAGTCGTGTGTATGGAGGGTAGAGAGAAGCGTTTATTTGCGTTTCGGGGAGGGGTTTTTGCGCTTGTCTTTCGAGCACCGCGTGGCTTTGCAGTCCCTGGCAGAGATCCTGCACTTGTGATCCAAAGGTCGCGGGTTCAACTCAGTCTCCTGGCACGGCGGTTGAAACAACAGTGCAAGTTTCTTAAATCCAACCCCCCGCCCTTACTTCTGTCCACCCAGCACTATAAATGGGTCCACCACAGTAAAGTCGATCGGCAGATCGCGTGTGGTGAGTAAAGTGTGGATACTCCCCCACCTCTATCAAGATGTCAGTCCCGCCTGAATAAGTAATATTTTGAAAAAACTTTTTTTTTTAACACGCTTTTATGAATTGTACTGGTAATGGCAAAACTCCACGACTCCAGGAAGTGGCCCCCGAAGCTTGCCATAACATAAGGGACCGTGGCCAATTACAGCCAACGTCAGTTGACCGTGGACAATTCTACCCAAGCTGAAACATAACATATCAAACAAATATAAAAAATATATATATATTATGATAGAATATAGTATTGTCATCAGTATGACATAAGTATACCAAGTTTGCAGTCGATACCACATTGGGAAGTGAGTTAAAATTGAGTTACAAGATTTGAGGATACGACAACAACAACAACGACAGACAGAGTGAGTTAAAAGAAAGCGTGTTGAAAGAGTTGGAGCTCTCCAGAGCTCCCTCAAGTGGAGGCCCTTCCGCCAGCCAGGAGTGGCGTCGATGCAAGCAGTTTCAGGGCTGCCCCATTACCTAATTTTTTATCAAAGCACCCCTTGGCTTGGCACTCTGTAGATTCCTCGACAATAGAGACATGTAACGCCGTGTCGCTTCTCGGCGCCACGGGGCGTCTCGGTCGCGCGCGCCGGCCGCCGCTTTTCCGACCCCGCCGGGGGCTGCGCCTAGGTGTACTGACGCGAGACGAATGTTTGCTTGTGTCCCTCTGCTCTCACGAAGCCTCGGATGCTAGCTCGCTGGAGGAAGAGCCCAGTGAGTGGTGGAACACCGTGTGGTTTTTACATTTTTCCTGCAACGTGATCTCCAGAGCCTCCTTTTCCTCCTCCTCCACCCCCCGCCCCTCCCCCGATGCCTCCAGGCATTTCCCATGACACCGATTTCACAAAATTAGGCAGTTCCGTCCTTTGACTTTGACTTCTCCGGGTTGAGTGTTTTTTTGCGGTTTTACTTGGAGCGATTTTATTGCTTCTCATAAAGCGGCTACATCGTGTGTCTACTCTAGCGTCAATGTTCAGAAAGCACGGCGACTACCGATAGCTTTTGTCAAGCAGTGTATTTTTTTTGCGAGCGCTGCTTTGCGTGCGGCCGTTCACTCTGCGCTCGTCCGCAGCTAAGAAGGAAGAGGACGACGTGGACGAGAAGAAGTCGCTGGCGCACAAGAAGAAGGTCAAGGAGCTGAAGGTGCTCGACCCCAAGACGGCGCAAAACCTCTGTGAGTGGCGGCACCGTCTCGGGACCACCTCCGGGCAGGGCCCTCGGCCCGGAGCCTCCCCACGTCCTTGGCCGGTCACCAGTGGCGGTGCTTGGCATAAGAAGGTCACGTTGGCGAGATGTCAACTACCTCGCCTGGTATACAGGAGGTCATGGGGTTCGAACCCGACTCTTGACACCTGCTGTATATTGGAGTTTGCGGTGTCTCTCTCCCCGTGGTCATGTGGATTTTTCTGCAGGTCCTCCGGTTTTTCTTTGCACATTTAGAAATGTGCATTTAGAGTATGTGGCTGCTATACATTTCCACGTGATAAGCCACTTCGTTGAGCTATCATTGGTGGCCATGTCGCTTCTGAAAGAGAGCTATATAGTTCAGTAGGCGTTACCGAGTAAAGTAAAAAATAGTTTAGTTTAGATGAGCAAAAGTTTATATCCCCAAGCAATCCAAGGGATCCCGGATGTATAAACTCAATTGGGGTGAACAAAATTTCAGCTGAAATTCAATATCCTTATAATCGACATGCCGAGCAACTTACAACACCAGCTATTCATCTCTCTCATCTCTGTTTCTTCTGGGCCTCTCTTCGCTCAGAGGCTAGAGAGGGAGGCGATGGCATCTCTGTGTACTGTGAAGAAGAATGGCCATTGCCCAAACCATCGCCTATTATAAACTTTTCGAGGCGGTGTTAATCGCCGAATGTATTGAGGTTTTTTTTTTTGTGATCTGTGCTTGTGCACCACTGCCGATGCAGCGTCACCACCACATACTATGTGGCACAACGCTGCCAACCCGCCACCTCCGTGCCCATTTTGTTTCACAAGACCGACGCTCTGCCATGCGATGTTTTTGTAACAAAAAAAATTTGACGATTCGGGTTCGCGATCCGACTCTGGAATCAGTTCTGTTAACCATGTGGCGGATGAGACGCCTCCAGCGGCTGTAATGGTCGCGTGAACCTATTACGTAACATACATACGGTGTAATCATTGTCATCGGCCGTGAGCAGTCCGCTGCTGGATGAAGGCTTCCCCAAGCGATCGCTAGAAGTGTGGGGTGGCCCTTATCCCACAGTGGATTGACAAAGGTGCTGCACAAAAATACACAGAGTTGTCTTCCTTTGTCAACGGATGTATAGGTATTGATATTAATCGATTCACGGCAAAATGTGTAGTAAGTAACATTTAGGCAAGGTGGTGGCGCAGTGGTAACGCTTGGGTTCTATTCTCGACTCGACTGTTTTTCTGCGTGGAATTTACATGTTCTCTATCTGTACGTAAAAAAAAACATATGGTGTAGCTGGTGTTGGCTAAACATCTCAATGCTGAAATATTACACATTACTCAATTTGGATCACACGGTAGCAGCATTTCTCCCCTCTTGTCAGAAAGCTTCGCAGGACCCTCCTGAAAAAGAGTCTTGAGACTCAGGCCTTCCTGGGTAAACATTCTAGATTTGAAGCTTTCGTGACTGCAAGGATTCATACTCTTAGGTTTTACTGGTAGGAACGAAGTGAACCAGCCTACAATAGATTATATCGTCCGTCCGTCCGATGTCCGATGAGGTGTAGCAACATCGCCCCCTACTGCAAACACTTGGCAGGACCCTACAAAAACCTTTAGACTCAGTGAGGCTTTCCTGGCTAAACAAGTGTAACATTCCCTTAGAATTCCCTGAGATAGTTTTTAATTAAAACATTTAAATTAATAAATTAAAAATTAACTCACAGCGGCCTAAAGCCTAGAACTAGGCCTCAAACTCTCCCTTCGTATCGTACCCCCGCCATTTCATTTTATTATAGCCATTCATTTGTTCGTTCCTACCAGCCCACCCCGCAGGGACCTGTTTTTCGGTAAAGTCACGTAGGTAAAAAAGTTGTTTTTTTTTTTAAAATAATAATAGAAATAAAATTGGGTAAACAAGCAGAATAATAATACTAATAAGACACGGCTGTAACTCTGTGTGTCTAAGTGACCATTGCGGGGCTCGACGTGATGGCATGCCTGTGTGCGTGTGTGTGGCAGCGATCTTCCTGGGCTCTTTCCGAATGGACTACCAAGAGATCAAGAGCATCATCCTGTCCGTGGACGAGGAGCGAATAACAGAGTCCATGATCCAGGTCAGCGCCCCTCCCCTCTCCTCCATTCTCACACTATTGGACATCTGCGTAGAAGATCTTTATAGCTCATCAGATTCCTCCAGTATAAAACACATTCCTGCTGAGGGAGCTGGTAGGAACGTTGGGTTGCTCGGTCAGTGGCCAGGGTCAACGGCGGCGTGGTGTATTCCGCAAATATGCACGACTGTAAGGGCGGGCACAAGCCGGCGTGAGTATGAAGGGCACCACGGGGTGACCAGCCCCTCCCCACCCAGCCCCACCCCACCCTGCCCCTCCACCAACCTCCCCACCCAGCCCCTCCCCACCCTCCCCTCTCCACCCAGCCCCACCCCTCCCATTTTTGGATGCACAACGGACAGACGGACGGACACAATAATCCCCTGTGGGCTGGTGTAACCAGGAGGTTCCTATCAGTATAAATCTTCTGATTCACTTGCACAGTGGACGAGTAACTCATCATCATCATCATCAGCCATGTTCAATCCACCGGTGGACATTACTACCGTCGCCATCTCGCACAATCCTGCGACGGAGTAATCCACTTGGCGCCTGCACGCGAGCCGATTCCTTCGCTCCATCTCCCCCCACCGGTGGGACCTCAATCTCGGATTGCGTTCAATTCCTTGGATGGCGCTCCGTCATTGCTCACGAACCCGTCGCCATTGTGCCCTCGAGCCCGTGACGCGGCCTGACCCCCGAGCCCCGCTCGCTGCTCTTGCAAACAGTTTGGATGATGTCATTATTCCGCGTGCGTTCTCTGATCCACGTGTTTCCCTTTCCTCATTGTAATTCCAAGCGCGCGCACACACATATATATTGCTTCCTTGTGCGCTTTTCACACGTGAACGACCATAAAAAAATGAGACGAAAAATAATCGTAGCGTTGGTGAGACTCGCCACCCGCCACTTGCTTTGTTTTGTTCTCGGGCCTGTGTAACACAACAAACACGGAGCTGTGAAATAACATCGCCCCCAGGCGCTGTAATCAAATAAACAATAATTACACAAACACTTCCGCAGTGTATTCACCAGTCTGGACAATGCGCCCCTCCGTAGCCGTGTTTACGTTTTGCTACAACAGCCGAGTTTGGCGAAGCGGCCGTGGCCGCGAAAGCGGCTACCCGAGCGACCCCAACTCAATCCCCGGGGCGCCAGGGCCGGCATCGGTGGCGAGTGATATCCGAACCAGTCCTGGGCTCCCCCTTTCACCAAATCTGCACTGACCAGCGTGGTGAAGTATGGTCAAAGAATCCCGATGACCGACGCAGGGGTTTGGGGAGGCCTTCGGGTAGTTTCTGTACAGCATGTTGAGACACGGGCGTCTTTTGGACACCGCGTATATCCCATTGTATTGTATGGGATTGGCATGGTCATCATCATCAGCCACGATGAATTCATTGCTGCATGAAGGATGTAAATGACTTATTTTACTATAAGGAGAGATTGAGTTTTAAATGAAGGTCTTTTCAAAGTTGGGTCAGTTCCACGCTGCCTCTGGTGACCCTCAAAATCGGGGATGCCTTTGAGAGGGGCGATTAAACAGAGGGCTTGTTGGGTGGGGGCTTCCGCTAATTGTGTGTCTTTTTAATCACTGCAGAGTCTGATTAATCAGCTGCCCGAACCGGAACAGCTCAGTGCCCTGGCCAGCCTGAAGAACGAGTATGAGGACTTGTGCGAACCGGAGCAGTTCGGCGTTGTCGTAAGTACCCCACATGCCAAGGTTGCTCAATCGCTGAGCCACTGGATCTCTCCTTCGGCTGCCGCCACCCAAGCATTGGTCTGAACCCCGCGGCAATAATGCCTTCCAGCGACGCGCCATGCCCAAGCCCACTTCCTTGCCATGGCGGCAGGCGACACGATCGCGTTTCGAGCGCGCGTGTGTCGACTGTGCGTTTGGGACGTCTGTTATTTTCCTCGCAGGCTTCGACGCGCACAGTACGCGCTTGCGCAGCGTCAGTGTAGACGCGCGTTAGGAATGCGTTGGGGCGGATAAACAACATACGCTTAAAGGTTGTGCTGGACATTGTTATTTGACATTGTTATCCAGCCGGAGATAGCGGTATTTACGTTGCGTGTCACTGCTGTGAACCTGCAGGCTGGCCGGTGGTGCCAGGGTCTTTCTACTTGCAAAGAACGTTTCATTTGTCAAGCGTTTGTTTCGGTTATTCAGGACAAAAAAAAATAAGTCTTGTTTTTTTGTTCCCAATCCATCCCGATTGTGCTATCGATATTGCGTCACTTCACGAGACGAAGCATCCATACGGAAACCTCACAGAGCAGTGCAATCCGTGTAAGCGAGTATCACAGAGCCACTTCTTAAATCCATTTAAGTGGCCTCTGATCTACACAGCAGAGGGAAGCACTTTGCCACCCGCCACGCTACAGAGAGGAATGACCATCGCATGACTGTCAAACTGATATTATTCATTCTCGAGGCTGGAATTATAGTCAAATTGAGTACGTGCAGAACCAAATGTAATGCGATCTTTTTTTTTCGTGCAGTCATTCGGTGACCGGTTTGTGACCATCCACTTGCTACACTTCACAATCCGGTTTAAACACAGGCGGCCGAAACTTGGATTCAAACCCAGGTGGTCAGCTCGCCCTACCACCGAGGGTATCGTTCGCCACGTCACAGTCACACCAACTTGCTTTCCTTTCGCATTTCTGGATATTAGCAAAAGTAAGTGCAGAACCAAACAAAATTCATTGTCACCATCATCAGCCCTTGGTCAATCCACTACTGGATGAAGGCCTCCCCAAGCCACCACCATCCTGCAATGCAACAGTCCACCTGCGCACGAGCCGATTTATTTACTCCATCTTCTTGGTGGTCGTCGAACGTGTACCTTTCTTGGCTGCCACTCCGGCATTATTCCTGACCGTATAAACAAATTTCACTGCACTAATTAAAAAAAGAATCACAACTGACAGTAAAAGAAAACAAATATTTTGTATAAACCTCTGTCGCCCCCCCCACCCATTCCTTTTCCTTTTTGCAGATCAGCTCGGTGAAGAGGCTACGGCCCCGGCTCAACGCAATCCTCTTCCGGCTGCAGTTCGACGAGCAGGTGGCCAACCTGAAGCCGGACATCGTGGCAGTGAGCGCCGCCTGCGAGGAGATCCGCCGCAGCGACAGCTTCTCCAAGCTGCTGGAGCTCGTGCTGCTCATGGGGAACTACATGAACGCCGGCTCGCGCAACGCGCAGACATTCGGCTTCCAGATGGGATTCCTGTGCAAGGTTGGTCCGCCCGGCCGCCCGCCCGCCCGCCCGCGCCCGCCTAAGCTCGCGAGCGCCGACTTGCCGTGCCTGAGCATTACCGACAATGATGACGATGACTGACGGTTTAGTTTGTTGCGTGTGTTGTTGTTGTGATTGGTTCCAGTCATGCAGCCGTGCTCTTTGTGATGGGAAGCGAGATGTTTGGAACTCTCGCGGAGCAGTGCATCGCTCTGTGCGTTAGACAAATCGGTCTTTGGCGATGCTGCTCCTGCTGCTGCTGCATTGGCAGTGGTGCACAAGCACAACGAACGAAAAACAACCCAACGCACTCGTCAACAAAACTGCGGTCTTAAAACAAAATAAATCTAATCGGCGATGTTTCGAATGATATCTCATCGACAGAGAGTGGCCCAATAACAAAACGATGCTGGGTTGCCAGGTGTTGTAGGCAAGAGCCTTGCACGGACACGGTGGTACTGGTTTGGCAGCGTTCGGCAAACTCATATGAAATCTCGATTTAAAGCTTTCGTGACTGCAGGGATTCATCTTCTTGGTGCTTTCGGTAAAGTCACGTAGACTCTGTCTTCTCGACAGACCTGTTTTCCCCTGAGGACGGCTGCTTGCGTTGTGGCCGAAACGTCATGAGAATTATTTTATTATGTTTTATTTTTATTATTTTATAATTTCCATTCTACGTGACTTTACCGAAAGAACCAAGAAGATCATATGAAATCGTCCTGGCGGTTGCCCCCTGCTTTGCCGTCGCAGCTGAGGGACACCAAGTCCAACGACCAGAAGTTGACTCTGCTGCACTTCTTGGCGCAAATGTGTGAGGAGAAGCATCCGGACGTCCTGCGCTTCACCGAGGAGCTCACGCACGTTGAGAAGGCCTCCAAAGGTGGGTGCGTGGGTGGGTGCGTGGCTGGGTGGGTGGGTGCGTGGGTGGGTGTGTGCATGGGTGGGTGGGTGCGTGCGTCTTATGGGTGCGTGCGTAGGTGGGTGCGTGCGTGCGTGCGTTCATGCATGGGTGCGTGCGTTCTCTGATAACCCAGGGCCACTGTGGCACCACCCACGTTCACTCTCCTCCTTAGCGATACATCACTGTTATGGTGGCCCCCTACACTACAGCTGGACTGCCAGCCCCCCCACTACCCCCATCTACGAGGAGCTTTTGCCGGTCCTGGGTCAAACGCTCCTCCCTCCCCGCAAATGACATTGCGTGCTCATTGGCCAAGAGGAAGCGCAGGGCGTGGCTAGGAAGAGGAGACGAGAAAGTGATAACTCGGGAGGCTTGAGAACATGCCGCGTTGTGGGGGTGTCAGCGCTTTTACTAACGTGGCCGCACGATAACTCGAGGAAACAATAACCCTATGTGAATGAAACTTTTGTGTAAAGCTTAGTTGCTGTTGGGAACGTACCCTGTTGCAAACAAAATATATCAAGCGGTCGCTCATAACTTGGAGACACAAACTCACCATGCTAAAAAGGACTGTTTGCAAATATTCAAACGCGTTTTGCCCTGACAGCTACCCATCTGCTTCCGTATTGCTAATAAATACAAGGGCAAACGCGTGTTGGTGAAGCTCTACAGAATTCGTGCGTGTGCACGATTCTTCTTCCTTGTTTTTAAAACGACTTGCCGCTTTCTGGATGGAGTGTTTTCGCTCCACGAAACGCACGCTTCATTGAAGCACACGCACATAGTTCCCATGCGCGCGCACGCGTGGTGTTTGCAACACAAACACTCGTGTAGAAAGGAGGGGGCGGTGAGAGGGTGGCTTTTGTCCTCTTTTACCGGCCTGGCAGAGGGCAGCAGATCGTCCTTTTCGTTTCCAAATCCGCACGCGGTCCGTGCGGCGTAGTGCAGCAGTCCCCGCCCCCCCCCCCCCCCGCTCGTGATTTCCTCCCATTGAGAGCCACGGTAACGAGCAGCGAGCGAGTCACTTCCTGCGTCCGTGCCAAGTGGAGTGCCGAGGCCCGCGCTGAGCGACTGAGTTCACGCCGCACAGCTCGCGCTGAGATTCTGGATCTTCATGTATTTATTCTCATGATAATTTTGAGCTTTGGGGCAGCAGCAGCAGTGCGGTGGCACCGTGGTTAACGCTTGTACCTCGCCGCAAAAAGGGGACTGAGTTCGAGTCCTTTGTGTGTGGCGTTTGTATGCTCTCCCCCTGTTCTGAATGGGTTTCCATGGGTTCTCAGGTATAAATACATGTTTTTATTCTGTTAGTTAAAATGCAACTGGTATTGGCCAAAACACATCCCACTGTGGAAAATGTACCTGTTACACGTAAAATCATTGCCCCATACTGGAAAATAACTTGGCAAGACCCTCCTGTTAAAATATTTGGACTTGGTGATGCTTTTTTGGGTAAATGCACATACACGTTGTTAAAAAAAAATCACAAAAATGTATATTTCTTTCGTCACCTCTTTCAGCATTTCTGTTCGTAGTGGTAGATGACGCAGAACGACCGTTTGATGTAGCAGCTCCACGTGTTCTGGGTTCATCATCATTTCTATGATGAGACACATCTGTATGATCAATGAGTGAGTGCCACCTGCTATGACAGAGTTCAGACGCTCAGTCATTCATGAGAATAAAACACATCTTTGCTGAAAATAGCGCAAAGAAGAAGCGTGGAGCGATGCACGCTTGGAATTACGCCTGCGAGACAGAAATAGGAAGATATGGATTAGAAAACATAAGCAGGTTAAAAATTGATTAAACTTTCGTGACTGCAGGAATTCATATTCTTTGGTTCTTTCGGTAAGTCACGTAGATAGAAAATAACAAAATCAAATTAAAATAAAATTATACCGAAAGAAGCAAAGAATTTCAGCAGGTTATTTCTTATTTTACAAGGTAAGGCCCACTGAGCTATGTAGCTATTATTCAGTAAGCCACCTGCCATCACAAATGATAGCTCAACAAAGTGGCTCATCGTGTCGAAATGTAGAGCAGCCAAATACTGTAAACGCACTGTTGATTCTAAATGTGGAGGGAAAAAAACAGAGGACCCGGAGGAAAATCCATGCGACCATGGGGAGAGAGACATGCAAACTCCACACATACAGGAGTCAACATCGGGATCAAACACACGACCTGCTTACCGGGCGAGGTCGTTAACATCTTGCCACGATTCGCGCCCCAAGAAGAGATGATGGCCAATGGTCCAGACTAATGTGGGAGTGGCAGCCAGAGAAGGGAATGCACCCCATGCAGAGATGGAGTGATGACATCGGCTTGTTTGCAGGAGCGTGGTGGAATTTCTACAATCCAGGTCCATGAGAGATGTTGATGGCTTGGGGCGAGATCTTCAACCAGCATAGATTGAGAATGGCTGATGATGCCGATGTTAAACTTACCTTGGCTTCGTTGACACACGTGTTATTTGGATTATGTTCTGTCTTCTGGCCCCACAGATGGCCACACAACCAACCTAACTATTCACTTCGTCCCCCGATACTATCAGCAAACGACAACTTTTACGGACAAAGGAACTTTTCGTGGGTTATCGCATTATTCCAGTACAACCCTCCCTTACCCCCCTTGTTATACAGGCTCGCTACACGTCCACACGTTTGAAAAATTGGATGGAATTTATTCGGGAAGTCGACGGAAATTCTATCAACAAACAATCGTAGGCGAAATGCCGCATTTATCTATTGTTTGATGCAAGAGTGCATTACTCTTTTTTTGTGATCACAAGGGCGTTCCACCCAGTTGCTTATTCATAGCAAAGCCATTGTCTGCGCTGACTTTAAACGCCTCCACCCATCTCCCCCCCCCCCATCACCTCGGCCACAGTGGAGGGGCTCCCCGGTCCTCTTTTCATTGTGCCGGATCAGCCGGTTCTGTTCAGGATTTCCGGAGTCGTTGTCCCAGACTTCCCCCTGCGCAGCGCACGTCAGCAGAACATCGCCACATTCCGTGCCCGGCCACGGCCGTGGGCCACTTAACAGTGAGGGCCCCCCACGGTGCAGCATGGCCGCGGCGTCGACGATCGGTCGAGGTGTCACGGGGCCCCCTGCCTGGCTCTGTCCTCCGCGTGCCGTTGTCGTTGCCAGATGCATCGTCCCGTCGCGGGGGTCGTGAGAGATGTCGGTAGCTTGGGGGAATCTGCGCAGCAGTGGATTGATCACGGCTGATGATGTATGTGCCCTTTATTGTTTGGGTCACAAATCAGTCTTGACAAATCGGCCGTTGCCCACGTTGAGCCCAGCGTCATTGTTTCTGGTACCACATCGCGGATTTATTTGTTTGAATCAAACTGCAACAAAGTCGGGTGGTAGTAGTGGCTGTGCTGCATGTTGCCAACAGTACAGCGCTATGGAGGCAGCAGTGAGAGTTGGTGGGCTCATCCACAGATGTTGTGAGACTCCCTTCACGTGGGAGTCGAGGAGGTGTGCCGTACTTTGGCTCGCCAGGGAAAGGCAATACAGCACAGTGCTGTTGAATCCCCATCTGTTTCCATCTGTATGGCGGGAATTGAGCTTTGCCCCGTTGCGTGCGAGGGTTTTCTCTGGGTGCCCCGGTTGTTTCCTCCCAACATGTATAATAAACACTCATTACTTGGCCTAAAAATTTTAAAATAAACATGCAATGCAGGACCCACCTGAAAAAGAGTCATTGCAATCAGTGTGGCTCTTCTGGATATACAAGTAGAACAAATAATTATTATAATAAGAGTACCAAATGTGTTGTGCCATCATCATCGTCACCAGCCATTACCAATCCGCTGCTGGATGAATTCCTCCCCAAGCCATCTCTAACAGTCTTCACGTGTAATAATCCGTGCATCTCCCTTCGAGTGACCTTGTTTAATCCACACACGAGGAGGCTCGCTTTCCTACGCGCCCTCAATCCACCGCCTCCCCACTCCGTGCAGGTCGTGGAGATGGTCTGGCCGTGCTTCGCTGCGCTGGCGAAACCGTTTAAACGTTACGGAAATTGTACGTCTTGCATTTTGCAGGAATCGCACGCGGCGTGTTTTTCACGCACCGCGGATCGTTCTCGGGTTTTGGCGCCGCTCGTTGGGTTTCCCCGTGCTGAAACGGCCCTCCCTCTGTCCGCCTTGTGCTGCAGTGGCGGCCGAGAATCTGCAGAAGAGCCTCAAGCAGATGGAGAAGCAGGTGCAGCAGCTGGAGGGAGACCTCAAGGCCTTCTCCACCACCGACGACGACACCGACAAGTTTGTCGAGAAGATGACCATATCCTTGGCGGCGGAGAAAGCGCGGTGGGAAACGGCGGTCGATGACATCGACCGGGCTTGTTCGGCTCGGTCGCGCAGAAAATATTACCGCGCACGGCACACCACATCCGGTATGCGTCCCGGCTCCACGGCTTTGGGCGACTACTGGTCACGTGCTGGCAACCGCAGTTTACCAGCGACCCGTAAAACATTTTCACTGATAAATGAAGCCCCCATGAGACTCGTGCGTTTAAATCCCCGGAACACCACATCCAGTCTACCGCTCGCTGTGGCCTTGGCTGTTGGTCATATGCCACTCCAGCCTACCGGCAACCGGGAAAACATTCTGTGAGAAATTAAGCCCCTGGCTACAACGGGTTACGAGAAAAGACAATATTACTTTTTGTTAACGTAATTTTACAAGACCTGGCGGCATCTTAAGGAGAGCGAGAGAAGTAAAATAGACTTCTCAACGACCGACCTCGCTTCCCACAATGCTCGCCGCGGCTCCCATTCGAACAAAAGGTGACGCCACCGAGGGGGCCAAGGACGCGACCACGCTCACCTTGGCCGGAGAACAAACCCAGGGGGGTGGGGGGGGCGCTTGAAGTGGAGGCACTGGGGAATGACACAATCCTCAGTCCTGACCCCCCCCCCTCCGACCTGCACGCCCCCCGCCATCCCCGTGGCCCCAGCAAGAGAGGCACAGCAGCCAGAAGCGGTGGCGTCAGGATAGGCTTCCTGGCGTCTTCCTTCCTTTGGTCCAGGAAGTCGGTCGCACAAAGGTGCCCCCCCCCCGCCCGCCCGTCTTGGGCGCGGCGGCGTTGATTCATTCAGCTCGAGTCACGTCGCGTGTCGCATTCCGACGCGGTACCCCGTGCGCTATTATTATCGTCGCGATCAGCAGCACGAGCAGCAGCAATGGACTAGCCGCTGCTAGATAAAGGCCTTCTTCCACCCCCCCCCCCCCCCCATGCTGTCGCTATTCCTCCGCCGTGGTGTGGTGGTTGTAATCTGGGACTTGTTTCCCCGCTTTGACTGTCATTCACCAGTCTCAAACACCGGCCATCTATCGCTGACGTGTCTTGCCCAATCCCACGCACTTCTTAGAGTCAATATTATTTCTCTACATATTGCGCTGTTCGCTTGTAAATCCACGCGTTCCGATATGTAACCTTCAGTGTAACGCACAAGCGTACATCATTCCACGCTTCTTTTCACACTTTTCCACTTTCATTGTCAAATTCCATTTCTCCAAAATATAATGGGAGTTGTACTCGAATTGTAACGCGCACCGCACACAGTCGGTCACTCACTCTCTCTCCGAGAGTGAGCAACCAAGAAGCGCGAGGAGGAATCTCAGACGAGCGGGAACGGCAGCAGCCATGCGGTGAGCCAATGCCAACGATTGCCCGAAGCTCTGCGGTCCTCTATATATGAAGGCTTTTTTCAGCCAATGAATGAGTGTTTACAGGCGGAAGGAAACCGGAGGATGGAACAAAATCCACGCGTGCGGGGGGTAGGGGGCAACGCTCGATTCCAAGCAGATGGAAGCAGGTGGAGATTAGTCCACAGTTTGCTGTACCGCATTCTCTTGGCAAACAGCTCATGGCACCTCCTCGACACCCATCAGAAGGGGATTTGACCACAGTTGCGTGATCCACAGGCGATTGCGTAGTTAATTACGGATTCTACTTAACTGTACTCATGCTATCTGCGATCTGCGCTTTTAAAAATAAACACTCGGGGGAAGAAAAAAAAACTCTACGGAAATATTTTAGCAAATCTCATAAGCGGTGGACTAAGCATAAAATAGTCGTTACGTATCTGTGCTGCGTGGTTCATCACTGGGGACGTTAGGCATCGCTTATCGGGCACGGGCAGGAATTTGCTGTTCGCGTTCCTCCTCCCAGCTAATCGCTGCATCGGTCCCGGCCACGCGATCGTGGACCGCCGCTCCCACAGAAGTGAGGTCAAGATGCCCCCCCCCCATCCCCCACCGCGTGCCTCCTAACAGGATGGCCCCAGCACCCACGCCGGCCTCAGCTGGCTCGCCCTTGTTTTTGGAATAATCTCAACGTAGCAACGCGAGACATTTTTTTACAAGGACAATTATTTGCATCACAACAACAACAGCAACAGTCACTGAGTGTTGGTGATGTCACCGCAGCGCTTGTGTCTGGCGAGGTCCATTCTGTGGCCACGTGAGGTCTAGAATGCTCACTGGCAGGAGGTCACGGGACAGACCCAGGTGTTATGGGTTAATAAACTGAGATGACAGGCAGATGGACCGCCTGCGCTTCTCACTGGTGGCCCCGTGCTGAAGACAAAAGACAAAGATCCCATCTATAGCCTTAACAGACTGTTGGGGCAAGAGCTGTTCGAGAAATACCTATGAAGGCCAGCATAGCACCATGCCCGGCCACCTTTGTTACCCCAGTGGCAAAGTTGAGGCCGAGACGACCTGCATAGAGCACACAAAGATAAAAGATCCCCCATTTAGCCCTAACAGACTGTAGGGGCAAGTGTTGTTAGCAAGCACCTATGAAGACCGGCACAGCACACGAGGGGGTGGGTGGCAAACACCACGCTCGGCCGCCTTTGTCTCCCTAGTGAGGATGTTTACACATCGCACCAGGTACTCATTTCAGGCTGAGTCCGCCTAGGGGAGGCCCGGGACCGGTTCAGATAATCGTCACTGGTGTTGGCCGTGAGCGGGAATCGAACCTGGGTCGATAGAACAGCGCGCTAACCGCTACACTACCGCTCCCTACACACAGACACGTACACACACGGACACGTACACACACAGACACGTACACACAAGCCGCGCTATCGTGTAATTGCTGCGTGAGATGAGTGACCTGTTTTAGAGCTTCTCAGATTTTCCTTTAGTTAATTTTTTTCTGGCATATGTGTGATGTGATTCATGGCCATGAGAGATAGCGGTTTGTCTTGAGTCGGCGACCCGTAACATTTACCTGCCCAGGACACCGCATCCAATATAACGTCTGTCTATGGCCGTGGCTACTAGCCACATAAAACCTACTGCTGTGCTGGGAAATATTTGGTGAGAAAGATAAACGCTGCCGTTTACACGTCGGCCTCATCGGGCGAGCGTTTGCGTTCCTTGACCGGCGCTCGTGATGCACGGCTTTGCGCGCGCCTCACGCGAGACGTACGACACGCTGGCGCTCATGCATGAGAGCATGCAAAAGCAGTTCCTCGGCCTGGGGGAGTACTTCGTCTTTGACCCCAAGAAGGTGGCGGCCGAGGAATTCTTCGGGGACGTGAGCAGCTTCCGCACCATGTTCCTGGTGAGTGCCATCACCGCCCCCCTCACCACCCCCACCGGATGTGGGCAGGGCACGTCACAGCTAGGAGGGATGCTGGCATGATGCACATTTTGGCGAAACGGCCGTAACTCATCTCACTTGGTCCGTCATACCGCGCAGCTGGTTTTGCGAGTCGTACGCAACTGTCCAGGATATTCAATGCCAGTCGGTTTTGTCCGGGTCAGCAACCCGTGAAATATTTCTGAACTCAGCACGACCCACAATGCAGTTGTACGCGGCTACTGCTCATCACGTGCCGCATACTCCCGTCTACCGACGACCGGGGGAAAAAAAATACTCTGTGAGAAATGAAGCCCCCACTGCTGCTGATGACCTCGTCGTTTTTTTGTTTCCTTCCCTTCGCCGTCGTCCCTCCTCCCTCCCCGTGCCGTCCGCCTGCGTGCTCATCAGCAAGCCGTGAAGGAGAACGTGAAGCGCCGGGAGACAGAGGAGAAATTGCGGCGGGCCAAGCTGGCCAAGGAGCGCGCCGAGCGCGACAAGCAGGAGAAGCAGCAGCGCAGGAAGCACCTGGCCGACATCAACCGCGCAGGTTAGCCCGACCCGGCCGTGCCGCGCCAACGTTAGCCGGCGCGGGGCGGAGGGCGTCTAGCGTGGCCCCCTACGCCGGAGCGCGGCGGTGGCACACGCGGGGCAACCGGCTCTCACGACCCGACCGCGTGTGGTCGTCGCGACGTGGCGGTACTACGATGCGTCGTACGATATCGGGTCCACGAGATAGTCGCATCGTTGCGATTGGCAAAATGTCGTGACTGCCGTGGTTCTCGTTCACATGTATTTATTCATTCTGCCAAAACGTTTAAATAACAATCGCTCAAGACCATCCTTGTTTTTTTTACTCTGCCTTCTTCTGTTTGTATGTTTGTCTCTCTCTAAAATAAAGATGTACACCAGACTTACATGAAGACTAACAGACTCGCACACAGACCTAAATACTTGCACAGAGACCCAATATACTCACCGAAAGACCAATACTCACGCATAGAATCAGGTCTCTCTCGATCTACTAAATAAATATGCACACGGTTTCTGAACCGCGACTTGAGATGCAATTGCATGCAGATGCCATAAGCATCCACGCCGTACCGCAATTGTCATTGTGCCTCCCTGGTCGCTTTGAGCCGCTTTGCGTGCCGATCAGATGCCCGGGGCACTGTGAGGGCAGGTGTGACCGGTAGCACATGCAGGTCTGATGAGTTGATAAGCTCACAAACAAAACCGCGAGTTTGTAAGCCAACAACTAAAATAGAACCCAGTGTTGTCGTCTTGTTTCAAATTTCCCGCCCAGAGGTTGTCGTCGTCGTCGTCGTTGTTGTTGTTGAGACGACTCCACTAGCCCCGTGAAACTTCATATCTGCCACCTGTCAACTGCCAGAGCAGCTGTATGCAAATCGATGCAGGCCGCGTCCCGCTTGACGGCACGCCCCGAGCACAATGGAGCGTCGTCGCAGCCGTCGTGGGTTGGGACGACTCTCCTCGTTTAATCACGGCTCAGGGTAATTGTCTGTGCCCGTGTTTGTTTTGGTCGGTAAGCCGAACCCCCGCCCAGCTGCGAGCGACAACTCGAATTCACGATTCCAATAATCGTTCTGTGTCTCGGGGCGGGGGGTGGTGGGTGCAGATTCAAAGAACTCGAACGTGCAGTGTGTGACACGGTACTGCTCTCCGAGGGCACGCTATGAACGTATAAGTGCCCATCTCTCTCTCTCGCTCTCTCTCCCCTCGCCTCTCTCTTGGCGTAGCTGCCTAATGTGATGTTTGCGGTTCAAGTTCCCTCCAACCCTGCTCCAGCCTTGTGGTGTCGTCTTCTTTGCCGCGTACAGACACCCCCCTTTCTTCAAAGTGTCGAGCAGCAGCTTCATCCTTCTAACTCCATCCCTTCTTCCCCATCGTAGATCCGAAGAGCTTCCCTCGGCAAAGCCTCCCGCCCTGACAGATTGCCCAATCCACATCTCCTGCACTCCCTGAAATGTTCCAGTCAGACTTACCTCCTCCTCTTCCCTTAAATCTTCCACCAGTACTGGAAATGTCTTGAGTTGCATTTGACGTATAGTTCCTTGTCTGTTTACACCTCGGTACAATACTCGCCCTAATCTGTTTAATGTTTCTGTAACTTAATTTTGTAAGTGTGCGCTCTAATCAGTATAATTGTCATCTGCCTGAGCTGGCTTGCGCGACAGGGAAATTATAATTTCGCGTCAATTCATGTTGATGCATTATTTTCTGTCGCACGCGTAGCACTGTTGTCTTGGCTCTGATTTCTAGTTGCATTATTGCTTCACTTTTTTTTTGCATTTGTCATTTTGTGACGCAGATAACTTGCAAATGAGACTGTTCATAAAAACATATGTGAATGATGATAAAACCCATCATAACAGAATAACAGTGCAGACCTAAGTTTAGCTCTGCACTGTAAAGGCCCTAAGTTTAAAACAATCCCCAACATTTTATTTTTAAAAACCACACAGCCTCTGTGCATTCTACAAAAACCATCACTAGTTCCCGAAGAAGTGCATTGTGGTCCTCTTGCCTTTAACCTTTCCCGTGAGCTGTTTGCAAACCGGTCTCTTGAGCTCTCGCCTCGATGGACAAAATAAACTCAACTTGCTGCAATCGGAGCTCTCTCCGCCCGACCCTGCTCTGACCGCTCCCCTCATTGCCTTTCTCTCTCAGTCCCAATTCACATTCTCTCCACTCGCGCCCACGGATGCTGCTCCCGCGTGCGCCAGAGTTTCCAGCCTTGTCATAGAACAACAAACACAATCAACCTGCAGCAGTTTCACTCGAGCACAAATAACAAACTCAATAGCTAAATTGTACCGGGTCTTCTTTAGTCGTGTCGGTGACTGGTGTTTACAGACAGCAACCGAGAGAGAAATGCGGACAAATAACGCTCTGGTATTTAGCTTCAGGTTTGTTTTCACGTTGCGGTTTGTTTTTGTCCCGAGTAATAGCGTCGCACGTTTGCTTTCGCAAGCGGTGGAACGCGAGCGTACTAACGAGGAAACGGCTGTTGTGTTGAGCTGTGTGCGTGCGCATGCGGTTGCGTGAATGTATGTTCGTGTGTGTGGGGATCTGGTGGCTGCGGTCACGTGTGTGGTCCCGGCAGAAGGGGATGAGACGGGAGTCATGGACTCGCTGCTCGAAGCCCTGCAGTCGGGCGCGGCCTTCAGGGAGCGCAGGAAACGAACGCCCAGAGCCGCAGGTAACGCACGCACTCACGCACTCACGCACACGCTCACCTGACTCCTGTATGTGTGCACGCTCGCTTGTACGCACGCACACATGCTCACCTGTTCACACAGACACTCACCTGTCTGCATACACAAGACACACATGTTGCAATGTGCACATGCACACACTGAGATGTGCGCACAGTCACTTATACACACACTCCTGCCCAATCACTTGTGTGCACGCACATTGCAGCCACAGGTGTTTGCACGTCACCTTATCGCGTTGTCTACACGCCTGGTGTTTGCGGTGCTTGTTCACATACGCTGTGAGACTCGAGGCGATGTCTTCCCTCGGCCCACCGCAGGGTGTCCGGTTACGAATCGGGGAAATAACGACGACGCTTGCACAAATCCAAAAACGTACAATTCTCCTCCTTGATAATTGGTTCTTTACCCTTCCATCTGGCAACAAAACTGACACCTTTTTGCAAGGAGTCATGTTTGCATAGACCGCAATACCTGCAGTCATAATACAAACAAAAGAACATAACTCTGATAATGTGCACTGTCCTTGAAGTTGATTGGTCCACACCCGAGACAGCTTTCCTTCGAGCCTAGTCTCATATGGGTTGGACCAGATGACGCCAAAAGGCGCACAACTCAAGGACAATGCACCATCAGAGTATGAGAGCTCGGGGCAAGCATCTACACTATGGGGACCTCATTTGCCAGTAAAAATATGATAATTGGTTCTTTACCCTTCCATCTGGCAACAAAACTGACACCTTTTTGCAAGGAGTCATGTTTGCATAGACCGCAATACCTGCAGTCATAATACAAACAAAAGAACATAACTCTGATAATGTGCACTGTCCTTGAAGTTGATTGGTCCACACCCGAGACAGCTTTCCTTCGAGCCTAGTCTCATATGGGTTGGACCAGATGACGCCAAAAGGCGCACAACTCAAGGACAATGCACCATCAGAGTATGAGAGCTCGGGGCAAGCATCTACACTATGGGGACCTCATTTGCCAGTAAAAATATGATAATTGGTTCTTTACCCTTCCATCTGGCAACAAAACTGACACCTTTTTGCAAGGAGTCATGTTTGCATAGACCGCAATACCTGCAGTCATAATACAAACAAAAGAACATAACTCTGATAATGTGCACTGTCCTTGAAGTTGATTGGTCCACACCCGAGACAGCTTTCCTTCGAGCCTAGTCTCATATGGGTTGGACCAGATGACGCCAAAAGGCGCACAACTCAAGGACAATGCACCATCAGAGTATGAGAGCTCGGGGCAAGCATCTACACTATGGGGACCTCATTTGCCAGTAAAAATATGATAATTGGTTCTTTACCCTTCCATCTGGCAACAAAACTGACACCTTTTTGCAAGGAGTCATGTTTGCATAGACCGCAATACCTGCAGTCATAATACAAACAAAAGAACATAACTCTGATAATGTGCACTGTCCTTGAAGTTGATTGGTCCACACCCGAGACAGCTTTCCTTCGAGCCTAGTCTCATATGGGTTGGACCAGATGACGCCAAAAGGCGCACAACTCAAGGACAATGCACCATCAGAGTATGAGAGCTCGGGGCAAGCATCTACACTATGGGGACCTCATTTGCCAGTAAAAATATGATAATTGGTTCTTTACCCTTCCATCTGGCAACAAAACTGACACCTTTTTGCAAGGAGTCATGTTTGCATAGACCGCAATACCTGCAGTCATAATACAAACAAAAGAACATAACTCTGATAATGTGCACTGTCCTTGAAGTTGATTGGTCCACACCCGAGACAGCTTTCCTTCGAGCCTAGTCTCATATGGGTTGGACCAGATGACGCCAAAAGGCGCACAACTCAAGGACAATGCACCATCAGAGTATGAGAGCTCGGGGCAAGCATCTACACTATGGGGACCTCATTTGCCAGTAAAAATATGATAATTGGTTCTTTACCCTTCCATCTGGCAACAAAACTGACACCTTTTTGCAAGGAGTCATGTTTGCATAGACCGCAATAGTGTAGATGCTTGCCCCGAGCTCTCATACTCTGATGGTGCATTGTCCTTGAGTTGTGCGCCTTTTGGCGTCATCTGGTCCAACCCATATGAGACTAGGCTCGAAGGAAAGCTGTCTCGGGTGTGGACCAATCAACTTCAAGGACAGTGCACATTATCAGAGTTATGTTCTTTTGTTTGTATTATGACTGCAGGTATTGCGGTCTATGCAAACATGACTCCTTGCAAAAAGGTGTCAGTTTTGTTGCCAGATGGAAGGGTAAAGAACCAATTATCATATTTTTACTGGCAAATGAGGTCCCCATAGTGTAGATGCTTGCCCCGAGCTCTCATACTCTGATGGTGCATTGTCCTTGAGTTGTGCGCCTTTTGGCGTCATCTGGTCCAACCCATATGAGACTAGGCTCGAAGGAAAGCTGTCTCGGGTGTGGACCAATCAACTTCAAGGACAGTGCACATTATCAGAGTTATGTTCTTTTGTTTGTATTATGACTGCAGGTATTGCGGTCTATGCAAACATGACTCCTTGCAAAAAGGTGTCAGTTTTGTTGCCAGATGGAAGGGTAAAGAACCAATTATCATATTTTTACTGGCAAATGAGGTCCCCATAGTGTAGATGCTTGCCCCGAGCTCTCATACTCTGATGGTGCATTGTCCTTGAGTTGTGCGCCTTTTGGCGTCATCTGGTCCAACCCATATGAGACTAGGCTCGAAGGAAAGCTGTCTCGGGTGTGGACCAATCAACTTCAAGGACAGTGCACATTATCAGAGTTATGTTCTTTTGTTTGTATTATGACTGCAGGTATTGCGGTCTATGCAAACATGACTCCTTGCAAAAAGGTGTCAGTTTTGTTGCCAGATGGAAGGGTAAAGAACCAATTATCATATTTTTACTGGCAAATGAGGTCCCCATAGTGTAGATGCTTGCCCCGAGCTCTCATACTCTGATGGTGCATTGTCCTTGAGTTGTGCGCCTTTTGGCGTCATCTGGTCCAACCCATATGAGACTAGGCTCGAAGGAAAGCTGTCTCGGGTGTGGACCAATCAACTTCAAGGACAGTGCACATTATCAGAGTTATGTTCTTTTGTTTGTATTATGACTGCAGGTATTGCGGTCTATGCAAACATGACTCCTTGCAAAAAGGTGTCAGTTTTGTTGCCAGATGGAAGGGTAAAGAACCAATTATCATATTTTTACTGGCAAATGAGGTCCCCATAGTGTAGATGCTTGCCCCGAGCTCTCATACTCTGATGGTGCATTGTCCTTGAGTTGTGCGCCTTTTGGCGTCATCTGGTCCAACCCATATGAGACTAGGCTCGAAGGAAAGCTGTCTCGGGTGTGGACCAATCAACTTCAAGGACAGTGCACATTATCAGAGTTATGTTCTTTTGTTTGTATTATGACTGCAGGTATTGCGGTCTATGCAAACATGACTCCTTGCAAAAAGGTGTCAGTTTTGTTGCCAGATGGAAGGGTAAAGAACCAATTATCATATTTTTACTGGCAAATGAGGTCCCCATAGTGTAGATGCTTGCCCCGAGCTCTCATACTCTGATGGTGCATTGTCCTTGAGTTGTGCGCCTTTTGGCGTCATCTGGTCCAACCCATATGAGACTAGGCTCGAAGGAAAGCTGTCTCGGGTGTGGACCAATCAACTTCAAGGACAGTGCACATTATCAGAGTTATGTTCTTTTGTTTGTATTATGACTGCAGGTATTGCGGTCTATGCAAACATGACTCCTTGCAAAAAGGTGTCAGTTTTGTTGCCAGATGGAAGGGTAAAGAACCAATTATCATATTTTTACTGGCAAATGAGGTCCCCATAGTGTAGATGCTTGCCCCGAGCTCTCATACTCTGATGGTGCATTGTCCTTGAGTTGTGCGCCTTTTGGCGTCATCTGGTCCAACCCATATGAGACTAGGCTCGAAGGAAAGCTGTCTCGGGTGTGGACCAATCAACTTCAAGGACAGTGCACATTATCAGAGTTATGTTCTTTTGTTTGTATTATGACTGCAGGTATTGCGGTCTATGCAAACATGACTCCTTGCAAAAAGGTGTCAGTTTTGTTGCCAGATGGAAGGGTAAAGAACCAATTATCATATTTTTACTGGCAAATGAGGTCCCCATAGTGTAGATGCTTGCCCCGAGCTCTCATACTCTGATGGTGCATTGTCCTTGAGTTGTGCGCCTTTTGGCGTCATCTGGTCCAACCCATATGAGACTAGGCTCGAAGGAAAGCTGTCTCGGGTGTGGACCAATCAACTTCAAGGACAGTGCACATTATCAGAGTTATGTTCTTTTGTTTGTATTATGACTGCAGGTATTGCGGTCTATGCAAACATGACTCCTTGCAAAAAGGTGTCAGTTTTGTTGCCAGATGGAAGGGTAAAGAACCAATTATCATATTTTTACTGGCAAATGAGGTCCCCATAGTGTGAATTCTCCTCCTTGTCCAGGGCATCTGAAATGCATCTTCTAAAGAATGTGACCACGTCCTCATCTCAAGTGGGATAGATTGTTGTATATGCGGTATCGTTTTTTTTGGTGGTGGGGGGGGGGGTTCAGTGGTGTGAACCTGGTAAACCCGAGTTCAGTTCCTGGCCATGGTTAACATCAGTGGTGAGTGATGTCCCTTCACCAACCCGTCCTCACCTGCGTGGTGGGACGACCCCCTCCCGCCCGCGATCAGCGTAGCGTCGGCAACCTTCACCTTTTGCGGACATTGATCCGGCACGGGATTGGTTGACAAAGCCACGTCAATTAATTTTCTGCTCTCCAATACATTTCCCAAAGGTGCTTTTCTTGCATAAACAGCACCTATTGATGGTGTGACCATCAAGCGCATCAGAACATCAGCAGGCTGACGTGCACATCTCCTTCACGAATGTAGAATTAAAGATGAGCCGCAGTGGTGCGACTGTGGCCAGGCAACCCACACCAAAGACGGACACAGTGAACCACTGTAGTTTGTCCTCCTTCAATGGAGGAACAGCAAAACTAGACGAACTCCCTCTTGAAGCCCTCTCTCGTCGTGGCCAGCAGACCTCGATCTTGGCACCGAGCACCTGAACATATTGCTGCCATACGGAAGAATGGAATTCATTTTTAAAACACACTCATTGGAAACCAAAAGATATCCAGTGGACTCTCGATTGTCCGTGCTAATGACGGGGAGGACGGCCGCGGATAAATAAAAACGCGAATAATCCATAAATATCCATTTTCCGCGGAGCTTTATGCCGAAAACCACTCGTATTGGTATAATTTATGTTTAGGTTAAGAAAATTGAGTTTGTTAATGAATAAAACCAAAATTTGGAGTAAAGTTTCGTAAATTAAAACTCACGAAATAAATTATCGGATAAATCACTAAAAATGAAGCACAACTGACGATTTCGACTACTACTCTTTCGATTTAGAACGAATCCTAACGATCAACCGACCGACCGATGTGCATGCTCAGTGATAACACTTTCCTGCTCCCGCGCAGAAAAATCGGTCGCCCGCTGCTGTAGAGACGATTAACGTGGATTTCCGATCAACACACGCATATTTGTTCGGATTAAGCACGTGACTTGTAAATAGTCGTTTCGAAGAATAAAATGTTCAACTGTTTTTAGATTATTAATTTGGGCTTAAGGGAAAATCCATGAGTTATTCATTCGTGTCAAAATCTCAGGAGCGCGGTTAATCGAGAGTCTATTGTATATGAAATAGGCGAAATTTTATTTTAGGCAATGGTCCTTCCTCACAGCACAACAAGGAGAAGAGACATTGCTCAAAATGTCACCTGTTATTTATTTGATCTTTGAAAGCCACAGAATTATTGATGAATGTGAGTTTTTGTTGTTGCTAATTGCGCTTATGCGCAACTGCCAATGCAGCGGTTAATTGCGAACCAGTCTCTGTGTAAACATCTATTTTGTTTTCACAGGAGGGGGGGAGGGGAGACACTAACGTTTTCAGCGACGAATGTCCACGTGTGTGTGTGTGATTTTCCTATGCTTGTGTTTTGATTGTGTTTTAACAGAGGAGTGTGTGAACCTGCCTGGCCAGGCCCGGCGATCCATCGATAGGTTTGGAACACTCGGTAAAAACAACAAACAATGCAACGGGAGTCCCCGCTCTGCCATGTCTCTGCGCTCGAGGAGATCCGGCTTGCCCGCAGCTTTTCCGCCGTCTCCCTTTGCGCTCGTCCTGCGACTCGAGCAGCATGATTTTTGAAAAAACTTACCAACTACGCTTTTTGTTCCCACAATATTTATCTCTTTTCCACTGAACAACTGAGCCACGCCGTAACCGTGCCAAGCCAGCACTGCAGGATCCGAGCCGTGCCGCTGTAATTACGCACGATTGACGAGTTGCGACGCATTCCACACCTCGGATTAACTCGGTTGGCTACGTACCGTGTAAAGGAAGTTGAGCATACTGATAGACGACGCGGTGAAACTGTGTACGCCGTCGCACGCAACGAACGCGTCAAAGAGACCCGACCCAGGCCCAGCCTGCCACCGAGCCAGATTCACAGAATCAGGTGTCTTCCGAGGCCAGCGAATTCTGCGGTTTGGTTCTGGCTCGGCACGGCAAATAGCCAGTGGAAATCCACCCCTACCGTGCCCCCCCCCCCCCCCCCCCCCATGCGGTGGCCCGGCTCAGATGCGCCAGTGGAAAAGGGGTATTATAAGAAACTCTGGAAACGCTAATCTGGGCATTGAATGCTGCTTCTTTGTGACAGGGCTTCTGGATTTCGATGCTGCTGCTGCTGCTCACACTAACCCTAACCATTTGAGCCCACGCTACCGATTCAAGGGGTCGTCTGCAGATCTGTTTTTGAACTCTTCTACGGCATAACCCATTTTCAGAGGAACAAAAGAAGCATCCACCTTTGGTGTCTGCCAAACATTTTAAATAGACCACGTGATGATCTTTGAAAATGGACATAATGCAGTAAAAAAGGTTTGAAATGTTCTGCAGACTTACCGCTTAAAGCGATAGCATTGTTGGAAATCTGATGGCCGCTGTTTGGAAATGGAAATGTGTGAGTTTGATTATAACACCTCCCCCCCCCAAGCCCCCCCTCCCCCCACGTCACTGCGTGACCGGAACAACACGATCCGGGAATGGCTTTTGGTTTTCTGCGCCGCCGTGGGCTCTTTTAACGAATCGACGCTCGACGGTTTATTTTATTATTCCTGACAAATCATTTGTGTGCGTTGTGTGCTCGGTCTGATGGGTCCATGTCACTCGCCCCAGGTGCCCATTCCTGCCACTCGCTGCCTGTGGACGTCTGGTAAATCCACCCCTACCCGGCGCTTGGTTTGGTTGACCATTTTGAACGTTCGCTTGGTTTCTGTCCGTTTGCTTTAGCCGCGTGCTTTGTGTCGTGCATGCCTTGGCGAGAATGATTCCGTGTCGGAGAAGGAACGTGTAACATTGCTATGTGCGTTGCGCTTTCATGATTTGCTGTGTGCACGGCTCGTTTTGATCGCTCTTCGTTGCCGCCAGCTGCTGCCGCTGCTGCCTCTCCATGTTGGATTCTGTGTGTGATTGCTTTGTGGCCATGCGTTTGTGAATCATTTTTTTTTCCGTTTGGAGTGATCCGTTAGCACAGAGGCGTTTTCGGTTGCAAGACACCCGCACGTCGCGAGCAACGCAGGTTACTCCACCGAGCGTCGTTCATTCTCCGTTCCGCTCTCCATGGCGGAGCGGTCGATGTCTCGCTCGCTCCGATCTCCGTTCCGCTCTCAGTGTCGGAGCGGTTGATGTCTCGCTCGCTCCGATCTCCGTCCCGCTCTCAGTGTCGGAGCGGTCGATGTCTCGCTCGCTCCGATCTCCGTTCCGCTCTCAGTATCAGAGCGGTTGATGTCTCGCTCGCTCCGATCTCCGTCCCGCTCTCCGTGTCGGAGCGGTCGATGTCTCGCTCGCTCCGATCTCCGTCCCGCTCTCAGTGTCGGAGCGGTCGATGTCTCGCTCGCTCCGATCTCCGTCCTGCTCTCCGTGTCGGAGCGGGTCGATGTCTCGCTCGCTCCGATCTCCGTTCCGCTCTCAGTGTCGGAGCGGTTGATGTCTCGCTCGCTCCGATCTCCATCCCGCTCTCAGTGTCGGAGCGGTCGATTTCTAGCTGGCTCCGATCTCCGTCCCGCTCTCCGTGTCGGAGCGGTCGATGTCTCGCTCGCTCCGATCTCCGTCCCGCTCTCCGTGTCGGAGCGGTCGATGTCTCGCTCGCTCCGATCTCCGTCCCGCTCTCCGTGTCGGAGCGGTCGATGTCTCGCTCGCTCCGATCTCCGTCCCGCTCTCCGTGTCGGAGCGGTCGATGTCTCGCTCGCTCCGATCTCCGTCCCGCTCTCCGTGGCGGAGCGGTCGATGTCTCGCTCGCTCCGATCTCCGTCCCGCTCTCCGTGGCAGAGCGGTCGATGTCTCGCTCGCTCCGATCTCCGTTCCGCTCTCCGTGTCGGAGCGGTCGGTGTCTCGCTCGCTCCGATCACTGTCCCGCTCTCCGTGGCGGAGTGGTCGATGTCTCGCTTGCTCCGATCTCCGTCCCGCTCTCAGTGGCGGAGCAATCGATGTCCTGCATCTGCGCTCCTCAGCTTCACCAAGCCGCACTGAGCATCGTGATGAAGTACGGTCGGTCACACAACGCCCACAGTCTGCGTGCCGTGGGGCGGCCATCATCTAGCAGCAGCTTGACGACACGGCGCTGCAGCACGTGTGGGCGCTGCAGCGTTGAGCTAGGATATCCGATTAATTTAAATTATCCCATCATTCCACTGATTGTCGGTGTGAATACTCCACTAATGTAATCGAATAATACAAGATGTAAAAAAAGTCTCACCTGTATTGCCCCGTGTGCCGCTGCATGGGAAATTAGTGGGCGGGGCTTGCTGAATTGATGGCGTCTTGGGCTTGTAAGGGGGTTCCCCGGTTTACAAGTGGCCTGAATGATGGGCCTAAAACAAGGAGTCGATTTCAACGTTCGGTCGATCCGTCGACCTGACGGACGAATCGTCCCAGCTGCCCTCCGACGCGGCAAACAAACTCGTGGGACTGTGCGTGTGTGCGTGTGTGCGCGCCTGCATGCGTGTGTGCGTCCCTGCGTGTGTGTGCATTAATCCGTGTGCAGAGAGCAAGCGTGCCCCGCTGGAACGCTCACGCTCGCGACACAACGTCACCATGGCCGCAGCAGCCTCCTCCTCCTCACGACCCCACGCGGCCAAAGAGCTCAACTTCGACGAGCCGGGGAACAACGGCGTCACGGAGGAGCGGAGGAAGGCGCCGGGCGGGCGACCGAGGGGGCACGGTGGAGGCGGTGGCGCGGAGGACAGGGACGCGGATGCCCTCATGGCTCGGCTGAGAGCGTTGTGACCACCGCGCGGCAGCACGCCGCCGTGTGTTTATACCCATCTCCGACATCGTCATACATCGGCCGTGGTCAATCCACTGCTGGATGAAGGACTCCGCAATCCTGCCACCGCCGCCGTCTCTCGCGGTCCTGCGGCGTGGCGGTCCGCCGAGCGGCCGCACACGAGACGACCTCGTGACGGTGCGGCCTACGCCGTGGATCTCCTCTCGGGCCTATTCCCTCCTTTGACCGTAACCGCCCCCCATTTTTAAATCACTACCGCCGCCGCTCTCACCCTGCCGCCACCACCGCCGTTGGTTTTCCAGGCCGAGCACGGCACCACGACGGGCCACGGCGTCGGCGCCCTCCTCCAGCCCGCCGCCGCCAAATCGGCCGTCAGCACTTCTGTTTACACGCGTGCACCTGCCCAAGCAGAGCGTTTCCGATCGGTCGGCGTCGTCAAAGCAAGTTTTTTGCGCCGCTGTAAAAATCAAAACGACTGATTTTAAACGTCGTCACTTCTATATCAGCAATAATCACTCGTGTCGCGTGTGAGTCTTACGAAACTGTCAACTTGAACGTGCAGGGAGCGGTTACTACGCGTGGCTATGTTTTTTTCTGTCATATTTTTGGTGCTTCTAGAATTCCGCTATCAAGCGTGTCGGACTCGCCAGCGGGAACGCGTCCCTCTGCTCCGCCTGCGATGAGCAAATCGAATCCCGGGGGGGGACGTCTTGCCCAAAACAAAACGTGTTCGCCGCAAAGAGACGCGCGCGTTTATAACGCTACCTTGATCGGCCCCTTTCGGGGACGAACCGACGCAACCACGTTTCTTGCGGGAGACCGACTGCTGAAGCTGCCTGCATTTGCGTTTTATACGTTTGTCTATAAATACCCGTGCAGTATTAACGGAGTAGTGCGTGCGTGCGTGCGGCCCAGCAAGACGCGCTCACGCACGACCCACGTGTGTAGCATTGTCGTTCGTCGCAAACGCCACCGCTATAGACACGTGTGTACGCTCACTAATTATAATCGTCCTTCACTGGAGGGCCAATTAACGCACGCGATCGAACGATGTGGTGGATTCGTGTCCGGATATATAAGATATATAAATATACAATTTTTTTTTAATCGTTCATTGTTAAGTTTATTTACTAGGGCTATATACCGAGTATGTGACACGTAGTGACGCATAGTTGTAAATACGTCCTATACATTAGTGCCGATTGTACAGCACCGGAGAGAGTGCAGAGCAGAGCTGGGAAAGTTTGGGCCAGCGTCGCACGTGCACCTTGCCTCTTTTTCCACTGGCCACAGCCGACCCAGGACGGGGCCGTCACGGTAAGGGGTGGTTTTCCACTGGCTATTCGCTGCCGAGCCGAGCCAAAATCAACGGTGGTTGTCACAAGACATCTGAATCTGGTTCTTGAGCCTGACGGGACCAGGAGTGGAAGTTCTCATGCATTCAGTGTCTGCGACATCAGCGCCGCCGCAAGGGCGCGGCGCCTACGCGCGTCCCCCACTCGTTTGGTGCTTGTGACGTCGGCGTGCACGGCTCGGTTTCTGCAGTGGAAAAACGGCCACCGGGGCTTCGCGAGCCGCACCGGGCTGCCCGTGGCACGGCTCGCATGTGCAGTGGCAAATGTAGGCAAAGAGTTACCTGTGGCTCTGGCATCGTAAACGTCACCTGCTGTGAGGCTGCTGGCCAAGAGAAGGCAGGCGTGGGGTGTACGTGGGTTGACCTGTCCAGCGAAATAAGCTCTGCTGAAATCCCGATAAGCTAGCGTCTCTTTTTGCCTGGAAACCGGTTTTGCGACAACGAAAATCACGTGTGTGTGTGTGCTGAATGCAGGCGGGCGCTGACGTTTTCCGAAGCGTGTAAAGGGTTACTATATTATTTTTAGTTACTGCTAAGTTTTGAGTCGCGGTATATTTGGCGCTGACATGAGCGTGCAGTGGCATGCGCTTACGCGTGATGTGATGGCATCTGCAATGTTTATTTGACATCAGATAGCACCTTTTGATGATAATAATAATAATAACAACCCTCCACGGACATTAACGTGTGTCTGTGCATATACTCACATTCATGGGCAGAGGCGGGGGAGATTTTTTCTATGGGTTCACTTCGCCATTTCAGCTGCCTCACCGGGAGATCGAATCAAAGCGGCGACCTTTGGGATTGCAGCTCCTCCCCAGTGTTGCTGAGCATGACACCACAGCCGCAACCAATCCCCTCTCCCATAGCCTGGACTCGCGATGCGGTAGGGCACGTGGGTGGATGTGTGCGCGCTGCACTACCAACCCGGCGACCCGAGTTCGATCCCCGCTCAAGGCCAACACCGGTGACGATTATCTGAACCGGTTCTGGGCCTCCCCTAGGTCGACTCGGCATCAAATGAGTACCTGGTGCGGTGTGTAAACATCGCCACTCGGGAGACAAAGGCGGCCGGGCGTGGTGTTGGCCGGCCACCCCTTCGTGTGCTGCGCCGACTGTCATAGGCGCTCGCTAACGGCACTTAGCCCAAAAGTCTGTTGAGTCTTTGTATTTGTGTGTGTGCGTGCGTGCCCACACCACCTCAACCTTGCCCCGTGTCACGGTCTCGGCGTGAACAGACACCGCTAAGGTCATGGCGACACCACCGGCTCTAAGATGATGCCCCTGTCTCAAGGTGACCCCCCCCCCGTCTCGCGTCCACGTAGCTGACGATCCACCGACGATGCATGCCAGCTGGTTGACTTTTAGAGATGCTATCCGTTGCGTTTGCCCGAGCTCGTTACACTACTCACATCCCCCCACCTTACGCCATGCATGGGGTATTATCCGGGCCGAACTGTTGTGAAAACAAAGACTGTTGTCGCTACAGGGTTCGGTGAGCCCCGCGCCTCGCAGATTTCCGGCAATGGACCTGGCGGTCACTCGCACGAACACGGAGAGACCGGCAAGCGGGTCGTGGTGGACATTTGGTGAAGCCAGGCCCCAGCGACCGATGTGAATAAATCTATGCAGTGGCTGTGTGTTAGATCTGTCTACCACGGATGTATTTTTTTGTGATGGGAGTAAAGTGACTGAAAAAATATTCGTGGCAGGAGTTTGAGTTGTTTTTTTGCCTTATGTGGTGAGATGTCATTTTGCCTTTGTCACGCGAGTCACGTGGGACGCGTTTAACAATCATCGGGCGCGTGCAGCGCGCAACAAGTCGATTCCTACTTGAATGCGGAGGTGTAAATTGGTGGACGCGGAAAGGCGGAGCGTGGTCGTGGGCCGCGAGGACTGGGAGTTTAGGGAGCTGTGCACGAGCGAATTCTGAATGCCTCCGTCCCACCACTCCTCCCACGTACTCTCCCACCTCGCCCCTCTCATCCCACTACACGCCCCTCCACGCACTCTCCTACATCTCGAATCTCACACACCCCCTAACTCTCATCCCACTACATGCCCCTCCACGCACTCTCCTACATCTCGAATCTCACACACCCCCTAACTCTCATCCCACTACATGCCCCTCCACGCACTCTCCTACATCTCGAATCTCACACACCCCCTAACTCTCATCCCACTACATCCCCCTCCACGCACTCTCCTACATCTCGAATCTCACACACCACCTAACTCTCCTCTCACTACTCGCAGCAGTAAGTGTTGCTCGGTGAGAGGTCGCTCCTTCTCCGCTGCTGCCCTTACAGTCTGGAACTCCCCTATGAAAGATCACGTGTCGTATTCTGCACGTGGATGAGGAGGATTTCCCTCCTCATGTGCTGGGCCGTTCATAGTGGGGGGTGCGGGAACCCAGAGCAAGTCATCGTATGCCCCCCCCCCCCCCATCGTATGCCCCCCCCTACCTCATCGTATGGGGCCCCCCCCCCCCCCCGACGTCTTCAAACTAAACCAGAAGTATCACGTCTGACACCGTGACGTCGACGCAGGGCCGTGGCGGCCGGGCGGGGGGTGGGGGGGCAAGCGAAGGGCCCGGGGCGGTCGCCCCGCTTCGCCGCGTGCCCCAGGAGGCGTCCTCTGCCCGCGGTGTTGTTGTGTGCGCTTCTCAGCCCCGTTCATTCATTCATCACAACGCCGACGAGAGCTCACAGAGGCGCGCGCGCACACATTTATTGTTACTATTATTCAACGCGCATGCCCGAATCAGAATTACGTGCGAGAAAAATACTCGACGAGAATATTTACATCCAGGGCGGTTCGAGCGGTAACTCGCATGCACACTGTCGATTGTCTTCGCATATACACTGCACATTTTGTAAACTATAGCTGCTCTATGTAATATCGTAATGTTCAGACATCAAACCACACTGCTGCTTTAGCAGTTAAAGCCCCCCCCTCTCCCCGTGTCGCTTTGGCCATGGGTGGCTGTTTGATCCCGGCGGCTCTCAAGCTGCTGAGTGCGCAGGCAGTGCAACTGCACCGTGGCGCAGGCGCCAAGCTACAGAAGGGGTTGGGGGGCGGTTTGAATTGGACGTGGGAATGAAACGAGAAGAAAAAAAGTATTAAAGAACTACCATTGGAACCTCATTTGCCAGTAAAAAATATGATAATTGTTTTTTTTTACCCTTTTATCTGGCAACAAAACTGACACCTTTTTCACAAGGAGTCATGTTTGCATAGACCACAATACCTGCAGTCAATGCAAACAAAAAACATAACTCTGATAATGTGTGCACTGTCGTTGAAGTTGATAGGTCCACACCCGAGACAGCTTTCCTTAGAACCTAGTCTCACCATGTGTCAGTTTTGTTGCCAGATAAAAGGGTAAAAAAACAATTATCATATTGAAGAACTAGATTTGAAGTTTTCGTGACTGCAAGGATTCATACTCTTTGGTTTTTTCGGTAAAGTCACGTAGGTAAAAACATTCAATAAATTAAGTCACGACGTTTCGGGCGCAACACAAGCGTCCATCTTCAGGTGGGGACAACTTAGCGAAAGCACAACCACTTAAGTGTGTCGACAACTTGTGTTGCGCCCGAAACGTCGTGATTTATTTTATTTCAATTTTTTACCGACGTGACTTTACCGAAAAAAAACAAAGAGTATAGTTTTAAAGAACTAATTTCGGTCTTAGGGAACCAACCACACTACGCCACTGATTTGAACATACTTCACCACGCTGAGCAGCGCGCAGATTGGTGAGGTCTTGGGGAGGGACACTGGGCATTAATTCCCGGTTTAGATATCGCTCGCCACTGATGTTGGCCGTGTGCCGGGAATCGAACTCGGCTTGTCGGTTTCACATAGCGGAGTGCGCTAACCACTGCGCCACCGCCCTCGACACCCCCCTCCACCACCGCCCCATGCACCACCTGGTCTCGGTGGCCATTCCACGCGGCTTCTGTGCGGACAGCACTCGGCAATGAGAGCCGAGGGTGACAGCCGCCGTGCTCGACACGATCGAGGAACATCGGCGCCGACTGGGACCCACCAACCCTCCCTAGCGCCGTCCCGGACGTCTCGACGTGCGAAGGGAACGTCCGAGAAGCTGCAAAGCTCACGGAGTCGCCACGTTGCCCAGCGCACCTCGGACAAACACGGGGAGCGGGCGCGGGGGGGAGGACGACTGCCGGTCGAGTCCCGTTGCGGTTAACTTGACGAGAGCGGCGCAAATGATTCGATGCGGCGCAAATGATTCGATGCAGGTAAGCGGACCCGGCGCTGCGGTCTGACCCGCATTTGGGACAGATCACACGGTGACTCCGTCGACCTGCTCCAGCGTGAGGTCCAACACGAGTCTGGCATCGTCGCGCCGCACGTGGTGGTGCGAGCACGTGGCGTCATCATAACCACCACCACCACCATCGTCCTCATCACCGCTACCGCCATCACTACCGTCACCACCGTCACTATCAACGCTCAGCACTCTGAGGAACCCCACGCTCCTCTCATCGTCCTCATCCTCCTCTCCCCTCGCGTCCTCATCTCGACTGCACAGCGAGTCGAGTCCGCACTCCAAATCTGCTGCTGCTGATGAGGATGATGATGAAGATGACGACGAAGACAGCAGCAGCCGGTGGCTCTTGCTGCAGCGCGCCTCTGGTTGAGACTCGTGACTGCAGTACCGCGCCACGCACTCCCCGAGAAAGGCGCTCAGTTCGGCAGCGTCACTACAGCTGCTGCTGCTGCAGCTGCTCCTGCTGCTGCTGGCACCGTTACAGGCTCCAGCGCCAGCAACTGCACCGACGTCTTCCTTCTTAGTCGTCAGCTGCTGCTGTTGCTGCTGCTCTGCGAGCTGGCGTTCATCTTTCCCGAAGGTGAGGAATGAACAAGGACGCGCCTGGGGTCCCGGCTGCGCGTGCACGTTGCATCTGTAATCCACGTGGCTGCCGCCACCACTGCTGATGTTGCATGGGGATGCGCGACCCCTGCTGCTACTGCTGCTGCCGCCGCTGCTGCTGCTACACCGGGCACCGTGACCCCCTGGGAAGAAGCCAGGAAGGGTGCGGGCAGGGTCGGGTTCAAGGATTCGGAGGGAAGAGGAGGAGAGGATGGGGGGGGGGGGACGAGGAACAGAAACATTCACGGTTACTTCTCGCGGGTGTCTGAGAATCGCAGATTCAAAGATGCAAACCATCCACCTGATTTCATCGCTACATCTCCCGCGGCGAGCGACCTCTGTGACGCGTTCCATCCCTTGGCTGCCCCACTGTGTTATTCGTTTGTTGCCGACCGGCACCACCGCCACCTCTCGCCACGACGCAACCTGTGCAAGGCCGCTTCTCGACTCTTCCACGGCGTCAACGACGTCGATCTCGCCATACGCTGCTCTTCAATCCGCGTGTCTCTCCGCTGCGACTTTGGTTGGTTTCGCTCCCGTCACTCAGGTGACCCCCCCCCCCCCCCCCGGGTGAGACTCAATCCCTGTGGCCTCTCTTGAGTTCTCGCCCGAGTAGTGCCGGATTAAGCTAGTGATGGGCCTGTAAGCATGATGTTATAAAGGACCCCTAAATATTTAAAAACACATACATATTAAAACACACATTTTTCACTTCCACAGTAAAGTAATTGTATTTTTTCATTTGCTATACAGCCAGATAATACGACAAATCGCTAGCCTTAGACACCCAGTCGTTCGTATAAGTTGAAGGCGGTATAGTACTATAGCAATAGAGCAAGTGCAGAATCACTAAACCGGAGTTGATAGCTTGAAAGCATTTAGCGCGGGGCACTTGAAAGTGCGGGGCACGTAGCATACGTCGCTACTTGTGCTACTGCGATAATCCGGCACTGCGCCTGGGTATAGAACAAATTCAGCCTGGGACTCCGTGCTTTTTGGCGTGGGTGTCATGCTCCATCCGCTGCTGCGTGAAGGCCCAGACGGCGCCTCTACCGCTCCACTCGCGGGGAGTCTCTGCGCTGGGCGCACCGTGCGCGTTTTGATTTTATTTTTATTCATTTAGCGATTTGTTTTCCTATACCTTGAAACCGCTATCATGTTGTTGTATTGTTTTTTTGTTGGCGTAACTTCTTTTCAGACCCGCCCCTACTGAACGTCTGTGAAAAAAGAAATATCTTCATAGGTCATCGGATTCCTCCTCTGGTATAAATTACCAAAAAAAAACATCTCATATCTGGGCTGCTGGTCTCTCTGCCTGCCGGTGTAAGTCCCACGCACGCGTCTCCGCCCCACAAGCCCCGCACGCGTTTTGTAATTCAACATGATTAGTCAACTCGTCATGTTTTTGCAAACAACCAACAACAGCAACAACAACAAAAATCAAGGGAAAAATTCTGACAAAAAATCTGACATGGCAAGAGACTTTCCAAAGCCTTTTGGTTGAAGGGCAAAGCCGCCAGTTCCTCCCGTGTATCCGTGCCGAGTGTTTGTTCTCTGGCTGATGTGAGATTGGGGTCCCGCGGGACGAGTCGGAGGCAGGGAGGGGGCCGCTACTGGTGGCTGTGTTCGCGAACCATCGCAAAGTGTAAATATCCCCGGGGGCTCGCGTTCCGTAGTACCCCCCCCCACCCACGTCCTCACACACCCCCCCCCACCCACCCATTGTTTATCTCATCTCGCAGCAGTTCCCTTCCCACGCTGCCACCGAATACAACAACAACAAAATAGTGGGGGGGGGGGGGTCGTTATGGTTTAAGTGTGAGCCCCCCCACCCACAACTGATTATGCCTCAAGAAATGGGGGCGATGCTGGTGAGGGCGCTGGAAAGAGTGCGAGACAGGGAGGGGGGGGCAAGAGGGGGGGACAGGGAGTGGGGGCACGAGGGGGGGCGGGGGGGTACAGGGGGTAGGGGCACGAGGGGGGGCAGGGGACAGGGGACAGGGGGTGGGGGCACGAGGGGGGGCGGGGGTGGAGGCAGGCAAGCTCTAGACCGACTACCCCCCCCCCCGCCAACATCAGCCCTGATGAAGCTAGTTGTAATTACTGGCAAAACGTCGTACTCAGATTGTAAATGTTGTGGCTTGGCTCTCCAACACACAACCGGTTAGTGCTGTACTAGTGACGAATTGGCCACGTTCTGTTTACGTGACAACCCTTACTAGTTGGCTGTGTCGGGTGGTGGCGGGTTTTAACGACACATTTATATTTTTACGCGATCTAACCCAAAACACCTCTATTATGGATTATATTCGTCGCGACCGCCTATACGACGTGTTAAACTGACTACTGTGGAGTGTTTTGCATCAATGTCAAGCTGATCGTTTAGTTCTTAGAGCTGGAATGTTGATAGATTAAGTGAAAATCCACGTAAATTTAATCCGTCTTGTGTGTGTGTGCGCAGTTATTGATGAACGGGCTGTGACCATCAACTCCCTCCACCTCGGCTGGCGATGTGGCCGAGTGATTGCAGAGGTTCACCGTTCGATTCAAGCGGCGACCCTGGTTAACCATCGCAGATGTATCAAGCACAGCAGTACCCTCTATCTGCTTCACAGTGGATATGAAAGATCCGACTGATGTCATTCTAAATAGTAGGCCGTTGTGTGCCGGTGTCAGGGTCCACAATTATACCGCAAATTACTCTTTGAGGGTTATACACAGCAGCAGCAGCAATCACTGCCCTCTGCTGGCCAGTCTAATGCCCCAGGTCACTCTTGCAAATGATGCTCGTCTCGTGAGTCCTCACCACCTGGTTTAACAAAATAAACATCAACTCATGAGAACCCACCATTCATCGTAGGCAGCCGAAACCCAGGTTCAAACCCAGATTATATCGGTGGCGCTGACTCTGGAGTCTAATGTAGGGTAGCGTAGGCTTCACGATGAATGCCGATTTTGTTTGTTCCAGCCCGTACCTGCACTGCTGCTGCCAACGCAGGGCCCAGGAGAAATGACGGCTGTTGTCTCACGCACAACCAACTGGACTTTCGCTTGATCTTCACGGGCGCGTGGCCAGTAAACACGTTCAGATTTACCGGAGAGAGCACGAGGAGGGAACGGGGAAGGAGCCGTCCGTGGCGCGTCGCTCCTCGACGCGAATCGCGGCCACGACAAACGACTTGAGAAAGAAAAAACCGTGCGGGGGAGGAGGAGGAGGGGGGGAGCCCCATTGTGTTGGCTCGAACAATGAATGGGTGGGAAGGGGGGGGGGCGCAGTGGGAGACGCGTGCCGGAAAGGGCGTGGGCCGCGCACGCCCTTAGAGGGGTTTGCGAAATTTCGTCAAATAAATAAACGTTTTAAAAACTCGTACATCCAGCGGTGGATTAACAAAGGGTCGTAAATTGTGCTCATTGTAACGAGCAAGCCCGCCACGTCCTTTGGAGGGTAACCATCAGCCCGTCCTTCTCTCCAGCCTGCCGGCAAAACTTGCGCTCTAATTTTATCGTAACTAATGTTCGTCAATGATCGGCGGCTTGAAACAATGAAGGGCAAGATTCCACAACTCCCCGCCGCCCCTTCCGCCGCCTCTGCCCACCCTTCTCTCGAGCCCCTTCTCAGGGAGGCTCTTCCGCTAGCAGTAGAGAGAGCAAAGCAAAGTGTGGCCAAGGTGGTGGCGCCGGCCGCAATGCCCTCTTGAATGAAGCTCTCCAAGAGCGCTCTCTGCCAGCAGTGGCGTGAGCCAGCGATTGCAGGGCTCCACCTGTACCCTGTATTTGATGCGAAAGTGCCACCACCCCCACCGCCCGCCTCCCCCAGTTCTCCTCCACAGCCCAATCCCCACGACGCATGGATGTGCCCATGTTGATTGAAGGCCTCGTGGTGGTGGTGGTGTTGGTTGGGAATGTTTGACGGATGTCACTACGTGTGACCAGATCACGCGGAGAGAGAGAGAGCGCCCGGATCTCATCAGATCTCGGAAGCTAAGCGGGCAAGGGCCCCGGATATAGTTGCTGTATTCGTGGCCACCGTGAATATCAACAAGCAAGTGCTCCCGGCTTGCTACTGCTGCTGTGAGGGCTACGCAGTGTGCATCAGAGGGAGGAGCGAACTACAAGGACAGCAGCGTATGCGTTACTGACACCGTCATGGTGACGGATGGGGCCAATAACCCCACGCGTACAAAACCCGCCCGCCTGGCGGAGGGGGCCACTCAATATCAGAGGTCGCAACCGGGTACCCGATACCCGTACACCCTACCTGATACCCGGCTACCCGTACCCGGCCGGGTGCGGGTACCCGTTTGCGACCCTGGTGCGGCCGGGTACGGGTAGGCCAGTGAGACACTGGTGAATAACCGCTTGTCACTAATTTCCCAACGTCTTGTCTCTTCTCACAATATCAAGAATCAACCCACCCGCGCCTGCAACATGGCTTCATCCCAGAGGTCGCAATCGGGTACCCGTACCCGATTGCGACCCTGGTGCGGCCGGGTACGGGTAAGGAATCAAAACCCGTTTGCGACCTCTGCCACTCATCCAGCAGTGAGCCGTGGTGGTGGTGGGAGGGAGATTATTTGACCATGCTTCACCACGCTGGTCGGTGTTCGATTGGTGGACATTGACACGGAGGCAAGAGAAGCGCGCACGGGACCACGAACGCTGGCAAGTCCACGTGGCGGGGGACGATGCGGAGAATTTCGCGACTGAGAGGATTTATGAGCAGAGCGAGGGGGTCGAGGGGGGCGGGGGGAGGGGAGGGGCGGGGGGACACGATACCCTGGGGGGTGGGGTGGGAGGGGCGGGTTGAGGGTTACCTGCTCTGTTGCACATGAGAAAGCTCCTCGCACTAAGTCTAATCCTGAACGCGAATCTGACCCTGTGGTCAGCGCGTGGTCTCCCATCATCACCACCACCACCACCGCCATCACCACCGCCACCAACGCCGCCGCCTCGCCTCGGCCCAACTCCTAGCCCGCCCGACTCCCTGCAACGCAGCGCGGACGTTCAGAGACACGTGCGGGGGGAGAGGGGGGGGCGAGTCCGTGGTCAGAACGGGGCGGTGACCAAACAAGATCGAGATTTCGCCCGCGGCCAAAGTCATCATTTGTCACCGAGAGCGGGCGGAAGCTGAGCGGGCGAGCGGAGCGAGTTGGGGGGCGGCTGTCTCGGGCGCCCCCCACTCCGAGGGGAGCGGCAATGCCCCCCGCCCGCCCCCCCCAATGAGAAGTTCGTGTGAGCCGAATTGTTGGACACAAGTGAAGGCGGGGCTGGTGGTTCACATTGTTGGTGGGGCGGTGCCGGCGCCGCATCAGGAGGGCTCGGGAGGGAGGTGGGGGGTGGAAGAGAGGAAGTCACCCACCCTTGTTCCTGGGCGCCAGAATATCTCGCTACAGCTCTGGGTACCAACGCTACCCCGCCATCTCCTCCTCCTCCTCGCTGCCAATGCTTTCCACTCTCTTCTGCCAGATTTCGCAGCAACTGCTGCTACTGCTGCCGCACAGGAAACGCGCGACCCACCACGGTCTACCCCGACGGTGCCCTCCTCCCCGCCCCCTACGCCGCCGTCTCCTCTCGGGGCCCCCCACTCTCAGCTCGCCTGGCTGCGTGGGGACCGCGATCACTCGGGAGCTTCAAATCTCGCTGGATTCGTCCCCGTGTCGCTCGCTAAGACTGGGGGGCGAGCAGAGCAGGTGGCACGTTCGCAGCGGCTACACGCGCAGCCCTCGCGCTAGGCGCTCTTCTGGATGTGTAAGTGCCCGCAGTGTCATCTCGGGTGCTGGACCCGCATGGACCCGGCTGAAACTAAGCCCCTTGCATCGCCTCGATCACAATGGCGCACGCCCTCCGTGATCCATCGCTTTGGAGGCCATGGGGTTTGTGGGTCACGCTTTAAAACAAAACAACAACAAAACTCCGTGGTGGCCAGGACACGGCAGTACGACAAGTGAGCTCGTGAAAGCCTCGCTGTAGGCGTTGTCCCCTGCGCGTGTGGTGGGGGTTTTCTCCGGGCACTTCTGGTTTCCTCCCAGACGCGAAGGCAAACTCTCGTGATGAGAATTGGACAAAACATCCCACAGCGAGGGCCCACTTGGAGCCGAGGACTCGAAGTGACTTTTCTGTCACCATTCGTCACTCGTGCTCAATCCACTGCTGGATGAACGCCTCTCCAAGCCGTCGCCGTCTTTAATTATCCATTTTATGCAACCATCCAACCAGCCCCAACACGCAAGCTGATTTCATTGATCCATCTCCTGCGGCGAACGTCCTCTGGGACGCGTTCCATTCCTTGGCTGCCACTCCGTCATCATCCTTGACCATCGTTCCTCCTACCCACGTGTCCTGCCTATAAGCTGCCCACTCACGTGTCTGAGCAGTCACTGTGATGACGCTTCTAATGTCCGTGTTCCTCTGTATGCCTCGCAATTTATATCCGAGCGTGCAGCTCTCTCTTTCTCTCTGTCTCTCTGCGTGCTGATTTGACACTTTCCATTCATTGTTTGAGATGATTTTGCAACTGACCTTGTCAGTAGCTGGTTCGCACACACTCTGCTGTGTTCCTCCGACTCACGTCTCCAGTTGTCTAGCTCAAATTCTTTATTAAAGTTTAACACGTGGGAGGCTTTCGCGACCAATATTATTCATAATAATCGTTAGATCGCGTTATTTATAAATGTGTCGTAACCCTCCACCGCCCGACACGGCCAATCAGCAAAAAAGTGTCACGTTGACAAAAGACAAATAGTTCACTACTTTAGCCCACCGGTGTGTTGAAGAGTGAATCCACAACATTTACAGTTTTTGAGTACGACGTTTCGCTGGTAATTACATCCATTCTGGCGAATTGCCCGATGATGCTGGATGTAATTACCAGCGAGACGTCGTACTCAAAAACTGTGAATGTTGTGGATTCACTCTTCAACACACCGGTGGGCTAAAGTAGTGAACTATTTGTCTTATTTATTAAACCCTTATGTTTAGCGGTGCCTCTAGGCCATTCACCTGTGCGTCCCATAATCACTCTCATCACCATTATTTTATATATCGAGCGACGAGGGTGGCTGCGCGGTCATCACAAAGACTCCTCAAAACAAACAACCACCTGAGTTCAATTCCCGAACGGGGCGTTGTTCTGCGTCGAGTTTGCATGTTCTTTCCCTGTGCTCTGCGGTGGGTTTCCTCCGGTTTCATCCCTCCCACAGCGAGCGACAAACCCCACGCACTCACTGATGTTGGCCACAAAACAACCAAATGCAAACAAAAAAACACATCACCAACAAATGACTCCATTCAAAATGTTGCCACGTAACAGCAACATCGCCCCCATATTGTGGACAAGAACTTGGCGTGACCCGCCTGAACAATGGCACTTTGAGACTCGCTGGGGCTTCCCTTGGTTAAACAAGCGCATTGTCTCATACTAAGCTTAAACATCATCTACGCCTCGAGTTTCCCGGCTGGCTGCTTGTCCGGGCTTCTCACCACCCCAACGATAACTCTGTTCATAATAAAGTGCTTTTGGGTTACATCGCGTAAGTTTAAATGTTGTGGCGTAACCCTCCACCACCCGACACAGCCAATTAGTAAGGGATTTGTCACGTAAGCAACACGCTAATTAGTTACTACTTCAGCCCACCGGTGTGTTGCAGAGTAAATCCACAACTTTTACAATTTGAGCACCATGACGTGTCGCTGGTAATTACATCCAGCATCATCGGGCGATTTGCCACGATCGTGTTGTTGTTGTTTGTTGTTCTTAGTGGCAGCTGTGGGCCCGCATCGTCACCGAAACTAGCCGGGCAACTGGCTGCACGGCGAAGGAGGAAGACGTTCAGGAACCACACCAATAATAACAACAACAACAGACATAGACACACAAGAGGTGGAAGAAGCGAATACAGAACCCTGACCACGGTTCACTTAAAATCGCTCTAACTTTTCAACGCGTGCTCCAATGAACGTACATCTTACGCCGCAAATATTCTCTACATCGTAGAGAACTAAATACGTATTACCTCGGCATCGTGCCATTACATTTAAGAGATAATTATAGATTACTTTCAGTGCTCCGAGTACAGGGGCACTCTGACAAGATGGGTGGACATCACAGCTGGCTCTTATCTCCCGTAGCGGAGACACGACCACAACCACAACAACAACGGGACCTCTGCTCGTGATGGTATCAATAATAACAACAACACGCATGTGGCTTGTACCTGCTGCCGTTGCTGCCGCCGCCGCTGCAAGGCAGATCCGTCCGGCTCTTTCGGGTGACCTGCGGCGAGAGACGGAACATCGAAAATCTCCACGTCTCCTCCCTAAGCATCACAATCATCATCATCATCATCGCCACCTCCTCCGTACTCGGAGCTTCCAACAAGGGGTGCTAATCCGTCCATCCTCTCTCCGTTCTCCGCTGCCCATTTCAACTTCACAACCCGTGCCCCGATTCAACACACCCATGAACTCTCGTCTATGCTCACACCTTCAATTGTACTGTTTGTTGCTGGGCGCTTGGCTTTTTTATATAATGCTCTGCAACCGTGTTTTAATCGAATAATCTATGTTAAGCCGCTTCATTTCATCTAGATTTGAAGTTGTCGTGACTGCAGGGATCCATACTCTTTGGTTCTTTCGGTAAAGTCACGTGGGTATAAAATAAAGTCACGAAGGTATACAATAAAATAAATTGTATTTAATAAAATAAATTGTATTTTATTTAAAAATAAACTAAAATGTATTATATTTAAATAAAATGAATCTAATTTTATTTTATACCAACGTGACTTTACCGAATTAACCAAAGAGTACCGCATCCTTTATTTAACCATGTGAACTTATGAATCGGTTTCACCTTTATATGCGTCATCATCAATCAAATGAACTAATTTAGTGCTCCTGTGTACGGTGTGTGAGGTGTGTGTGTAAGGTGTGTGTACGGTGTGTGTGTGTAAGGTGTGTGTGTGTAAGGTGTGTGTGTGTAAGGTGTGTGTGTGTGTAAGGTGTGTGTGTGTGTGTGTAAGGTGTGTGTACGGTGTGTGTGTGTAAGGTGTGTGTGTGTAAGGTGTGTGTGTGTAAGGTGTGTATGAGGCGTGTATGTGTGTGTGTAAGGTGTGTGTGTAAGGTGTGTGTGTGTAAGGTGTATGTGTAAGGTGTGTGTACGGTGTGTGTGTGTAAGGTGTGTGTGTAAGGTGTGTGTAAGGTGTGTGTGAGGTGTGTGTGTACGGTGTGTGTGTACAAGGTGTGTGTGTAAGATGTGTGTGTGTGTAAGGTGTGCAAGGTGTGTGTGTAAGGTGGATGTTATTGTAGGGGGCGGGGGAGGGAGACTCTCTCCCTCCTGATCGGTGGGGACCTTTCGGCGGACCCGACTGCGGTACCACACAAACACGCTTTGTGACCAACACAGAGTCGGACGGATTCAGTCCCCCGTGACCCACATCCTGGTTTATAAATCACGCGCAAAGACAACGATCCCCACAGACTGTTGGGGCAAGTTATGTTCACGAATACCTATGAAGGCCGGCACGGCTCACGATGAGGGTGGGTGGCCAGCCCCTGGCCTGATCGCCGAGTTCGTAGCGCAGCGCACTAACCCCCACACTACCGCTACACTACCCCTACACGACTCCTACACTAATTCTAGATTTGAAGCTTTCGTGACTGCAAGGATTCATATTCTTAGGTTTTTTCGGTAAAGTCACGTAGGTAAAACATTAAAATTAATAAAAAAATAAAATAAAAATCACGACGTTTCGGAGGCAACACACACTGAAGACGGAAGCTTGTGTTGCCTCCGAAACGTGATTTTTATTTTATTTTACTTTTATTAATTTTAATGTTTTACCTACGTGACTTTACCGAAAAAACCTAAGAATATGACTCCTACACTACCGCTACACTTACTCCCTCGCTGTGTCTCAGTCTACCGGACCTCTCCAAGAGTTCTCACGGCTGTTCCAGCCTGCTGGGGCTCATTAGCGAAGTCACGGCGTAACTAAACACTTTCCGCTGGTCTTATAAAGAGAGACGATGCTATTGGGGAAGAGCACTTTCCTCCAGGCCAGTGGTTCTCAATGGTTAAACAATTATAATGCTAATAAATACGTAGCGTTTGGTGCCCGTGCTTAATTTGTGTTTCGATGATTTACCTTCAAAAGAAATCTGGGCATGTCTCGCACCACCCAGAAAGGGCATCTCGCACGCCCAGGGGGTGATTGCACCCCGTGTGAAGAAGAAGAAGAACCACTGGTCTAAGCGATGCGGACTCGTGATGGCAACACAATCGCGAGACGATGCCGATATCGTCGATTGAAGTCGGTTCGTACCGACGCAGCGTCATTCACCAGAATCGTGAGACTGGATTATGCGAGATTTGCGTAATTTGCGTTACATTTAGACTGACAGCAGTTGCCCAAAGCTAAACCAGCAAGCAGTGAACAAGACAGCCAGCGATACAGAACACAAACGAGACGGGAATATGAAGACGCGACAATCGTCAAGTTAACAATGCATCGAATCGAAGGTCCAGACTCACGGCCCTCATCACCGCGGTCAAATAGGTCAGCCGACTCGAGTCAACGCCCCCCCCTCCCACGCATCGCTCCCCTCCCCACCCCGCCCCTCACTCCCACCCCCACCCCACCCCTCACCTGTGCGCGCTGTTCGGGGGACTCTGGCACGTGGGGCGCCCCCTGGCCCGGCTCCCGCTCCCCCTCCGCGCTGCACTCCCCGAGCGCGGCCGGCCGCGGGCCACGGCGCGCGGCCGCCTCGCTCGGCGGCACCACGACGATGTCGCGCTTGCTGATGGCCTTGTGCGGCTTGCGGTAGAGGTAGGCCTCGGCCGTGCGGCAGTTGTAGGTGCGGATCTCCTTGTTCTCGCGCTTGCACACCACAGCGATCACCACCATGGCGACGAAGAGCAGCGAGCAAACTCCCCCAAGCGCGATGATGAGGATCAGCGAGAGCGGCATGCGGCCCGCTTCGCCGCCCGTGGTGCTGCTCCCGCTCTCGCCCTCGCCGCCGCTGCTGCTGCCGCCGCTGCTGCTGCTGCTGCCATCGTCAGCGCCGTCCAAGTCGTCGTCGCCGGGATTGAGCTCGTCCACGGTGTCCACCAGGATGACGGTGATGGTCGCGCGCGCCGTCAGCGCAGGGCTGCCGTGGTCGCGCGCCTCCACCGTCACCTCGAACCTCCCCGGATCGCCCGGCGCGAAGCTCCGCGCGTTCGTGAGCTCCCCGCTCCGCGCGTCCACCGCGAACCATCCGAGCGCCTCGCCCCCCTCCTCCTCCTCCGTGTGGACGACGGAGTAGCTCACCCTGCCGTTGTCGCCCTCGTCCGCGTCCGTGGCCTGCACGCGCAGCACGACGGAGCCGCGCGCCGATTGCCGCAGCACGCGGCGCGTCGCGTTCCCGTTACGCAGCCGCGGCATCGACACCGCGGGCGCGTTGTCGTTGGCGTCGCGCACCGCGATGGTGACCCGCGCGGTGCTGTTGAGCTGCGGCTCGCCCAGGTCCCGCGCCTCCACCGCGAAGCTCAGGCGCGGCAGGGACTCCCTGTCGAGCGAGCGCAGCGCGTAGATCTTGCCGCTCACGCCGTCGACGGAGACGTAGGAGAGCGCGGGCGGGGAGCCGCCTGGCGCGATCGAGTACACCACGCGGCCGTTGTCGCCCAGGTCCGGGTCCGTGGCCTCCACCGTCGCCACGAAGGCGCCCGGGACGTTGTTCTCGAGCAGGGAGAACTCGTAGGCGCCGCGCGTGAATCCGGGCGCGTTGTCGTTCCGGTCCGTCACCACGACGCGCAGCGGCGCCGAGGCGTCGAGCGGCGGCGAGCCCCGATCCTCGGCGCGCACGAGCAGCTCGTAGGAGTCGGTCGTCTCGCGGTCGAGCGTCGCGGACGTGACGACGGAGTAGCCCGCGTCGCCGCGCAGCAGCTCGAAGGGGCCTCCTCCTTCCAGCCAGCAGCGGTAGCGACCGTTGTCTCCGTCGTCGGGGTCGCTGACGAGCAGCGAGGCCACGAGGGAGCCGGGGGCCTCGCCTTCGGGGACGCGCGCCGTGCCCTCTGCGTCCACGCCGAGGGCGATGCGCGGCGCGTTGTCGTTCTCGTCGAGCACCGTGACGAGCACCTTGGCGTAGCCCGTCATGGGGTCGGGCCCCAGGTCCCTGGCCTGGACGCGCAGCTCCAGCGTGGCCGCCTGCTCGCGGTCCAGCGCGCCGCGCAGCCTCACCTCGCCCGTGGTGCGATCCACCGAGAAGAGGTCGCGGGCGCGCGGGTCCGAGCGGCCGCGCGCCGAGTACTCGACGCGGCCGTTGTCGCCCTCGTCGGCGTCCGTGGCGTTGAGGCGCGCCACCAGGAGGCCCCGGGGTGCGCCCTCGCGGAGGCGCGCGTGGTAGACGACCTGCGAGAAGACGGGCGCGTTGTCGTTCGCGTCGAGGACGCGCACGACGACGCGCTGCGTGGCGACCCGCGGCTGCGCGGCCCCGTCACGCGCCGTGAGCGTGAACGCGTGCACCGCGCGCTCCTCGCGGTCCAGAGGCCTCAGCAGGCGCAGCGAGGGGAAGGCCGGCCCGTCGGCCGGCCCCCACGCCGCCGACTCGTCGAGGCCGAACGCGTCCGTGCCGCTGAGCTCGTAGCCGCGCACCGAGTTGGCGCCCGCGTCGAGGTCCCGCGCCGCCTCGAGGGGGAACGCGGTCCCCGGCGGCGTCGCCTCGGACACGTTAAGCACCGTCGAGTGGGACGCGAACTCGGGCGCGTGGTCGTTGACGTCGAGCACCTCCACGCGCACGTGGCGCACCTCGGAGGGCCCCTCCAGCACCACGGGCACGTCTAGCGTGCACGGCGGGAGGTCGTCGGCGCCGGAGGGGCCCGGGCACAGCGACTCGCGGTCGAAGCGCGACGCCGTCGTCAGATCGCCGCTCTCGGGGGCCACGCGGAAGGACGCCGAGATGACGTCGGGCCTCCTCGCCCGCAGCTCCGCGGCGCTCAGCCCCAATGCCTGGGCCAGGTTGCCCAGCGCCGTCCCGGGAGGGCTCTCCTCGTCCACGGAGAAGCGCAGCGGCGGCGGCGGAACGGCCGCGTCCGACGCGCCCAGCGCGGCCACCGCCAGGAGGAGGAGGGGAATGGGAAGCCGGGTTGCCCGCGGGGACGGCATGCTGATTGATAGCGCTGCTGCTGCTGCTGCTGCTTCTGGTGGTGTTGGTTGTGGTCGTGCTATCGACAGGAGGGGCGCCGTTCCACGCACTCGAGGCCGCACGGCGCTTCTTCTCCTCCTCCTCCTCTTCGGTGGCGTCGGCACCGCCGAGTGACGCGCGGACGCATCGGGAGCGCGGAGCGCAGCGTCGGGGCAGCGGGGCGCGGCGCAGCGCGGAGGAGCCGCGCTCAATGAATGAATGGGAGTGGTCAGTGGGGAGCAGAGGGAATACATGCGGAGGAAGGAGGACGGAGCCAGGGGGCGGGAGACGGGGGAGGAGACGCCGGGAGGTCACGAAGCTTCGTTCGTTCCCCCGCCCTCTCGCCCCTTTGCCAGATCACGCACCGTGCGGGGGGGGGGGGCGTGTGAGTGCGGGGACTGAGCTCCTCCACCTGGAGCAGACTCCACGCGGGAAGCGCGCGACTTCATCTCCCGTAGCTCAAAGCAGCCTCCGCCCTGGACCACCCAGCGCGATCTGGACGCACGGCGGAGTGAATGGAATTGCGAATGCGATGCGCGGATCTACCCGCCGTCTGAATGCGAGCGCATCTCCGGGTGCTGTGCAGAGACCGTGGGTTTGTATCCACGTTGTCCATCGAGGCGGTCGGTCACAACGTCTCTGTGAGTCTCTCTCGGGTCTATGAATTCGGAGGGTCCTCTACGCAAGTAAATGGGGGGTCTCTCGTGCGTGTTCGTGGGTGGACAGGCGAGTCATTACTGCAATGGAACGTGGATGTAGAGAGCGGATAAATCTCGATTTAAAGCTTTCGTGACTGCAGGGATTCAGCTTCTTGGTTCTTTCGGTAAGGTCATCACGTAGAAGGGAAATAATGAAATAATAATAAAACATAATAAAATAAAATTATCACGACGTTTCGGCCACAACGCAAGCAGCTGTCCTCAGGTGAAGAACAGGGCTGTCGGAAAGACAGCGTCCGAATATCTTTCCAACAGCCCTGTTCTTCACCTGAGGACGGCTGCTTGCGTTGTGGCCGAAACGTCGTGAGAATTGTATTTGATATGTTTTATTTTTATTATTTTATTATTTCCCTTCTACGTGACTTTCCCGAAAGAACCAAGAAGATAGCGGCTAAATCTTTCCGCACTTCAAGACGCTGCTCAGTTTGAAGAGGCACCCATAGGTGGTCGCGAGCGTGGACTGTGGGGAGCGGTGGCGCAGCGGTTATTGCGCTGCACTACGAACCCGTCACCCGAGTTTGATTCCCGCTCACGGCCAACACCGGTGACAATTATCTGAATCGGTCCTGAGCTTCTCCGAGGTCAACTCAGCCTCAAACGAGTGCCCGGTGCGAAGTATGTATAAACATCGCCACTGAGGAGACAAAGGCGGCCGGGAGTGGTATTAGCCACCCACCACTTCCTGTGCCGTCCCGGCCTTCTTTGGTGCTCGCTCGCAGCACTTGCCCCAAGTCTGTTAAGGCTATACGGGGGATCTTTGTTTATTGAAGCCAGTGGATGTTAGAACGTGCGGGATTTATTGATGCCGTCTGCGAGTGTGTGATGGGCCTCTTGAGTACACAATGCAACAAAGGTACATCCAGGCGAGCGCAGGGGTGGGGGATGGGGGAGGGGGGCATAGACTCGGCCAGTCGTTCTTTTATTTCTGTGACAATTGCACAGATCTCTCCGTGATCCACCAACCTTCGCTTTCAAAGCACCGGATCAGCGGTTGTGCGCCATCGCGCCGGAATGGCTGCCGACCAACTCGTTCGGTGCCACCGGACGCAGTGTGGAACTCAGCACGCAGTGGTGGTGGAGACGGCTAGCAATACATGTATTTATTCTCGCCATTCATTATAGTCATCGTCATCGCCACCTTACGATTGTTTTGGCGGTGGCTCCGCTGCACGCGACCTGTAACCCGGGGCTGCGGAGGCAGCAGCCAGGGTTGGTGGGTCACCGCACAGATGCCGCGCAACTCCTTTCCCGTGGGCGTCGAGGTGGCACCTGACTTGCCAGGAGAATGTGGTGCAGCAAAAACAAAGTGGACTCAACCCCCATCTGTTCCATCTTGATGGGAGAGTGTTGTCGCTATGTACGAACGGGGTTTTCTCCAGGTGCTCCGGTATCCTCCCTCATGACTGAAACGATCTTAATACATAGAGAAAAATAAGTATAACCCGTAAAAACAAAGTTTTTCACTATAAATCCTTTATATGCGTGGCGGCTAGAGTCCTCTCGTCCTCTGGCTTGAGATGGCTGCCACCTATGGGTCAGATGATTGCATTGCACCATTAAGCAATTGGTAATTAAATATATTTTTGTCCTAAAAAGTGTAAAATTTTGGAAAAGATTTTTCACGAACATTGTCACGCACAACGAGTCTGTGTGGAAAATGTCAGCTCGATTGTATCACGGGAAGTGGGTTAAAAAACGACCGAAAGATTTGCACGGTCCTAAGCAAGCAAGCGAACTTAATATAAAGGATTAAAAAAACTAATTTTTACACAACCCATTGGCCCCACGGCCTTCTGGAGTGCATTATTTTACGAGCATTGATCCACGCAAAGTCTGACTCTACTGATGAGACGCTGTATGTCAAAACCAGCCCAGCTTGCTTGTATTGAATCAATGCTGCTGTGGCAGACACGGTGGCGAGATGTTAACTAGCTCGCCTGATATACAGGAGGTTGTGGGTTCGATTCCAACCCTGATGCCTGCTGTATATTTGGAGTTCGAATGTTCTCTCTCTCCTCGTGGTCGCGTCGATTTTTCTCCCAGTCCACCGGGTTTTCCCCTCCACATGTAGAATCAAGATGCGTTGATGGTATTTGACTGCTATACATTTCCACATAAGCCACTCCGTGTGAGCTATCATTTGTGACCAGGTCGCTTCTGAAAAAGAGCTACATAGCTCAGTGGACCTAACCTGGTTTATTTTTAGACCTATAAAGTAGACATTGTCTGCCTATTTTATTCATGTTTTCCATGCCAGTGGTTACGTTTAATTATGCATCATTATACATTTTCACGAAATCAAAACTCATATCTGAAAGGGGTCCTTGCGTATAACGTAGTTCACGAGCATTGATTCAAAGAAGCCCGACTGCTGATGATATCACTAAAACAAAGTCCAGTTTGCTTGCATTTATTGAACGCTGCTCAAATTACGCACTTTCCAAAACGCAGCGTGGCCGATGGGCTGTGCAAGATATAGTCCGCTTATACAATCTTTACTTGTATTGTCCACAACACCAATAATATAAAACTAAATTGTAGAGGACTGCTGCTGCTGCCTTCTCACTCGTCTGTGGTTACTCCTCGCGCCTCCCGAGTCAACCCCTCTCAAAGAGTGCGCGCAAGGGCTGATCGAGTGAGGGCCCACCATGTCCACGATAGGACCCTCACCCGTTTCCCCGTCGTCGCCACCGCCACCCGCCACCACCACCTTGACTTTCATCACAAGAAACGGCATTAGAAGCAATAAAGAATTTTATTTTTTTAAACAATTGGAAAATACAAAGATTTTATTAAGGCTCTAATCCTGTTCACCATACAGTGTACAGAATACGGGACACTGTGTCTTGTTATTGCCGTGGATCACACGATCGGGAGGAGAGCGGGGGGGGGGGGTGGCACAGAGGACGCTGGGGGTTCAAACGGGGGGGGGGGGGGGTTATGGACACGACTCACGAGGGATTGACCACGGGGGGGGGGAGACGTGTGGCAACAGCAAGTAGACGACGCGGAACCAGAGATTCACAACGGTTAACGGAGGGGTGGGCACGAGTCGCGACGACGTCCCTCGACAAACGCCACCCGCCCGCTCGCTCGCTCCTCTCGTTGTCGTCGAATCCACCGTCGACCCCGACGCTCCGGCGATCGTTCCCGGGCGGAGCGGCGAGGCGAGCGGCGTGACGACGGCGGTGCCCCCCACGTTTTGAAACTGGCCGCCACCACCAAGGAGAACGACGCATTTGTCACAAGGCCATTTCACCGTCCTACACTCTTTGTGTATTTACTAAATACCAAACCGTATATACATAAACATATACATAGAAATGTATTTGTTATGTCATCAGAAAACCATATTTCGGAAAACTAAACCTTTATTTAGCATTATCCCACCAGATGTATGAAGCATCACTATGTTGTAAACTAAGCACGCTCACACAACCAACTCGCCCCCCCACCATCACATTACTGCTCTGTGCTCATTTGTCCAAGCGTCAGTCTGGCTCAAGAAGCACCGTAAAATCAGAATCCTGCCCTATTATTTGCAGGAGTTTGAAGCTGCTTTAAATTTTCCCGAGTTCTCACTGCTGCGCCAACAAGTGCCGATTAATTCATTGCGCACAAGCCGCCGACGGCCTCGGGTGTTTTCGATCGCCGAATTCGCAACAAAACCCCGGTAAGCGAGTCCGCGCGTGCGCGTTTAGGTGTATTCCCCGTGAGTTCAAGGGTCGGGTGCGACTGCTCCCTCCACACGGCAACCGCGGGCGTTTGCGAACGCGCGCGCGATGATGTGCGGGCGACGTTTTGAGCGAGCGGAATGCCGCGACGCCGCCGCATCGCGCTTCTATCGCGACGGCGAGGAGCGACGCGGAGCCAATAGGAGCTGCTGCCCGCGTGAGCGTCACAGTGGGAATCTCGACGGCTTCGTTAACAACGAAAGTCCCTCTTCCTCCCCTCACCCCCGTGGGGCGCACTCGCGGACTCTCACGCGACTCCGATGATGCGGTACACGGGAGAGATCCGCTATAGCTCGGCGCTGCCCTCTATGGGACAGCAGCTGCAGCAGCGATTGTCTGCAGCCTCTCCCGGCCGCACGCGATCGCCAGAGGTCTCCTTCCACGCTTTCTTCGTGTCGACCGCGGTTCGAGTTCCCCCCCCCCATCTCTCCCACCTCACCGATTCATAGATATATGTATATATGCATGTTTTCGATTTTTTTTTTACAAACAGCATTTACTATTAAATTTGTTTGGAAATTATAAATCTAGGGGAGGAAAAATATACACGTGATTGCCTTCACTGTCCCAACCGCCATCAAAATAATTTCATCCTCAGTCAGAAGTTTTTGTCATTGTATTCGATTTTGATTTTCCGGATGATCGGTTCCTCCGTGATCTGCTCCGGAAGCGACAAATCCTCCCGCTCCTCTTTAATCAGCAGCCGCTGCTGCTGCTGCTGATGCTGCTGCTCGTCCGTTTCCAGCTTGACCACGACGTGCGGCTCCTCCTCCTCGGCGAGTATCGTCCCGTCGGCGGGCAGTGCCGTGATCTGCTCGGGCAGCGAGGTGAGTTCCGTGGGGAGGGTCGTGATGTCCGCCGACAGCGACGTCATCTCCGACGACAGCGAAGTCATCGGCAGCGAGACGCCGGTGCCGTCGTGGCCACCGCCGCCAATGATGACCGAGAGCACCTCCCCCGGTTCGGCCTCGCCGTGGCAATGGCGGTGGTGCTGCTGCTGCTGAGATTTGAGCGGCGTTAGTAGGAGGACGTTCTCGTTTTTGCCCTCGGGGCCCCGGATGACGGTTGTGGTGATCACACCGGGCTGGGAACCGTCGCCGTTGGTGAGGAAGAGGAGCGGCGTGCCGGAGGCGAGGTTCACGATCTCGCCACGCCGCGAACTCGGGCCGCCCGTCTGCGCCGCTGCCGCGGAGAGGCCCGGCATCGTCTGGAATACGATCTTCTGCGTCGACGCGGCAGCGCTCGTGATCACCGACTGCTGCTGCTGCTGCATCTGAGCCCCCATGGTGACCACCACCGGCACCTGTGCCGCTCTGATACAAACAACGGAAGCGACCACCATCACACGTCAATGCTCACCGCCATCGTTGTTGTCGGCCGTGTGAGGCGGCCGATGACACCGTCACCAATCCCTGCCCTTGCCCTCTCATCCAGCGGCGTACGTGTCAATAGACGCGGCTACTTTTCCAGAACTATTTCCGCGGTTATCCGATCGGTGGAGCACTCGGAACTGATAATCGGTTAACGTTCGAGACTGCACGAAAGCCAGCTCTCTCTCACGCGCGTGGACACACACACACACACACCTGCTGTCCACAATCACTTGGTCCTGCGGCTTTGCCTTGGCAAGGGGCGACTTGGTGGAGAGTCCACCGCCCGATCGGTTGGGTCGGCGGTTCCGTCCGCCCATCGTGCCGCCCGGCATTGCCCCTTCCGGGCGGCCCTGGGGGTGCGGTGAGGAGGGCTCCACGGTGCCGGGTGAGGACCCTCCCTCCTCCGAGCCGTCCTCCAGCAGCAGGTTCCTGGGCATGTCCTTGAACTGGTAGACCAGCCTCTGGCCCTCCACTTTGGCGAGGATGCCACGCTGGTAGTAGTACCTGTCGGGGGAGACAGCGCGCAGGACGCACTCGCGTTGAGAGGAGCGTTGAGAAGCGCTAGCAGGGCGGTTTCAAAACTCTGCCGGCGTCACGGCTGATCGCTAGTGCACGACGGGTCGCTACAGGCTTCTGCCAGGACGGGTAGCAGAAGGCAGTGCAGGAAACTCCATTGTTGCGTACAATCCCTACGTTGCCGGAACTATCTTCAACGTCCCCTCCTTCTGGACAGCGGGGGCCTGTTCATTTCACCGAACTCAGGGTGGGCTATGAATCTGAATAAAGCACGGATGGGAAACTGCCATCGACATCGGGTAGTAGTAGGTTGCGGGACTACATTGCGGTGCAGAATAATCCACTGTTGTATCATGCTTCCAGGATGCTACGGCTTTTATCCAGCAATCTGTCTATCCATCAGTCTGCCATTATGCCTCCATGTCTATAAGTCGGTCTACCCGTATATCTGTGCGTCTACCCCTTTAGCTTAACATTCTGCTTCCCACCTTCAACAAACATGCCGTGACCAGCATGGTGGCATAATAATTTCGCTCTGGGAAAGAGAACGACTCAAGAGGATCGGAGGAACCACAGACAAGCAGGAAGGCTGCCACGTGGTGAACCGATGCCAACAATTGCCCAAGCTCTGCTGCGTTAAGGTGTTGTCGGTTAACCAACAAGTGTTTACACATGGGAGGAAACCCAAGCATGCAAGGGGGAAAAACGCTATCTCGTACGGACGGAACAGGTGGTACCGCCTTCTCCTGGCGAGCCAGGGTATGGCTCCTCATTGACACCCAAGGGAAGGCAGCAACATCTACACGGTAATCCACCAACCGGCTGGTTCACAGGTGTGTGTAGGTAGCCACCACCGGTCAAACAACCCCAGCAACCCGGCGCGGCGAGGGTCCTCATCCAGCAGTAGATTGAGGAGAGCGCGGGGGGTCACACACGCACCTGAGCGCGCGGCCCATGGTCTCGTAGTTCATGTCGGGCTTGTTCTTGTGCTTCCCCCAGAGTCTGCTCACGGCCTTCGAGTCGACGAGCTTGAAGATTCCCTTCTCCTTCTCGGTCCACTTGATGAGACGCGGGCACGTGTTCTTGTCCTGCAGCAGCGACAGCAGGAACTCCCACAGGTAGACCGTGTGACCTAACGCACGCACACGCCGAGCGGCAAACACGCACACACACACGCACAGCTTCATCCTCCTCGCCCCGCTCACACCTCCCCCAGCAAGTTGAGAGTTTTTATTTTGCTGAACCAGCTGAGGGACTGGGAGAGGACCCATCCTGTCACGCTTGCAAATGAGACCAGGTTGAAGTCCTGCTCTCGTTTGCAAGTGCGGATCAACGGAGCTTGTGGAAATATACATACCTTCACGCTGGCTTTATTCACAGCTGTTGCTGCCTCATCGAGGGTCGACGACTCAGTGCCCACGTGAATGCGAATGTGCCGGCGAGTCAACCGGTTTCTTGATAAACTCTAAACGGATGAGATATTCTAACGCCCTACATGTCACGTGACATCACCGCACCATATATATTGTACGTTGAACTTCCGTCGCACCACACGTTGCCAACCAATCCTGCCACGTTGTCTCCTTCATTGAGTGCCCACTAACTTCCGTGCAAAACAAATTATGTGTCGCTGCTGCATGCAAAACAAATGATGTGGCGTTGCTGCGTTGGCAATGGTGCACAAGCTCTCGTCAATAACAACGCTGCGGCCTTAAAACCACCGTAGAATAGGCGACGTTTCAGGCAATGGCCCTCCATTTGTTTTCGGTGCCATGAAGGGGCATTGCCCTGAAACGTCGTCTATTCTATAAATATATTAAGGCAGTGTTAATTGATGATTGTGTTTGCTTTTATTTTCTGTTTGTGCATTTATCATCCCCTTAAGTGTGGCACAAGACAGAACAAATGTGCAGTGGACACCTACTACGGTCTATCTGCCCATGGGTCGTGATGACGATGATAATGAAGTGTGAGAGAAACGACCAATAACTCCGTGATGCCGGTAGCACAGTGCGTGCCCTGGGCGTACACAACGCACCTTCTCGTGACTTCTTCCTGAGCGGCCCGTCAGACGGCAGGATAGGGGAGCACGGTCTGCTGCTCTTGGGCTTCCGTGCTGCAGGACACAAAGGGGTTTCAACAAATTTAAATTCACCATTGATCAGTATTCCACAGCACGAGTCCCGACTTCAAATACTGCCTTTAAAGCCTTTCTACAATTTTATTTTTAATCTAGAAATAATTGTACACACTTTTCCAATGTTAATAAAATTGAAGTGTGTCTGTAGGCCTTGTAATCTCAGTGTAACGTTCCATTTTTGTGAATTATTTTTTATTTCTTCTCAACGTTATTTATGTAGGCCTCGGATTGTGAGCACTTAAGATGGCCACACTCATAGGTCTTACAAACCATAGAAAGTGTCTTCAAAATATTTTTTATATTCTTTCAAAAACTTTTAATTATTAAAAAAAACTAGTTTTTATCCCAATATATTTTAAAACCACGTGCTGTGTGACCCTCGGGACTGCTCCCTTCACCACGCACGCGCAAACTCGAGCGGTGCAACGAAATGTTGACGCGGATTTTTCCGAAAATAAAAACTCCGTGCACCGTTAAACAAAAAAAGTTACGCACAAAAAAAACTCCCAATACGACGTTTCTATCCCCAAACAACAGCTCGGAGCCTCGCGCGTGAATGTCACAGAATCTGGACGATTGCGTCGAACCTTTCTTCTTGCGGTTGTTGGCCTGCGCGTCGGCCTGGGGGTGGTGCCCCCCCGTGCCGTGCGCGTGACTCTCGTGCGCCATGACGACGTCCACGTGTCTCCCGTCGTCGCCGCTCATGTCGGGCGCAAAGATGTGGGAGTCTGTGAAACGCCAAGTCCAGGTTACAGAGCGACACTAGTTTTTATTCTTTAAAAACTGAAACAAGAAGAACAAAAAATCACATCACAAGCCAGTTTAGGCTTGCATCACGATAAAAGAGGGTCATGTGCACTGTACCCCAAAGAGTAGAGTGTTAGTAGAAGTATGCAATATGCAGGTGGTCTGCACCTTGTTAAAACAAGGTAGGGAAACCAATGCACATGCGTGGATAATTTCATGCTGTCCACACAAATATTTAATCTTCGTATTTAATATTTAATAAAATAGGGCGCCACGGTGGCAACTCCCACGCCTGGTATGCAGGTCAATGGGTTTGATCCCGACCCCTGACGCCTGTAGATTTGGAGATTGCGTGTTCTCCCCGTGTGGATTTTTCTCCGGGTCCTCCGGTTTTTCCCTCCACATTTAGAAACATGCGTTTAAGATTATTTGGCTGCGATAAATGTCCTCATGATTAGCCACTTGGTTGAGCTATCGTTTGTGGTTAGGTCGCTTCTGAAAAAGAACTGTACAGATCAGTGGGCCTTAACCTGGTAAAATAAAAAATAGTTTATTGAAAAAAATTAGTAATCGTCAGGAGTGAAGCCAACCAAGGGCAAGGTGTGAAAACTAAATGCACTTGCCTGTTTACAAAGTCCTTTTTTTACCCTGGCCTGTGACTCCTAAGTTTCGGTAAACCCTTTTGATACATTTCGCCAGCTAGCAATGAAAACTTCACCCTAAAAGTCTGCTTCATATTGCATCTCCTATTACAGATGGACAGAGAATATACAATGACTTTCGATCTTAGTCGGTAAGCCTTAAATGATTACAAGAGTTAATATTAAACGTTGGTTTTTCACGACCAATGTTACAATTCATTTTGGCGCTGCACTCATCTAACCTGCCGATCCCAACCAAGCAATTAACTCTAGATTATTAAACCGTTCACCTACATGGCTGTCATGCCACCTACTTAAGGCATCGAGTGAGGTGAGCTCATTCACAGGAGAGCTTCGCTGAGCTTTTGCGAACACCTGATGCTTGGTGCAATCTAAAGCAAACCGTCGTGTGAAATTGTCAAAGTCTTGTTTGATATTCAACACTGTGGTTTTGCCGATATAAATCAAATCAGCCTGACATAAATGCTCACGTGACAACATGATGTCATTGGCTCTGTCGGGTGGTGGAAGGTTCTAGTAAAAAAGACAGACATACCTACATGACTAATCCAACATAAGCTAATTATGAATCAATTCACAAGCGTTCTGTCCACCACCCGTCTCTCCTTCTCTGATCCCGCCCGACACGGGGGGGGAGGGAGGGGCAGGGCCAACCCCCATCTTCGTCTCGCGTGAAACGACACGCACCCATCGCGTCGGTGACGGAGTCTGTGGCCTCCATGTGCAGCAGGGCCTCCGCCGCCTCGATGGTCTCGGAGTGGCAGTCATCGCTGAAGTGGCCGTTGACGGACGCCTCCACTGCGGACACATGGCACGATGAGTACAAACGCAAATCGGATTTACAAAGCGGTCAAACAACGGCCGCATCTTGGTGCATTTGCAAAATGCCGTCGCAATGAAGCCATCTGTAAGAATCTGGTTACGTAGTCGTTCCGTCGGCATCCGACGTGGCATGGGAAATTCCACATTATGTCGGTGTGAGGCAGTCTATCCACAAGATAAGTTGTTGTTCCGACAAATGATCTCCACTGCTCCCCCTCCACCCCCACCCCATTCTTTGTAGGTTTTGTGAAAAAAATGTGATGGATGATGATGATGGCAGCAATGGATAATGCGGATGAAGTCACGAGCACGGGTGCACAGTGCGCAAACCATCGCGCCACCACTCCACCTCTCTGTAAACAGTACCGTGCGGAGGTTTTATACACAAACACACGCACGTGTAAGGCAACACCCCTTGTCCCCGTTCGCTCTGACTGTCCAGGCTGCTGTTGACTGCGCCGTCTGGTGAAACCTTCAGGAATGCCTTGGCAGCCGTTCAACCCGAGCGGACGCGCGGCCTGGCACACGCGCAAGCGCTCCCTCGCTCCCAACTTTGCCGCCGTGCGGAAATAATGATAAAATTATCAAGGCGTACGCGCACGAGCAAAACCTTCAAAAGCGGCACGCGGCAGGATCGACGATGATCGCTAAACTCGGAGTTGACCTTTGAGAGGTCACAGGCGAGCTGCGAGCGAGCGGGTGGAGTGCTAGCGTAGCGGTTTGCACATCGTCAGCCGTGATCTACTGGATGAAAGCATCCCGAAACTGTGGCCCCCTTTGAGTCTCACAGGCCTGCAATTTATTGCTCCATCTAGCGCCTAAACAAGAGCAGGATTTCGCCGCTCCATCTCTGCGGTGGGAATCATATGTGCTTGTGACTGCCTGGGCTGATTATTACACGAGGTCAAAACTACCACATCGGGCAGGTCCAAGGTCACAAACCATTCCTCAAGCTTAGCCCCAAACCATGTTCAATATTATTACTCGAGTACTATGATGAATACTTCCAACTAATTCTCATAAGGAATACAAGGCCGAGGCCTTAGTCAATCCTCAAAGAAAACTTAAGAATTCAAAGTATTACAAGCATCAAAAAGTAACAACTAAAGTAAACATCTTAAATAAATCCTACACACATGGTTTCATGTATCACTATTTTCCCAATTGCTAGTAGGCTCGGGTAGGTATGTGATTTGTAGCAGCAGCTATAGAGCGACAGGCGTAATGGATGAGATGTGCCAGGCACAGAAAGATTTTCCAGGTCGCTGAACCAGACAGGCCCGGCTGAAATCAAGTCCTGTTACCACCACTTTTTAAATTGTTCTTCGTCACCAAGCAATGACTTTAGACAACACACACCCACACAAGGAGGGTTGGTCACGTGACCTATCCTGCTTGCGAGCTGCATTGATGCTGCAGTCGGGTTACGTTTGCGACCCTTGGAATGCGTGTGTGCTGGCCACACTGCATCTAGCAGCAGAAGCAATCGAGCAGCATTGTGCAGCAAACCCTTACAGGTCTGGCAGGATGACACGAATCATCACGGAACAACAAGATCTCAACGTGCAAACACAGGCAGGAGAGTGATGAGAGGAACTGAGATGGGTGCTGCGAGGACATGCAGGCTTTGGTGCAGATGTGGGAGATGTTATAGAGTTGGACACCCCACGGCATTTCAGGATGAGAGATGACATTAGTAGATGCAGATGTTGGAGAAATGGACGCTGTAGGTTGGGATCGGTAGCCAGAGGTGATGCAAAGACTCGGATTAATGAGAGTATTCTGAAACGACAAAATGTGAAGATATTTGGGAGAAGTGTGTTTTAGGTGAATAAGAAACACTGGCATATTCACAATTAGTTGGTTAAGATGTGTGGAAGATGTACAAGATGTCCGAGATAACTGGGATGGAATCCTGTGAGATGCACTATGATGGATTTATAAGGCGGATGTGGACGAGAGAAGCTGTCCGAGAGTTGTTGGCAGAGGTCTTTAGTGCAGGAAATGGAATTAGTTGGTTGGGACGTATGGAAGATGTACAGGATGTCTCAGAGATAACTGGGATGGAATGCTGGGAGATGCGAGATGATGGAGTTATTATGGAGATGTGGACGAGATGGTGCCTGAAGAGTTGCAGGCAATGAAATGAGTTGGTTGGGATGTATGGAAGATGTACAAGATTTCTCAGATAACTGGGATGGAATGCTGGGAGATGCGAGATGGAGTTATTATGGAGATGTGGACGAGACGGTGTCTGAAGAGTTGTTGGCAGAGGTCTTTAGTGCAGGAAATGAAATTAGTTGGTTGGGATGAATGGAAGATGTACAAGATGTCTCGGAGATAACTGGGATGAAATGCTGTGAGATGCGAGATGATGGAGTTATTATGGAGATGTGGACGAGATGGTGCCTGAAGAGTTGCAGGAAATGAAATTAGTTGGTTGGGGTGTATGGACGATGTACAAGATGTCTCAGAGATAACTGGGATGGTAAGCTGTGAGATGCGAGATGATGGAGTTATTATAGAGATGTGGATGAGAGAAGCCGTCCAAGAGTTGTTGGCAGAGGTCTTTAGTGCAGGAAATACAATTAGTTGGTTGGGATGTATGGAAGATGTACAAGATGTCTCAGAGATAACTGGGATGGAATGCTGGGAGATGCGAGATGATGGAGTTATTATGGAGATGTGGACGAGATGGTGCCTGAAGAGTTGTTGGCAAAGGTCTTTAGTCCATGGCCGAATCTCCCCCGTGCCTCCTTGCAAACCCAAATGTGTGTGGGATAGCGTACGGGGGTGGGAGGTGTGTATGAGCAACGTTTGGGTTGTATGTTTAAGGGAGGAGGAGGAGGAGAGGTGGGAAAGAAAGCACCGCCAGTACCCGCGGCTCTCAGCAGCAGCTCGAGGCGATTCTGTCGCACGCAAGTCGCCATTTCTTCCGGGTTGGTGGCACCGGCGGCAGCAGCAGCAGGCAGCTCTCTTAATAAAAGACAAATCTCTCCCGTTCATGGGTGCAGCTATAACCACCGCAACAACGAGAGACGGAACACACAACGACTACGGGTACCGCAGCGGCAAAGGGTATGACATCGCCACGTTAGCACAAAACGATGGACCTGTTAACTGCACACTCGAGAAACACACCACAGACTTCAGCCGTAGCAGTGAAAACGACCAGAATTGCAGTCACAGCACACACACACACAGCACAACAACTACGCTACGTGCAACTCGTCGCAATGACACAACAGTTAAGAGCGGCACATAATAACAGGGAACAGCAGCAACAGCAACAACAGCAGCAGCAACAACACATACCAAACGAGCGGCCGTGTAACACATTGGACGCCTAAAATAACCACGTAACGCACACTGGCGCAGCCAAAATACGCGCGCCAATCTACTCTACGCACATCCAACGCCGACGGTGAAAGTCGTCGTCGACGATTTCACGAAGTTGAACTCAGGCGAAAGTCACCTCGCGTCGAGGCGTCAATGCCATCGCGGAGTGAACATCGAAGGCAGTTCTAAGCACACACGCCTCGTGTGTGTAGCCGCTATGATCGCCTCCCGCACGCCGTCACGGGGTCGTGGGGGGTTACTTGACCGTAACTTCACGGCGTGGAATTGTAACATTGGGCGCGCACACACACGCACACGTAGCAGCGACACGGCACACCGAACTCGACATTCAACGACGCGTGGGACACGGACGTCCGAACAACAGGCGGCGTTAACGGAACACATTGGTCCCGCAACTCGTCATGTACCTCTCAAGGTAACAACGGTGGGGGGGGGGGGTGGGGAGGGTTGCTACTCGAGAGCGACCATCGTTGTGAGGAGGCTGCGACTCGCGATATATTTTTTAAAAAAGACTAAAGTACACACTGAGGGGGGGCGGCGGGGAGCGGGGGGTCGAAGCGAAGTTTGCGATGCGCTTAAAACAAAACAAAAAAAAAATTTCCACCCCCCGAGCGAATTTATCCGTTCTTCTACGCTACGATTTCTTTTTTTTTTTAAACAATTTTTTTGCTCGACAGATATTACCACCACTAAGCACTAACCCCCGAGAACTAACCACACGCACAGATTTCCGCTCCCAGAGCAACCCCCCCCCCCCCCGAGAGAGGAGTTTGAGAGTCGTGGTGCGGCCGCACACAGACCGCGGAAGTGAAGCGGCTGCCCCGCTGCTCACGATACCCCGGAAGAGGAGGAGCCTACGCCGCCGCGCTAAAATCAACCAATCGGCGCGCAGCACTCACGGCGGAGTGTCCACGCCCCTCGTTCATAATTCCCAGCGCGGATAAAACCACGCCGGCGCAGAATTTAGAATTCGTAGTGCGGACGGGTGAGGGCGGTTTAGACATGGTAATTTGGATTGGCCAAACAGTGACGGGCGCGTTGATCGGAATTCGTAGTGCGGACGGACATAGGGGGAGTTTAACACGTAAGTCGGCTTACGCGAACAATGTTCATAACAGAGGTTTTTTGGGGTTAAATCGCGTAAATATATAAATGTGCCGTTGCCAAAATTATTTATAAGAGCAAATTGCCAAAAACAAATATTAACTTCTGTGAAGCAAAAGCCTTAAGAGAATTGAGAGCAAATAAAGATATCAAAATTCTTGCTGCTGATCAGGGCCGATCAACTGTTGTGATGCCCCATGAGGACCACGATAATGAAAACACATTCCTGCTGCGGAGGGAGCTGGTAGGAACGTTGGGTTGCTCGGTCAATGGCCTGCAGGGTCAACGGCGGCGTGGTGTATTCCGCAAATATGCCCGACTGTGAGGGCGGGCACAAGCCGGCGTGAGTAGGTTAAACGTTGAGTTTTATAAGGGCACCACGGGGTGACCAGCCCCTCCCCACCCAGCCCCACCCCACCCAGCCCCTCCCCACCCAGCCCCTCCCCACCCAGCCCCTCCCCACCCACCCTCCCCACCCAGCCCCTCCCCTCTCCACCCATCCCCTCCCCTCC